GGAGGGCGCCTGAGGAGTCCTGTCCGCTGATATTCTACATATACTCCCATCTTTGTTAATCGCTGCCGTGCTTGCCTATGCTTTGGTCCAAACATTGCTAATGCTCATATTGACTAGTGCTCATCCGTACTGGTCAAAGCCAGGTGTAAGGGGATCCGCAGGATTGTGTCATCACTACTACGTCAATGCGCACGAGCACCCATGCACCTGATGGACAGCGCGCCCGAACATATCCTTGACGAGCCTTGACGAGTAACCACCACCACCATCGCGTTCGCGCATCACCCGCCGTCATGCCATCTACTGAAACTATGCAGTACTCGGGTCTTGCTACGCTACCCGCAGACATAATCATCGACGTCTACCAATCTCTTGCGGAAGTCTACAAGCCCAAACCGCGCTTCGGCGGGCTATTATACGAGTTACATCCACAGGATGGTACCCTCGGATGGGTATATCTCACGCACGTCAGTCGCCGCCTGCGCGACATCGGCATTGGGATGCCGTTCCTCTGGGCGAACGACTTGTGCGCTCTGCCCAGCGCATTCGACACGTTTCTTACACGTGCACGCAATATGCGCCTGCAGTTGATTATGCAAGATGTCCTTGATTTCGATGCCCATCTTCTGAACGACGACATCCTTCCTCCATTGCTCCATCGAACGGACTCCTTGAGAGTCAACTACAACAACCGGAACGATACACCGTGGGGTCTATATGAATTCCAGCCAGCAGCGGACAAACTCTTGGGCGCTCTGAGAAGCGGGCCACTCCCCCTCATGGAGAATTTGGTCATGTCGCAGGTGCAGGATAAATCCCTCCCACCATTCACCGGAACGCAGTATCGCATACGAGTTCCCAATCTGCATCACGCCACCTTCCGAGGGTTCTTCGCGCCGCTCGACGCACCAAGCCTTCGCACGCTCGAGCTCAGGAGCTGCGTGGAGTTCTTCGTGTCTGACTTGTGCGATCTATTGCGCACTCTGCCCTGCTTGGAACGTCTTATCTGGGACGTGTGGTGGTCAGGATATTCCCCGGCGGACGAAACATCGAACGGAGTGGTTCCACTCAAGCCTGTACACTTGCCCTGTCTCCAAAGCTTTCATATGATCGACGATTACACGGATCTTTCACGACTCGCGGACGCCCTCGAATGCCCGAAACTCTCCCCTGCCAACTCCAGTGCTTCGCCAGCCAAACCCAATTACTTAGGATTTCGGTCTCTTGCGACCTGGGAAGAGATCAGGGATACATGCACTATATTTCGCTCGCGAATCATGCACCCGCACAACTCAAACTCTCTCTCACTCACTATCCCGCTTACCGTGCGGTTTCTCCAAAGGTATCACGTCCTCCTCGGCGACTCGTGGGAATCGTCTACCCAGAGCTTGTCGGATACACACTATACCAACTTTGCGCTGTATCAAGAAAGACCGGCGCCTCCTCTTGCCACTCTGATCAGGGGGGTAACCGCATCCGTTGCTTCGGAGATACGAACACTCTGCGCCTTTGGCCGCATTCCACCAAACCGTCCCGACCAAGACGACTTCTTCCGAGGTGCAGGACCTTCAGACACAATGCATGATGCGTTCGCTGCTCTCACGAGTGTTACGGAGCTCCAACTTGCGTACTCCGCGGACGGGATGTTGGACTTGCTGAGGTGTTCGGATGAGTCGGCCGAAAGTGGAAGTGATGGCCGAAGCGTCCTCTTCCCTCACCTCGAGACGATCATCGTCGACACTCGCAATCAGGGTGCAGGGTGGGCGGACGACATCTCCCACCACTACGAGGGAGGAGAACACTACGAAGAGTGGCAGGCTGGGCATCTACCAGTACATTGGTGGAGGAGCTTCTGCGAGATGCTCGCGAGTCGGGCGGCGCGCGGCTATACGCTCCCGCGCTTGGTTCTTCGAGGACGGACGTGCCATTTTGCAGACTTGCTATCGGAGAATGACTTTCCGTCTATGTACGAGGTGATACTACATGCGATTGACGTACAAGTCTTGAAGGAGTGGGTGGACGAGGTCATAGATGAGCGTGTTGCGTGTGGCATCTTCGGGGACGATGAGATCGAGTGCTCATCCGATGAGGCGGAGTGAACATCCTGTGGATGATGATGAACAGTAATTGTACTTTGAAGATACGACTCAGTACAGCTCGGGGGATTTGCTCGATCAACGTCAAGTGGGCAGGATTGTCAAGTGTAGAATCGTGACGTAGCAACGATGGATCACCGGTAGCTACATGGCGGTCTGATGCTACTGCCGCACAGTGCATGTATACGATTTAATCCAGAACTATGCGACGTTGTTGTTTCGTCTATTCCCCATGAAAGCGCTCGGAACTGTACGGGGGAGGCGCGTGGGAAACGGCATGCAGACGACGTCCTCCCCGATCATCCGGCCACCGCCGCTTGTCTGTGACCACCACCATGTCAGATGATCACACTTCGAGCTCATTCAACGACGAGACACCTACGAGTCTATTCGTTGAGATCACCCAAAGTGCACGGCTTCTCGAGCTTCCTCTAGAAATCATCTCAGAAATCTATCGGGCCCTAGCAAGAACTCACAGACCTCAACGCCAGGTTCATGGATCAAAACACATCGCGTCCAAAGCACCGAATTTAGGCTGGCTATATCTCACGCACGCATGTCGTTTACTTCGCGACATTGGCATAGGCATGCATGCACTGTGGGCCGAGGACCTTTCCGTGCTTCCTCGCGCGTTCGACGTCTTTCTGAAGCGTTCACGCAATGCGCCGCTGCATATCAAGGTTGACACTTTCGGGTACGAGGACCACATCGCCGAGACTGCTCCCCGACTGCTTTCTCAAGTTGATCATCTTGAATATCGCGTACGACCATTCCTTGGAAGTCACCAGACCAATATCTTCCTGCAAGCCCTCAGAGAGCGTCCGTTGCCGGCTCGGATAATGCTACTTGACGTCAGCGTGTCGCCTACCTTGTCGGACGATCTTCCATTGGACGTTGGCAACAAACCATTTGACGCTCCCGCCTTGCGTTCACTTAATATTCGGTCCCAGCCCGTCCCTTTTCGAGCCCCAAATCTACAATCCCTCGATCTTCACTCGTGTACCAGCTTTACGCCGGAGAGACTATGCATCGCTCTGCGAGAGCTTCCCCTTCTTCGACATCTGACATGGAGCAACTGCAGTTCGGAATTATGGCGTGCCCAGTTAGAAGACGACGATGGACCGCATCTAAAGCCCGTCCACCTCCCGCATCTAGAATCCCTCGATGTTGTCGACACGAGTGCAGGGCTTTTGCTACTGGGATCCACTCTAGTACATCCCAGACTTCGACCCACTGGAACGAAGCCCGTTTGCATAGGCATCAATCATTTTCCGGATCGCTGGCCCAATATTCGCTCGGAGACCATCGAAGTGTGCGCCGCTCTACAATCACGATTACCCGCATACGCGCCATACTCGCACGCCCTCACCATACCGTTCTCATTCTCGTTCTGGAAGGGCTGTCACGTTCTACTCAGTGACATATGGGATCCCTCAGCACAAAGTTACCACAGCTTCGCGCACACTATCTTTGCATCGACGTGGTCAGGCCAGGACAGTCACGAGTGGGCGGTTCCTCTGCCGACCCTCATTAAGGGAGCCACGTCCTCTATTGCTTTCCATATCAGTCATCTGTACATCCTTGGTCGCATTCCACAGCCCGTTCGAGATCGCGAACGCTACCCCGGAGAGCCTGAAGACACCATGCGCGATGCCTTCGGCGCTCTAAGGAACGTCAGAGAGCTCTACGTCAGCTATGAAGCACGAGGCGTATTCCGTGTCCTGCGCTGTCAAGGTTCTCCCGATGTCCCCAATGGCAAGGACGACCATGTCATTTTCCCACTCCTGGAAACGATAGTCGTGGATAACTTCGACACGAGCAAACACCGAGGATGGGGCGAAGGAACAACGCAGGTTAACTACGAAGGCAACTACCACATTGAAAAGTGGCAAGTCGGCCACCTTACAGCCGGCTGGTGGGCCGACTGTTGCGCCATGCTCGAGAGTCGTGCCTTGCATGGGCACAAGTTACGTCGTTTGGTGCTTCGAGGGCGTACGTGTCATATAGCAGTATATGAGCGATACGATCGCGAGAAGCGGGAGACGAAGGGCCATATGGAGGATATTGGATCCCTGAACCTGTCGCAATGGGTGGACGAGGTAATAGACGAACACATCATCGCATGCGGTTTTAGGGCAAGATAGGTGAAAGGCCGGCTATGTTGAGCCTCTGGAACCGTACGCAAATGCGCAGTTGTTCTGTTCACACACTATACATCTAGGGAAAACCGAATACTATGATACATGTTATGAGCCGTGAGGTTGCAAGAGTTACACAGATACAATTGCATTCGCCGGAGACTGTATGTAAGGATGTCATCCATGCGTCCGATAAAGCCGCAGTCTAGGGAGCGCTGAGGTCCTGTTCACTCAGCGAAATGCTTGACTCGTTGTCAAAGTAAAGGCCCCTACGACGGACTACCGATAGATTCAGCTTCCGTCGTACGCCATCCACCCAATGCTGCACTTGCGCTAGCTCCATGAAGCACGCCGTGTCTTGATCCCACTCCCCTCTTTCATTGTGCCCTAAGCTCCATGCCCTCCTTAGGGCTATCTCCAGATCACACCTGTACATGAGTGTGTGCTCCGCACGGCCTGAGAGCATGTGTTCGTAGTATATGCAGGCTACCTGCCTCCAATCGGTCGAAAGAGCACGCCGATCATTCAGTCTTTCGTCGATCTCAATAGCCTCGGAGAGGGAGGAAAGCGCCTCGGCAAACCTTCTCTCCATTCTCAGAACGTAAGCCAGGTATCGATAAAGGTATGCCCGTGTCTTCGGCCCCAGTGCGACTCCTATATCAATCGCTCGCGATAGCACGTCAATATCGAACGTCAAGTGTGGTTCGGAAGCTATGAGGCGCAAACAGCGCTCGCCGCACAATCCGCCGCGGTCAAAGCCCGATCCAAAGTACGCCGCCGCGTTGTCTTCTTCCACTTTAGGCATAGCTTCTATCAGTGAGATGAACACGTCATCGGCCACCGGGTATCATTGCGATATATGGTGGCGAATGGGCGAGAGCACGCGCACGACGCGGACGTCGAGATACCACTCGTGGTCATCGATGTAGGCAAGAGAGTACCGTTGCAAGGTAGCGATGGCACGTCTGACAGAGTATCGATGTTCCAGTATATCTTCAAACCGGGAGATATCATCCTCCTTGAGCCCGTAAGGAAAGATACTGAGGATACTGAGTATGTCAACGGCGTCTTGGTCATGAAGAGCCCGGAGGGAAAGTTCAATTGATACGGCCAGGTTGTTTAGACGATGGCCGACATCGTGAAGATGTATGAGATCTGTATGGTCCTTTTCCCAACGACGCCAAATGTCTCTGGCTGGTTCAAATCTTGCCAGACGTGCAAGCAGGACAACCGCCAAAGGCACACATTCCACGGCATTGACTAGTTTGACTGCGTGATGGTCATGTCTCTTGCAGATAACATCCCAAGTCTGCAGCGCAGCTTTGACCGAGAATGGCATTATAGGTTCCAGAGCAGGAGTTGACCATTCGATGAGAGGAGTGTCCATGACACGGCTCGTCACAATCAATGCTGTCGACGGAAGAGAAGCAAGATCAGCAAGTAGGCCCTCGATCGCCACCATGTCCGTATTCCACGGAGTTTCCATATTATCGAGACAGATCACGCCCGCTTCAGAGGCTGTCAAATGAGACAGAAGACGATGGCGAGCAGACTCGGCGGATGTGTCGCTCTCAACGTTCAAGTTTGTAGCCTCTGATAGGGCACGAATGAGTCCATCAGCAGAGGCGATGGCCTCGCATGATACAAAACAACGTCGATCCCCGTAAAGTGCTAGTACACCAGGATGGTGTAGGACTGATAGAGCGATAGATGTTTTGCCGATCCCGCCAGAGCCTAGAATAGCAACGCGAGCAGGATGCTGATGCGAGATAAGATCAATCGCCTGATCAACTTCGGCTTCACGGCCGAAGAACATCGCCGGAGCTGCACGACGCCGCCAACTTGTCCTACTAGGTATCAGTGGTGGAGCACGTAGGACAGTTCTAGAACGTACTCTAGAGTGGATGTAGGGCCTCGCACCGCACCCACAGGCTGTAAGTGTCGGTGTATTCTATGTACTAGGCGGTTGGTGTCCATAGCTACTGTCATCTAGTGATCATACTGAGTGAATAAGTCCTACATCTCTAGAGGTAAGGGACATACACTGAATCGCTCTTTGGCAATCTTCATCCTGAGGCGGCATTCACGTGTCGTGGCCTGAAGTTCATCTCGCTTGAACACGAGTTTGAGGCGGTCCCTCCAGCGTTGCGAATCGACCTTTGCGGATTGTAGAGCATACAAGCAGGCGAGAACAGAGCTGTGAAGTTCCATAAGTATCGCAAATAGCTTCTATAAAGGTACGGTAGATGCACGTACTTTCCTGCATCTCGGAAGGCTTGGTGAAGCGCGTCTTTCCCATTGCTCTCTACATAGCCCCATTCCGCCTGGAACTCGTAGAGCAGGTTCTCGAATGCCTCTGCATCTTTCATCGCCGCTCGACAGCCTTCTTTGCAAGCATCGACTTCCTACGTTGCGCAACAACTGGTCAGTCTCAGATAGCCTACCGCTCAAGATAGACGCCTCACATCCATGACTCTCTTGAATGCCGTCAAGGCTGTAGCGATGGCTCCCAAGTACGGCACATTCTCTCCTAGCGCAGCCACCAGGTTCAGCGCCTCGAGTGCGATCCCGGCGGCTGCCTTTGCATTCTCAAAAGCGTGCTTGTCAGTACCTTATGGAGACGCCTCAGTCTTCGCCCATACTTATAGGTAGCGGAAGGAGTTTACCTGTACGACGAGTATGAGCCGCCGCGATGGTCGCCGAGGCGCGTCCGAGTCCGACGGCATCAGTTTCATAGCTGGGGCTCATTATTGCAATTGTGCCTATGAGTTCGAACCAGTATCGTTCGGCGGCGTGTAGAGGTAAATGCGAGGTTGAGCCGATGTCAGATAAGCCGATAAGATGATGATAATGCTGACAGCAGATGCGCCTTAAGTAAGTTGTGACTAGCTGTGCTCCGATCTGCGTTGGTACCAGGGCGGAAGACAAAACAGTAGACGACTAGACGAGGAAACACGAAACAAGAGTCTGTGCTGCCTGTGAGGGCGATGTACCAGGACGATGTGACTGGGAGAAGCCAAGGCGCAGATGCGCTTCCGCGAAAGCCAAGCGCCAGCCAAGCGCGCGCTCAACGTGTTTGGCGCGTGACCAAGCTGCAGCGCAGCCTCACCGATAGATCATCGACTTGTCTTTGCACAACGACTACCACACCCACGTATTGGCCATCCCCGACGGCAACCTCTTAACCAACGACTCACTCTGGTCACTGTGAAATCTGAGCATGAGCTATGCACATGAGCAAACATCTACTTTCCTCAATCTACCAATCGATGTTACCTATGAAATCTATCGAACACTTGCAGCGAATTACCGACCGCAACTTCCCGCTGCTGAGTGGTTTCGTGATCATCAAAGGCAACCTGGCAGCCTAGGATGGATATATTTGACACATGTCTGTCGTCGTCTCCGCCAGATTGGTCTGGATATGCCTACACTCTGGGCGGAGGACCTATGTGTTTTTCCGGATGCATTCGACGTGTTCCTACAACGCTCACACGACGCGCCTCTATCTGGATACTTCGAACCAACCATGTGGCTAGCTATTTCGTCGCAACAACAGCTGCCGCCGCTGCTTGAAAAGCTGGCAAGTGTAGCGTCGCGATTTCGCACGCTCGAAGTTCGGGTGAATTGTGCTTCGTTACGAGACGCTACGCGAGTGACCAACTTCCTACGAGTGCTCCGACAGGATCCACTGCCAAGTCTGGATACCGTGTCCTTAGAGCTCAGGCCGCCCAGCGTCTGGGTTCTACCTGACGATCTGTCTGCGTTAGCTGCGAGGAACAATGAGCCTCCGTGCAAGGCCCCCGCATTGCGCCTACTACGGATGCGTCACACCTTCGTGCCGTTCCTCGCCCCCAATCTTCACTATCTCGACATCCGGGATTGCGCGAGCTTCACTATTCATGATCTCTTCCTCGTCCTTCGGAACGTACCCGAACTTCGCTATTTACGATGGCAGAGGCGCAATGCCCCTAACACGTGGGATCTCCCTATCCTGGCTGAGGACATTGAGCAGCCTCCCAAACCCGTCACCCTTCCTCATCTTGACTCTATTCACCTCCCTCACCTCCGCTCCTTCGATGTGACCGATGGGCCCTCGCAGTTGAGTCTGTTTGCCCAGACAATCTCCTCACCGCCGGTCCGCTGGACTCGTCAACGGCCGCCCAATCCTCCCACGATTAACTTCGCACCTATCCAGACCATCACACGAGATGTTGTCGAGGACATAGCACGCGCAAGCGCCCACTTCATCTCTAGATTGGTGCCCGTTTCGGCATCTGGGTCTGTCGCGCTCACCATCCCGTCCTCCACGTATAGGGTCTATCATCTCCTGCTCAGCGAGGGGTGGGATCCGGCCTCGCGGAAGTTACATTCTGTTCCTTGCACGATCTTTGGCCTAGGCTGCTATATCGATAGAGCTTGGGCCTCGCCTCTCGCTGCGCTCGTCAAAGGAGTCGTCGCTCCCTTCGCATCCGACATACGCTCTCTCTATGTTACTGGCGATATCTTGTATGATCCAATGGAAAGAGACTATCCTCTCGAGCACACGCAGTGTACCTTGAGTGAATCATTTTCCACCCTTCTGAATATTTCCGAGCTGTACCTCGCTAGCGAAGCAACAGGCCTTCTTGAGGTCTTGCGTCGTCCGGCGTCGTCCAGCGGGGGCACTGGTGTTATATTCCCTCTCTTGGACACCATCATCCTAGATCATACCGATCGTCACTGTGAATGGCCTCGAGGAACCTCGCAGACAGAAAACGTGGGCGTGTTATACTCAAGAGCTCCACCATACAAACACCTTGCTGGGGTGTGGTGGGATGCGTTCTGCGCCATGCTCGCGGATCGGGTCGCGCTGGGTCACAAGTTGCGGCGGTTGATCCTGCGTGGCCGTACGTGCCATGTTCGGAGGGATGAAGGAGAACGAGCCTATCTCGAGCCTCTTTGGCAGCTGCAAGAGTTGTCTGAGTGGGTGGATGAAGTTGTAGATGAGAGAGATGCATGTGGGATGAAGGATGGGCGCGATAATCCCTACTAGTATGCGCTGCCATGTAGAGCGGGATCGACTATGCCTCAGAGTGTTTGTATACCCATTATGAGACTGTGTACTGTCGGAAACGATCCACGATGTATTCCTTGCGCTGCCACGATAGTTGGGATGATCGTGCGCGCCGAGATCTGGCCATTGTTCTGAATAAAGACCCGCTGAAACGCCGCAAGATCGCGCCGGCATAGAGAGCAACTATTCGCTTCCGGAGGGAGAAGCTTGAATAAGTCTGTGCATCCGTGTTCAACTTGATACGCCTCAGCTCACAGCATGACCGAGGTTGTGTACGTTGTTGTTGGCCGTGAGAGGGAAGCTGAGTGAGCACGTGTCTACTAAGCCGAGTGATGGGAGCCTGATGTGTTCTCATCCGCAAATAGTACTTGACAAGGGCTGGCCGTCGACCGCCACCTGGTCCTGCTCCGACCATGCAGACCTCCCACTCCTTACCCTACGCCTCTGCGGCGCCTGTACCAAATTACAACAAACCGTCTGCGCTGCCCTCGTCGCTCTCCACGCCCTCCGCTGCCCGCTTCGAGCGCGAGGACAGCGTTCTTCCTCCCGGGTCTGCGCCTAGGCTACGCAATCCGCTGGGCCATGGTCGCTCTGGCTCGGGCACTCTGCGAATCGAACCCCAGAGCCCGTCACGCGGGAGCTTCACTCTGGCGTCGCCACCGCGTTCGCCGCCCCCGCATCTGCCCACCGTCGCCGCATCATCGAGCGGCGTGATACCTGCATCCTCTTCATTCTTCCGCCCTTCCCGTCCGCACACATTCGCCGAATCTAGACGTTCTTCCACTGCATCTTCTCTTCGTGGCGCCTCTCCTCCACCAGGCACCAACAACTATCCATTACAACCGCTCGCATACGACGTCGACGTAGAAGCTGGACCGGCGTACGATTCGGACTTCGAAGCCTTCTCGGACGCAGAGCGCGCGAACGGTCGCGCGAGCCGTCTTTCGTCCGCTGAGGATGGCGGGAGCACCCTACCGCGCCAGCGTAATGGGACAACGTACTCGCGCGAACCGCTGATACCCGTCGGTCGCTCTCGCGCGGGCACAGCAACGTCCAATGTACCATCCCTCGCACGCAAGACCTCCGACCGCCGGCAACAGGCTGGCGTACGACAGAGCATCGAGCGATTCAGCCGCAATCTTTCGCTGGACTTCGTCAGGAAGAGTCTCAGCGCGCCGTCTTCACCCTGGGTATCTTCGCCCAGTGCGGGCGGGTACGAGCCTAAACGCTCGGATTCGTCGGGAGAGGTCATGCACTTGAAACCCGAACTCGCGCGCCCGCGGTGGGATCCACATCCGCCAGATAACCTCTCACACCCGCTCAGCCGAACACCCAAGACTGGCGAGAACGGGAGGCCAATACGCAACTACGAGCTTCACCCGAGCAAGAATAGATTCTTGTTGCGCGGGCGTCTGCTCTTGGGCGGCGATAAACCCTATGCGTTCTTGTTCACGCTTACGATCCTACTCGGTCTCGGCGGGACCTGGTTTGCAACAACATGTCGCTGGTGGTGGACAAATCTCAGTCCCGCGCTAGCGAGTGTGGGGATATACATGTTCCTGCTGTGCTTCTCGCTGTTCGGCGTCACCGCCTTCAGCGATCCTGGGATCCTGCCCCGCAAGCTCGATCTCGACCCACCTTACCCCGCCGAGACGCCTGGAGGCGAGGCGCGTCAGCCGTACCCCCGCGAGGTCAAAGTCCGCGCGGGGAGCATACGCGTCAAGTGGTGTACGACCTGCCAGACGTATCGTCCGCCGCGGTCGAGCCATTGTAGGCTGTGCGATAACTGCGTGGATGGATGCGATCATCACTGTCAGTGGGTGAACAACTGTGTCGGGAGGAGAAACTATACAACATTCTTTGCTTTGATCCTCTCTGGCGTAAGCGTCTCTTCCATTGTTCCTGACGATCTAGATGCTGATGTTCCGTATATGCAGACTTTGACGCTCGTCATGGTGATCGTCTCATCCGCCATCCACCTCTACCTCCTCGCCCACCGCAACTCCTGGTCCTTCGCCCACGCGCTGCGCGAAGGCGCCGGCTCCGCAGTCTGCTTCTGCCTCTCGATCATCCTGTTCTGGCCCGTCGCGGCCCTGCTCTTCTACCACGTCCGCCTCCTCCTGTTAAACATCACCACGATCGAGCAAATCCGGGTAACGGCGCACAAGCGACTTGTGCCGAACGCCGCCGCGCCGCCGAACCCGTTCAGCCATGGCGGCTGGCGCCGGAATGCAGCGGCCGTGTTGTGCCGGCCGCCCGGGATGACTTGGTTGGATCTGCCGGGAGTGGCGACGGAGGATAGGAGGGCGATCAATCCGGCGTATACCGCTCCCGAGGACGGCTGGCGGGCGTAGATACGTTCGGATGGGTCCGTGCCGGCTTTGGGCTCGGGGCGGGGGTGTTGACGGTGCCGAGGTTCGCTCGGAGGCGGATGTCGGCGGCGGTGGGGTCGTTGGTTCCGGGTTTTTGCGTCTTTGTGTTTTTTTCTTCTCGTCGATTCTCGTGTTCGTGTTCGCTTTCGTGACTGACTGGCTGACTCGACTGACTTGCGCTTTATGCGTATCAATACTCACACTCGTTGACTATCTGGTTTCGGTTTTCGGTGTCGCTTAGATACCTCACTGTGTAGCCCTAGTATCATATCTCACGCATTATACACACTATCCCAGGAATTCTCAGAGACCATGTAGGTCCAGGTGTGACATGGAGGTGTGGTCGTCGGTCCGCCCGGGGTCGGTGCCTGTTATCTGTGGACGACTTCCGTCTCCGCATACACGAGGGTCGCAAGGATGTCCGTGAGGCCAGCGCGTGACCCTGAGGGAGTACACTGTGTACAGCCTCATTTGAAGCAGGTTCTGTTCTCTACCATAACCGCCTGTTACCGCTCTACCGTCTGCCGCTTGGCGTGGGCAAGTTGTACTTTGGGGCGCGCAAGACAGACGCAAGAGCCGCTCTATTAAAGAAGACGAGAGGCTTCTGATCGCTCAGTCGAAGCGATGGAAGGAAGGAAGAAGGACAAAGCAGGATCGGATATGGGCGTGACGGGAAAACGTAAATACTATTTGATCCCCCACATGGATAGCTTGAGTTGATACAGCCATCATCGACGCGTCGTTTATAGGTCCGGACCGTACTTCGGCAGCTAGCGCCCAGCCTCCGCACTACTTCTACATGTCCCCCACCCCGGGCTACCCTGGCTACCCGCCACAGCAGCAGCAACAGGGCCAGTACCCACCACCGGGCTACGGCTACCCTGGCTACCCGTACATCCACGGCCCGCCCCTCGCGCCCGCCCCGGCGTCGACCGCACCTGCATCGACGTCGCCCAGCACGGCATTTCCGAGTCCTCAGGGGAATAAACGAAAGAGGGATAGCACCGATGACGGGACTGCATCGGAGGAGCCCGAGCCTGTGGGCGGCAGCAACGCCTCGGCCAACGGCGGCGGCGGTGAGAAGACGGCGACTGGCCGTGCAAGCGCCCGAACAGCAGAAGGCAAAAAGCGGACAAAGACTTCTCGAGTATGTTTATTCGTTTCGTTGCACTATTCGGCTCGGTGGACTGACTGTTCGTAGGCGTGCGACTCGTGCAGGACGCGCAAGATCAGGTGCGCACTGCGCTCTCCGCTCTTTCCGCGCCCATTTTACGCGTCGAGCTAACGCGTCCCCTCGGCGGCTGAATAGGTGCGACGTCCTGACAGAAACCGACCCACCTCTCTGTCAGCACTGCAAACAGTACGGTTTCGAGTGTACCTTCTTCCTGCCTATCGGAGAAACAAGATTCAAGAAGAAGAAGGTCGAGGAGCAGCCCGACAAGGATAAGGACGCCGCACAACATGCAAGCCCCTCGGGAGGTGCTCCTCCCGACACTCGTGTGTACGGTACGTGTTTAACGTCTCTAATGAGCCTGGGGACTCGCGTCCTCCCAGGCGCGCCACAACGCGAGAACGCCAAGGACGCTGACGGGAATTTATCTTGGCCAGGTAACACCTCCGAGGCACACCTCTTGCATTCGAGCGCAACAATCCCCTCGCGTCTGTACGAAAGCTACGATGCAAGACACCACCATTCTTGGTCCCTATCAGCGTCACGCGATGGTTTCATCACTGTTCGCGAGCCTGCGCCCCCTCCGGATGCAGACCTACCACCCCGTCCTGCCGACATGAATATAGCGCGGGACGTGGTCGAACAGCTTCTCAACGCATATTTCAAGGAAATTGCGCCAGTGCTACCTATCATCACGCGAGAAGAATTCCTCTCGACACAATCACCACCGCCTATCTTGCTTTATAGCATGTGTCTGGTCGCAGCTGCACGGCGCTCTGTACCGCAGAGTACATTTGAGCAAATTCGATACGCCGTCAATGCGATCATCAAGGCGGAGGATGTGCTCAGCACCGCGACGATTGCGAACGTGCAGGCACTGCTCATACTGTGCATGGTCGGCGATTGTCACTCGCAGTTCGTGCCCAACGCACTGTCAGCCTTGTGGATCAGACTCGGCACCACCCTCCGTATGGCACAAGACCTTGGATTACACCGCGCCGAGGCTGTCAAGCAAAACATTGAGCTTAGGAGAAGGCTTTGGTGTATGTGTGTCATTTCCGACAGGTGGTACGTAGTTCTTGATACATTATTTCTCCGAGCATGTTTCTGACGGGCTGATCAGGATGAGTTTGTCTTACGGCCACCCGTACATGATTGATGTCGGAGACTGCGACGCCCGCCTTCCAAGCTCTGACACGCCTGATGATTTGTATACCGTTGAACTGGTCCGACTGAGCATCCTGCTTGGAAGGGTTCTCAAGACTATCTACAGGTGAGCTCCGTTCCGCGTTCGTGCTTCTCCGTCAGGCCCTTTGGGCTTGGCACCTCCGAAGTCAACCGTGTGCAATTTCCGACGTTTTCTGACTTCTACGTTGTGTACAGCCCCTCAGGATTGAACTATACCACGGACGAGGCGCTGCAGCAGCTTCTATCCGACATCGAAACTTGGCGCACGAACCTCCCGGAGGCCCTCCGCTTCCGAGGGCCCGAGACGCCGCGGCAGCCCGGTCTGCTCTTCCTCCTCTACGCGTGCATTAACATGATATTCTGGCGCGTGTTCATGCGGATAAGCTACACCTGCCCCGCGCACCTCCGCTTCCAGCTCAGCGTGGAGAAGTGGTCGGCGCTGGTGGAGATCACGGGCCAGGCTATCGATTGGCTCGATAAACATGACTCGCTGTATGATGTGTGGATGTTTGTGGCGTACGCGGCTACGTCGTGCGCGCTTGTTCAGGTGCGTTCTTCCATGCATCATCATCCCCTTTCGCGCTTCTTCTCGCGCGCGCGTAAGACGATTTACTCACGCTCGATGAACCCCTATGATTATAGTACCACACCTGGGCCCGCCGCCAAGACGCCACAGCCGCGCAGAAGCTCAAGACCCTACGAGACTGTATCAGACGCTGGGAGCGCTCATTGTCCCCAGACCATATGTCCGCGCGGAGAAAGACGGCGGAGATCATCGCGCTCCTGTACGAGGCTACCCAGGGACCGCCCCCGCCTATCGAGACGCCGGCTTTGAATCCTACCGTCGGAGCAGTCGCGCGCCAGATACCTGCAACTGGAAACGCGAACTTGCAGTATGTGCCCGACCCTGAGCGGCCGGGTTCGGGCGTGTTCGTTGCGCAGGGTGATCAAGCGAGGGAGACGTATAAGGATGTGCCTGGCGGTGTTGTGCGTACGGAAAGCCCACCGCCGTCTGGACAGGTTCAAGCCCCCTTGCAGACGATACCCGAAGCGGCGCCACCACAACCTTTGGTCAACTACGTCCCGCTTGCGCGACCCGGTACCGATGCAGCCGCGGGTATCAACGTCAACCCTGCGCTCACAGGTCCAGCGGACGCCGTACCGATGCATGTCGTCAACACGCTCGACCCTACAGTTGGGCCAGACGCATTGCAGCAGCTCAGTGCGGCCGATACGAATTGGCTGGAGGGCATTCCGGGCGGGATGTTCGATTGGGGTACGTTCGTTCGATACGCTTCCTTTTGGAGCACAATGCTGACGCGCGTGTATAGGTCAGTGGGACGAGTTCTTCGCGAGGTTGGGAGGTGGTGCGCAGCCTGGTGTGCAGATGCCTCAGACGGAGTGACCGCCTCTCCAAACGAACTCATTCCCACTGGGACCCTTCTCGACGCTATCCTCATGTCTATATCTCATCTCCGTGGTTCCGGTTATCGTGCTGGTGCTGGGCTCAGAACAGTTGAATGCTTTCTGCTTATTTGTACACTTGTAACACCCTCCGTCGTGTCTTGCTGATCGTTTGCTCTGGTGCCATTGAAGCACGCGTACAATATTTTTTTCCTCTTTATCGTGGCTTAACCCAGTCTATCGGTGACCTTGAACGCATTGCAGCGTGCGAGACACAACTCGCGGTTTGACGATGGTCCGTCCGTTTACCTTCGCTTCCTTGACATGTACTACCTACGAGTACTCTTTCCGAGATCTGCGTGAGCGATTGAAGTCGCAATGACGGTCCGAGCGAGATGTCGACCATGACACCGGCCGTGTGAAGGACTGGGTACAGGTCCGGCCAATCCAGGCGGTCGGCATTCTCAGCGGGCTAGATGTGTTCTTCGGTTATATCGAGGTAGACAGTCGGCTATGACGCGCGCTATGGTATAGCTGTTTGCTGGCCGTACACAGTCCGACCCGCATGCATGCACGTATCTGGCGTGGGAACACAATAATCTCCCTGGCACAAGGGCGGACCAGAGCGGGCCGCGTGGGTTGTTTTCAACGTCCATGTGTGCCCGTGCTGAATCATTCAAGCCGAAGCTGGGACGTCATGTTCTCTCAGTTTTGACAATATCTGAATCACTGAGCCAGACAACAACCAGGCAACCTAGCTAATGCTATTCAGTAAGGTCCATCTCTCTCCCGTCTTCCGACAATTCCGTCTCCTCCTCAGCACCGCTATCGTCATCAACGACCCCTTCCTCTTCATCTTCTTCCTGATCCTCCTCCTCCTCAGCCACAACTCCCAGTTCCTGCGCCAGCTTCAAGGGCCGTTGTTTCCTACGTGGGCGAGGAGCAAGTGTACCGCCGAAGTGGAGAGCCCGTGCATGACCCCACCGCCCAACGATGCCGTTGCGCGAGACAGACCTCGCGCTTGAATTAGAGAGGTTACTTGAGAAACTTCGTGCTGAGGTCTGGGACTCTGACAATCTGAGGGAGTCGTGAAGCTCTGTATGACGCATGTGCGGCACAGACACATTTGTACTGACCTTATATGCACAGCCAAAGGAAGAGCGGTCGCGGTAGAGTGTCCAATCTCCAAACGACCGCTTGTGTTGGCTGGGACTCCAGCGGTCTTAGCACTTGACCGCGACGAACCATTGAAGTTGTCTACGTCTGAGTGGAAAGAGCGGCTGCGACGGCTGTCAAGCGAGCTGAAACTGGGCGCATAATAGGAAACGCTATCGGTGTCATCGCTAGCCGTGGACGTCGCGCGGGGGGTATAAATACTACTTGCGTCGAGCGTCGAGAACCATGGATGGTCAAGGGCTTCTTTAGTCGTGAATCTATGCTCGGGTTTTGGAGCCAAAACATTGACCATCAGATTCTCAACTATGAAGTTATGAGCGTCAGTGCTCGTCTGCACGCATAAGTAAAGCAGAACGCCAAGATCTCACATTCCTCGCTGAAATGACGGCCCATCTGGGCGTGTGAGATAACATGGCCGCGCTGCGGCCGTCCAATCTGACCCATTAGCCTGTGTAACTCGCGGTGAGGACATGCGAAGATTCCTTGCTACTAATGGCAGCGTACATGCACGCGACGATAAACCCCACGGTCCAAACGTCGGATTTGTGTGTTCGCTTCCCAGCACCCTCAGGGTTTAGCTCAGGCGGATACCATAGGGAAGTTCCCACTCTAATCGTCTGGCAACACGCGTTAGCTGAAAATAAACAGTCAGTCGGATTGCGGACGCACGGTGCCCTCCTCTTCGGGTCCTCGTTCTCGGACAGTACCGAAATCTGCCAATTTGACCGTCCAATTTCGCACATCGTGCTCTGGTCGCCGATTGCCTGGGCACGGATGAGGATTCGACTCGGGAGTCCAGCGCATGAGGATGTTGTCGGGCTTCAAATCTCTGTGTATCAAGTTCTCGTCGTGCAAGACCTGCAAGAATGAAGGTATAGACGTCAGTGTCCATCCGATTACAAACACGTATATCGGTCACCTTTAATCCACGAAAGACCTGGCGCGCGATGTAACGTGCCTCTGGCTCAGCTGTATAACACATTCGGTTAGGCAGCGCATCGGTCATGAAACCCATGCTCACTAATACCGTCCGGAAACATTTGCAAAAAATCTTGCAGGCTTCCACCCTCGCAGAACTCTGTGACGATGTCTTCGATATCACAGTGTTAGTACTCGACATGTAAGCTCGTACGTTGAAAACAGTGACTGACGTAAGACCACAATCTTTGGGGCAAGCTTGCTGCGCCTGTCGCTGGGTAAATCTACGATCGTAAAGACTTTTTCATCATCCAGTATTTCGCAGACGTGGTCCAAGTGGCACTGTTCTTTGATCCTCCTCAGATATCCCGCTTCTTGCCGGATCGCCTGGACCCCTGCTTGCAGCCTGTCGAGAGAATACGACTGTCGCTTGACAGCCACCAAAGTGCCTGCCTTGCGGTTTCTAGCGAGATGTACCACACCGTACGCTCCTGTTCCGAGAGTTCGCAGAATCTCATAGCCATCGTGGATGACGAGCCCAGGCGTTAAATCCACGATGTCTCTGAACGAGAAGTAGGAGAAGCTCAGCCCATCTGCGGCAGGGAAGGCGAGTATATCATCGCTCCGTAGGACATGGTGTCGACGAGGCCTGACTTTGATAGCTTTATAAGATGTGCAATCAAGACGCAGGATCTTGCAAGGAATCAGACCCAGTACAACATCGTTGCGTGTAAGCCATGACATACCTGTATAACAGACTCTTCAGCCAGGTTGATTAAGGTAAACTGAGCAGCCGAAAATTTCCCCCTGGGATCCGGACCACAATGGCGTGATCCATTCCATGATATTGTGAATGGTATAGCTGATTATTACGTCAGCCTCTAGGATACGTAAAAGAGTAAGTTGCTGAGACCTTGGAACTCTTTCGCGTCAAGGTAAATCGTCAAATCTTCCTGAGGCTCATGCAAATGGATAGGAGGCGCCGCTCTGACATCCCAGGTAATCTCCCCGCTTACGTCTCCGTCGGACTCAGGCTTCAAGTAGAGTGGCGGTAGAGCGTTGGGTTGATAGGGTAAACAACAGGCTATAACATCTTCAGCAACGCTAAGCCTCCGAAGATCTTCGGAAGAGAGGCTAGGAGCATGCAAGGATGTAGGCAGTGGTAAAGCAGAAGACATATTAGGTGTTCCGGTGACGACGTGCGCAATTGCTCCCCTTTATAGGAGTGCCAACGGAGTGGGGTTGGTGACGAGTAGCCCGAGCCCGCAACAAAAAGACTTGTGCTGGATGAAGAACAAATAAGGCTGTATCCCAGGTTACGACAAGGGAAACAAGAGCGTGCGAAGTATCGGAATTGCTGCAGCGTCTTGGGCAAACCGAGGACAAGGTGACGATCACAGCACCTTTTGTCAGGCGACGTGTGGGAGGCGAAAGTCGTCCCTGAGGCATGAGGTTCTGATTGGGAAGGCGAGGCGAAGCTCAGACTGCGAGGAGCTTTGTTGTTAGATCGAGACAAGGCGGCGCGACAGCGCATTATCCTTGTCCATTCTGTAAAGTAACAGGAGTGGACGGAGTGACGAGGCACCGCACTCGGGTGCACAGATACCATATGTAGTTGCATGGTCAGTTGGTACAATTGTCGTTGTGACGGTCGAAAACAAGTCGGCGTGGTTCATGATGGCCAGGTGCTACAGGGTGTCGCGTGCGCTTGCGCGACACAGTTTGCTTTCTGACAGCCATGAAGTCCAACACTCGAGCCAGTGATTTTGGCAGTCTTCCGCCCCATCCGCTCATATATGCTTCCCTTGAACCTTGCTACTCGCCCAGTTTTGTCCAACGCATAGATCTCCACAGACCTCAGACAAGATTCACACTCGGACGCAGCCCGCAAAACGATTTCGTATTGGAAGACCGGCAATCTGGACAAATTGGTGCGCGAAAGCATGTTCGGCCGTTATTCTATTTGTTCATCTCGTCATCACAGATTGGGTACACTGCACCATCGCATTAGATGAGGAGGGCGTCAGACTAACGGAAAACCATACCACTAATGGCATTTGGGTGCGGGGAAGACTTGTTCCGTATTTACATGTCTAACGATAAACTAGGTCAACGGCAAACGTCTAAGCCCGGGAGAACCGTGCGTGCTCCAAGATGGCGATTCGGTTCGGTTCGGCCGGTGTCAACTCGCGTGCTACGACCAGCACGAGAGGGGTTTCGGTTATGAACGAGGGCGGGCGTACTCGTATACGTTCCGCTCATTCATATCGCGCTCACCACCTGGGCTATCTGCGGTGCATCAGGGTCTGCGCGAGCAGTATGAGAGGCTCGAGCGCAAGAAGGCTGCGCTTGTAGCCGAACGTGCGCGTCTAGAGCGAGGGCTCCACGAGATCGAAGACGAAGCTAGTCAGATGTATGTACTGGAGTCATGACCTTTGCCACCGCCACTTAACTGTCTGGTCTAGTGTACAGTCTATGCCACCCGTTCCACCGACTAAACTCGCGGTTATAGAGAAGAGAAATCAGAACCATTATGCCCGTTTAGCGATGCTTCTCCGGGAAGACTACCCTGGTTTCTTCCCGGAGGATATACGCGACTTCCGGCCACAACCTTGGCTACTGCCTGTGGTAGGGCCAGAGCACCCAATACCGCTTCATGAGATGCATCGGTCATTTGGGGCAATACCGATTGAGCAGCCTCCACCTTTGGAAAAAGACAGCCGCATATTCCAATTCAATAGGGCCATGCACGATAGCGAGGCACCTGACTGGAACGATCCCGAAGTCGTCTGGGGCGATTTACAATATCTGAATCTCAGCTCGCCGCTCATGATCCCGCCATCGATCATATTCTGGTCCATAGAATACGCCCTACCGGTGTACATGCATCCGAAGTTTCCCGGGTGTTCACGCAAAGGACCCTACGCTCACCCTTACGCTCAGAGCGAATACGTCTTCTCGGATGAATCAGCTGCAGCTCATCGCGCCGAACTGGGTCTACAACCACTCGAAAACCCTACTCCCTTGCGCCCTACTGATGCTCTCATGTATCGTGTCAAGACGTGCAGGACTGTACCGGATGAAGACGATCTCGCTGAATGGGTTGAACTTCTGTCTTCTCGCAAACGCGCTCCTGCCTCATCTCGAGAACCTTCGCCCGAGGCGTCCTCACCGGTGGGCGAATCTCCACCGCCTACTCTTGCACCAGCGTCTATCAAGCGACCACGCGCGAGTGATGCGGTGACTGAGGCCGACTCGACCGCGCACCACTCATCCGAAGAACGTTCGGCCTCTCCTACTCTCGCATTATCATCTGAACACGATGACCATGCTCATGACGAGGGTCCTGACAAGCTTGTCGGTCCAGGACATCCTTTGTCACAGCATCCCGCAGATACTCCTATCCAACCGCTCAGATCGAAATCGAGCTCTGATAAAGCCCTCGTTTCGCGCGACTCCGCTGCCACTCGCCCACCGAAGCGGCGAAAGACCTCTCATTCATCAATGCCAAGTCCGACGATGGCCGTCGGCGCACCTACGGCTCCTCACGAAGGCGAGACTGCCCTGCGCACGTCGCCAGAGCCAGAGCCAGCGAGTGCATCGTCCGAGGTTTTTCACGCCTCGCCACGGACAACAAGTTCCACGAAGTCCTCAAGCACCCCGCCGGAGCCCTCGAGTCTAGAGGCGGACCGCCCTCCGGTAGAACTAACTGTGTCTACTGATGACGCCCCCAAGATATTGTCCGATTCGTCGCCATCTACCCATGAGGTGTCTACTCGCGGTGATTCGTAAATACCTCGTGCTGTACCTTTTCCTGTTGCTATAGCCTCGTGCTTCCAATTTGCCAATATCTTGTATAGATTTTGATTATTGTCCGTTCGCCTACTTCCTTATCGTGTTGATCATCGTTGTCTTTGCCGTGCTTTTGTTCCGATGCGCTCAGTAGCTATCGTATGTTATTATTGCAATCGATGGGCATAGCATATAACCTCTTGCACTTGTGCCGCAGGTGGAACAATGCTCTTAAGGTTTGCTCGTCAACAAAGACACGGTTAACAACACCTACACGCGAGCGAGATGAGAACAAGAGTTCTTGCAAATCGGGTACAGGCCTCAGTCGACGAGGCGCGAGACTTGAGTGATATGGTGATATGATCTCACGCAATTACACTGTGGACAAGATCGCGAGGTGATGATACACAACATGGGACGTGGGACGACGGAACAACGGACAATGTAACCTGACGAGATAGATTGCAGCCTGTGGATGGAGGGTTGGAAGGAGACTCAAGAAGTGGTAGCGGAGACGAGAACCGGGAATGGTGATGTAGTCCATGGGAGAGAAATATGCATATTATCGTTCGGGATGAGGACGGCCGAGCGCGGCTTGCCGTGTAGGGGTTGGATGGACGTGGATCTCTATATGTGCTCGAAGTCCAAGAACGCGCCGTCGTCATCATCTTGGTCCGCGAGCCGCGTCACCAGCACTTCGACGATGATGCGCGTTGACAGTTCAAACTCGGAGTCGTTAGCGCTGACTGACAGGGCGGCCAGATCGTCCAGGAGTGCATCAGCCGGGGAAGCGGACACTGACACGCCTGTGGCGTCTGCCGGCGACACCGATACACCGAGTATCTCCATCGGGGACATGGACACAGCCAACGCGTCTTCCATTGAAGCAGGAAGTAGCGAGTCGGAGTCCTCGCTGGTGGGCGCTGAAGCTTCGCGGTCCAGCCCGGGTACAGGCACAGCAAGGGCGCGACGGCGCTCGGCTCTCCTTGCGTCACGCGAGATGCGGCGCTTCTCAGCCTTCGTAAGTCCTGCGCCAGGTATTGGTACAGGCGATGCGGGCAGTGTGATTGTGCTTGTAATCACAGTCGGCGCCAGAGACGGCGCCAGAGACACCGGCAGGACCACGGGCGGCGCGGGCAGAGGTCGGCGCGTTGACTTTGGCTGTTTCATCTTCAGCGGAGGCACAGCAAAATCAACAAGTCCAGCATCAAGCTCCGCATCCATGGTGAAAAGCGCAAGGCCCTCGTCGAAGTCGGACAGCGCGGGCGGGTCGTGAGGCGTATACGTCGGAGGCGAAGGTGAAGCAGACGGCGAACGGTCCTCTACGAGTGCTGGGGCCTCTTCATCGTCAAGCATAGATGGGCGTACAGAGGCATCTGCGGCAGCTTTCTTGGCCAGCCACTTCTGTCGCGCAAGCGTCTTGGCCTTGGGCCGGTCCCTCTCGCGGTCTCGACGACGGTGAGCGAGCTCTCGCGCATCCTCCGCGCGTTTCCTAGCACCGACGAGCTCAATGTGACGTATGATTCTAGCCGAAGCGCCAATCTCTGCGGCCATGGCTTGTAGCGTGGAGAATGAGGATGCGGCATCCGGCGGCGGGAGCCCGACCAGGGCTCCGTCATCGGCGACACCTAGTTCGTAGAGTGCGCATCCCCCGCCCTCGAGTAGACGCCATTTAAGCTGCGTGACAAGTCTGTTGAAGCGAGCCGAGGAAGGGTGCAGTAGGTGTAGTTTGTACTCCACGTTTCCCTATGTGGACAACAGCCGCGGATCAGCGTGTGGCCTTGATTTATGACGCGGTTAGCACACCGACCTCCTCAATCTCCGCGGAGAGCTTTGGCATGCGAGTCACGTCGGGAGAGTATGCTATCTGCTGCTCGACACCAGGCGAGGAGGAGAGAACAGCATATTTGTCCCAAGGCGAAGGCCCGCGCGGGCTCTCGGACACGTCCTCTCCGAACATTGAAGCGGGTATTCCAAGAGTAGTAGGTAATAAAGATAGACGAATATGAGTTTGCGTAGGACAGGACAACAAGAGCGATGTGCGTGTGCGAGGTTGTGAAGGTTCTTACGCGGATATTCGAGGTATCATCGTGGGGTTAACGTCGTGTAGTGGGTGTAGGAGGAAGAGTGCGAAAGAGTCATTCCCGGAGCAACGTTCGGAAGCTGGTGGCACAGTCCGGGCCGAACTTGCCGGTGTGGGCCACTTTGATCCTCACGAACGCTTCGAGTGTTCGAGCACGAACCACGACCACCGCCAGCTGCTACACTGCACGCACAACATGCCGCCTCGAGGAAATGGGGTGCGCTTCTTCTCTTGCTCGAATGTTCCCCGGTCCTTACTGAATTATCTGGATATGACAGATGACAATGAAGCGGATCCACCGCGAGATCGCCGATCTCAAGAAGGAGGACCTCGGAAACATCTCCCTCGCGCCAAAGTCGGACGACGACCCGTTTGTATGGACGGCGTTGATACCCGGACCAGAGGGAAGCGTCTACGAGGGGGGTGTATACGAGGCTGAGGTCACACTGCCCGTTGATTATCCGTATGCACACGACCTTTGTATTCGCGCGCGCGCGGTGCTGACGAACAATAGGTTCACCGCGCCGAAAGTGCAATTCATAACAAGGTATGCCAACTAGCCACGTCCGTCCTCGCACACTAGTACTTACAGGATGTAGGATATATCACATGAATATAAACGAGCGTGGCAATATCTGCATCGATATTCTCAAGCACAACTGGTCCCCCGCCCTTTCCGTCTTCAAAGTCATTCTCTCGCTTTCCTCTCTACTCACGGACCCCAATCCAAGTACGCATTATCTTGTATTTCCCTCGTCATATTCCTCGTTTACCCGACGTTCTATCCTCATGGCGTCGTGGGTATGGACGCTGACTGTGACGCACAGATGACCCGCTCGTCCCATCTATCGCCTCCGAGTATCTCAAGAAACGTGCAACACACGATGAGACCGCGCGAAAATGGGTCCAACTCTACGCGCTTCCCCAGCCGAAGCCTGTCCAGCCACCCGCACCGCCTAAACCGAAAGCGGTTGCGGCTCTGAATACAGCCCGCGCCGTCTCATCCACACCGGCGCCTTCGTCTTCGCGTTCATCCCGTCCGGCCACTCCTCGAGCTTCTTCCTCTATACCGCTCACCAGGTCGCCCGCAAGGCCGAGGGTGCAGAGTCGGACAGGTAGCGCTGCCTCTACGCCCATCGAGATCGATGATTCAGATGACGACGAGGTTGAAGTGGTTGTTTCCGAAGGCGCAAGTGTGGGCGCCGGTCATAAGCGGCGGAGAAGCGGGGACAGTGCTGACGAGCCTGCGAGAAAGAGGGGACCGGGAGCGGGGAGCGCAGGAGGTGCTGGACGCTTGCAGGGGGATGTCGTTGTGATTGACGATTGATCTTACGATGCGCATACTGGGATCTTCATCTCTCTCCGGATGTCTCGTTTTTGTGACACTGTACACTACTCATTGAATTATCATCAGGGTATACGCGTTGGCACAGAACATGAATGCAGAAGTTTTGAGAGGTGTCATACACTTGACCAACCTCGGATGTCACAGTTGTGAGTATGGAGATATCCATGCGACGTGATGCGTGGTGTCCGGGCTTGCACCGCTGTTAGCGTCTGGGACCGAGCGTCGGCCGAGGTCGAGGTCAGATTGATGGCGTCAGTCACAGCCCGTCACTGGGGATGTGGCGTCACTGAGGCAGCCCGACGGTTGCCCGACCTGAACTTGCTTGAGCTACGTGAAGTCGACTATGAAGCTTAGGAGGTGTCCGAGCTTCTCGTGGTCGAGTGCTGTCTTGGGAGATGGGGGGCATATAAAACTGGCAGGGTCCGTGTTGCTTTGCATCATCGTCCACTTTCATCACCTCTTCGCCAACCAACTAACATCAGTTCACTCATCTATACCTCAACATGAAGGTCTACAGCATCGGTGGCTCTCGCAACATTGGCTACTATGCGTCCCTACGTCTCTTAGGTGTGTGACATACGAAGCGCGTCAGTCTTGTGTTCGACACTGACCTGAGCTTCAGCTTAAGACGCCACTGTCACGTTCCTCTTGCGCTCTCCGGCCGTCTTCGACGACGATGCGACTATGCAGACGTACATCCACAATGGATCAGTGCGCATCGTGAAGGGTGACGCGCTCGACAAGGAAGATGTGCAACGTGGATGGCAAGAGGCTGCGAAGCCATCCCATGACGGCGACCTCGCCGGCGTTGACACTCTTCTCTTCACGCTCGGTAAGCCTCGTTTGGTATCCCCCTAAACGTAGCGATGACTAAAGCACATCTCTGCCTAGGTGGGACTCCAAAATTTGACTTCTGCAAGGGCCTCGTCATCTCCCCGCCCGACCTCGTCACTCATGCGACGTTGAACGTACTCACTACCCTCCCGACGCCGTGCCCTCGTATCGTCACCGTTACCTCGACCGGATTGACCAAGCAGTCCCACAACGAGCTGCCGATGGCAATGCGCGCTATGTACGGCTACCTTCTCCGCTCGCCTCATGCCGACAAACAAGGCGTCGAGACCGTTCTCGCGCGTGCATCGGGAGCGACCGTGGACGAGACTATGACTCCGCCGGAGGGAATTCTGCCTGACGGTTGGGAGAGCGACCCTAGCTTGCCAATCCCAGGAGCTATTCATGACGAGCTCGTCGTCATACGCCCCGCTTTCCTCACTGACGGCCCATGTTTGAGCGAGACGAAGAAGCCGTCTGTCGTACGCACTCGTGCCGAAGCGGATCTTCCTGTCAAAGGAGGATACACGATTAGCAAGAAGGACGTAGCCTACTTCATCGCTGAGCGTGTCCTGGGCGACGAGTGGTACAAATGGCGGGGCAAGGGCGTTTCCGTCTCCCACTGAGGCCGCATATCAGCAGGCTGCTAACGATTGTCTTTCGGAATTCGAATAGTTCATTTCATCGCTGCTTTACCGACTATCGTGAACTTATGCTGCTTGTGTTCGTATGGAAATACTTTCGTTCAGTAAAGTTTGTATGCGTGCGAGATAAAGGAAGATTAGGATCAAATCTGCATAGAGACCATGTCAGCCGGCGGTTCTAAATATTTGGCTCGCGATTCAGACGGTGTAGTGTGCATGGAAGCAGTGTCTGGTAGGTAAGATACCGTGCTGAAGGGAGATGACTCTGACGAGGAACTCTATACAGCACGCTCGGGTAGGCGCTTCCTCAAAGGCACGTCCGCGTCCATCAAATCGAACTGCTCTTGCGTGATCAAGTTTGCCGCGACCATAAGTTCGAAGAGATCCCTTGTCCAGGTGCGGCAGCTATTGATGCGAGAGCTCTTCAGGTACACGACATCCCCAGCGAGCCTCTTGATTTTGTCTCGTTGGGCGCGAGTATACTGTCCGAGTTCGTAGTAGGTATTGCGAGCGCGTTCCGCCTCCGACTGTGAGATTAACATGTCTGGGTAGAAAGCGTAGTTGCCGGGGCCGCCAGAGAGTTGCAGAATCTGAATGTGCTTGTTGGAGGCATGCGTGCCGGTGCCGTTTTCCCAGTATATGAGGACGTGGCGATCTTCGCCCTCTGCAGCAGTGGTCTTGCCATCCGCCTGGAGGAAGACATTCTTGACGCTATCGTCGTCTGGATGCTGCAGAAGTTGCTTTGCAAAGAAGGAAGCCATGTCGGCGAGATGCAGATGAGAGGGAAGAGGTAAAGAGGTAAAGACCGAAAGTACGAATTGCGCGCCACAGATGATGGTTCGGAGTAAGATCAGTTGTCGGCGCGCGTCCGAGTGCGCCGTCATGACACGCCGCGAGGATGCGTGCCTAAGTATCTCAGTCCCTTACCACCACCATCATCTCGTGCAGTAGTCGACTGCTAGTCCTCTGCAGCATACCCTCGCACAAGTCATCATGGCCCCGGAAGTGTATAGTATCGCTCAAACGCCCATCACTAGCCATTCCTTCAACGCAGATCGCTCTCGTTCGTCACCTCCATCTCGTAGTCTCGCAACGGCTGATGCGATGTTGCAGAGGTCGCCGTCAGCTTGAGCTCCAACGAAGTCCAGATTCTTCAGCGCGCTGGGCGTGAATGGAAGCCGACTGAAACGCTCTCTGAGGTACGATACACTACTCACCCGATTATCTATGGCTTTAGCTTAGACTACGCGCAGCACGACAAGATCGTCACGTCTATCGACTGGGCGCCCAACTCGAACCGCATCGTGACGGCCTCTCAAGACCGTAACGCCTATGTGTGGACGCAGGCACAAGACCCGCTCACCGGGCGCACGATCTGGAAGCCGACACTCGTCTTGCTTCGTATCAATCGTGCTGCGACGTATGTGCGCTGGAGCCCGAACGAGGACAAGTTCGCAGTTGCTAGCGGTGCCCGGTGAGTATATCACTACTCATTATGCGAAACATTTCTAAACCTCACGCCAGTGCCATCGCGGTTTGCTCCTTCGATCCAGACAACGACTGGTGGGTTTCGCGCCTGCTCAAGAAGCCCATCCGCTCGACGGTGCTCTCGCTCGACTGGCACCCCAACAATGTTCTTCTCGCAGCTGGCAGTGCTGACATGAAGGCTCGCGTCTTCTCCGCTTACATCAAGGATGTTGACAAGAAGTACGCGGACGTTATTATCTATATGTCCTCAGCTCATGTGGGAGTAGGCCTGCTGCCTCGGTTTGGGGCGAGAAGCTGCCGTTCAACACCATCTGTGGCGAATATGGCAGCCCTGCTGGTGGCTGGGTTCATACAGTTGGGTTCTCCCCGTCCGGTGACGTCCTGGCTTTCGCTGGTGAGTAGATCGCCGACAACCGTGTCCCGCGTGGCTTCCTCTCCGTGATGATCCCAAATCACAATATCAAGCTCAACAGTCTAATGAACTCCGTTCAACTGCTGACCACATTCTGCAATCCCGATCTCCTCTTCTCCCGCACGTTATCCTCGGCGTTATGCTGACTTGCCCTCCAGCTCACGACAGCTCGATCAACATCGTGTATCCCGGTGGCCCCGCTATCTATACCGTTCGCAGCTTCTCGCTGCCGTACGTCTCGCTCACCTGGACGGCGGAGGACACGATCGTTGCGGCCGGCCACGACTGCCAGCCCGTGCTCTTCCAGGGCAACGAGAACGGCTGGCAGGCTGTCGGCTCGCTCGACGAGGGCTCCAGCGGCAAAGGCAGTGGCTCGAACATCGCGCGCGCTGGCACTCCCGGTCGTCTCAACTCGGCCGCATTCAACACGTTCCGCAATGCAGCCGATCGCGGTCTGTCGAGTCCTGGTGGAGCCGGCCCCGGGGATAGCGACACGGAACTCTTCACTGTGCATCAAAACACGATCACGAATGTGCGCCCGTATGAGGGTGCTCCGGGTGCTGTCACCAGGGTCAGCACCAGCGGTGTCGATGGGAAGCTCGTCATCTGGGAGGTCAATGCGGTGGGCGCGCTCACGGGCAAGATGTCTGGCATTCGCATTGCCTAAGCTTGAATGTTTCATATATGGTGCTCTGCTACAACAAATACTTATTTTGGATGGTTACAACATACGAGACTAGGGCTGCAAATGTACGAAAGAGAGTATCATGCTGACTCGATGAGTTGTGTATACGGCGCTACAGATACATCATTGCTGTATTGTCGTATCAAGTACGCTGTTGCCGTCCAGCCGCGACTGCTCAGCGGCGTATTCGCGGTCGCTAATGATGGCCCATGCGGATGCTTTGAACTGGATCGAAGCTCAGAAGGGTCTATGAGGGACTATGGATGGCACTGACCACCGTGAATACCAATCCCATCTTGTGCTCTAGTATGCGTAGGCGCTCGATCAGAAGCTCGTCCGGCTTCTCCGTCAAACGCCGTGTCTGTACGATGAGCTGATTGGCTGTCAGTGAACTGTCACAACAGACCATGCGCTGTATCGGCTCACGTCCTTGATGTGCTGGTTGAGCTTCGCGTACTCCCAAAGAACCTCGGCCTCCAGAGTCGACAGACTGTGATGTCCAGCATATGGATTGGCCTCAAATACACTCTGAGAGCTCATGGCAGGCGCATGTATGACCTATGCCGGTGGACAAGCGGGTTCTATCAGTCGCTATGATGGTCGCCGTCAAGTCGCGCAAACGCGTCGCGCGCGCCTGATAGAACGCGATCCCGTGACCGTCTATGATTTAGGCATGTTTCTGGTGATAAATAAACGTAAAACGTATTGTAGTGCGTAGATACTACAAAGCATCAAGTGGTCGAGCGAACTTGAAGTCCATGAAACTCTTCCCCTCGACATCCTGCACTTCCTCCGTCATGCCCAGCATCCCACGTAATCGGGCGAAATCTGGTAACCATTGCATCGGCTGGGCACCGATACGCGCCAGCAGCACCTCCTTCTTATGCGGTTGGACCAAGACGACGCGCGGCCACCACCATGCACCTTCGGGTATGACGAGGACACGGGCGCCGTATCGAAGGTTATCGAACAATGTTTCCGGTGCTCGCGCGAGGCGTATACGGATAGTGAAGCGATTGTCCCAGAGGACTTCGTGGATCGCGTCGGGGTCCGGTTGAGACTGCTGACTCCATTGATCATGCGCGTCAACGATGGAGCTAGAGATATCAACGGGGCCTCTGATCCAGGATGGGGGTTTAGCTCGCACAGCCATCCAACCGGCACGATCCCCAGCCTTCATACCAAACTCGTCGACTCCATCCTTATTTCTGAAATCAGGTTCGATGAAGTGCTTGAGACTGCCGTCGGCGCATATCCGCAGCGGTTGCCAGCTCACGAATGCACCGGCCATGAATGGTCGACGTTTTTCCTTCGGGAGCTTGTCGAATGGCGTGAACAATCGTTCAGCGATGCGCTGGATGGAGTCGGTGCGTCTGTTCGCTTGGGAAGCCAGGGACCCCCATGGTTCGGGCGAGACTGCTCTCAAGACGCGCAATATTAGAGCCTGGCGGACCAGTTCGAGATTGATGCTGCTGAGATGAGCGCCAGAGGCCAGTAATATAGTTCCTGGAGGAGAATGCACCGTGGTTCGCGCAAGTGCAGCGCTCACTGAGTAACCGATCAAAAAGGGTGCCTTAGCGATGGGTGAACCGACATACCTTGCGTCTCGATGTCGTTGAACCTGAACTCGAGTTCACGTATACTATGGTGCATATCATGTATATTGCCATGGAGCTCCAGAGGAAGCTGTGGTCTTTTGCTGACGTTTTTTTGGACTGATTGGAGACGATGAATCAGAGCAGCCTTAACTGTCGGCGAGGGTGCAGAAATAGCCGCCTGGCTTGCCTGTCAGTATGGAACTGCAGGAAAAGATGTGGAGGAACAAACTTGAGGGTTTCTCTCAATGTCTCCAGGGCTCGGCTGATCTCGCAGACGTGACAGGTAGCCGCGTATCTCGTTGCGCAAGGTATGCTGGGGTTGAAAGTTGGTCGGGTCCTCCACGTATGCCAAGCCATTCGCCTCACAAGTCGCAAGTATCCTGTCCTACTTCATCAGTATCAACGCGATGTACAACTCGTTGATGGTACAAGTCGCTCACCTTGCCAAATGACAGTAGCGGCCGGATGACCCACATGTTCATCCCCTCCAATCCGTAATAGTCGACGTCCTCCTCGCTCCTACCGCTACCCATACCCCACCTCCGTATTCGACGTGTCCCCGCCAGTCCCAACGCCGTGCTCCCCAAAGCCCAGCGCATCATTGCCGTCTCTGCCTGGTCGTCTGCGTGCTGTCCAAACGCAACAATGCGAGCACCGGCTTCTCGCATGCCGTCGAACAAAACCCGATAGCGGGCGTCTCGTGCAATCGCCTCCGAAGGAACGTCTTCGGAGGGCTTCGGGGGGAAGGGTGGTGTACTCCATGGTATGGGTAAAGTGTGTGGTGTAGCGCCTAGCCGAGTCGAGGTTCTGCGAGCGACGTCTTCCATTTCCTTGTTCGCGGCTTGAAAGCCGTGGTTGACGTAGAAGGAGTGTACCATTCTGGGTAGACCAGGTGTGCCGACGAGTTGTCGAATAAGGAATAGTAGGCATGTCGAGTCGGCACCGGCGGAGTGCGCCACAGCTACACCACATGTGAGGAGAGACGCACAGTGGCGACATACGAGAAGAACACACCTATGGATTTCTGCCAGCCAGTGGGTGGTGTGCATTGCTTAAGGTGGTGTGCGAACTCGTTCCTCGAAATAGGAAGAATGAGCGGTGCCATACGCGGTTCAGACTATCATGTACGTGGAGCAGCAGCTGTGTGTTCGTCTACTATTGACCGGAGGCGAGGCTTCCTAAGGAAGAGGTCCACGGAGAAGAGCAAGAAAGCGACTCTGTGGCCGAAGTCGTGTCGCGTTCGCGTGAGGCTCGCAAGTCACAAGTACGCGCACACGTGAGTTTTGTCAAGAACTGTGATCGAGTACGCAAGATAGAGCGATCGAGCACCAGCTATAGATATGAAGTACATTGCATCGTAAGGGGGAGAAAGAACAACTTCAAGTACTGTAGCACTGCGTAGAGTCCGGTAAAGCTATGGGTGACGAGCACTACGTAGTAGATTTGAGCAACAAGCAAAAATACAAGCAGAGTGACAAGAACAAATCCTGAGTCCACGTCCGTTTGACTGTCCCTGTCCGAGAGGCATGGCGCGGCGCGGAGGTTGAGTACAGTACTAGGGTATGACAGATTGTGGCGGAGGAGCAGAGTGTTCCATAGACAGAACGAAAAGGGGAGCATTGGGAATAGCAGGAGCAAGTGATTAGGAAGGGAAAGGCGAACACACAAGGTAGTGGTAGATGGAAGCGATAAGTAAGCAAGAAATCTTGAAGATATGGCATAGACACTTCAATCAAGAGGATACAAGTACAACGAACAGGTTAGAGCTGTGGATTTCGATCGTCAGATACTTCTTGTCTTGTTCCTAGCAGTCTATTGCGCGACGCCATTGCGTTCAGTTCACTGGCTCGGGAAAGAGCCCATATAGGCCTGAGTAGGGCCCGGGCTTGGGTTGCGCATGAGGCTTTGCATGGCCTGCGGGTTCATAAAGTTGGCCATCATCATTGGGTTCATCTGCGCCGCCTGCATTTGCAGCTGGTTGGCGTAAGCCGCCTGTTGTATGTTGGCGTTTTGCATGCCCATGTACTGCTGTTGCGGGAGAGCGTGCGGCGGCTGCGGTGAGGTCGGGTGAGAAGCGGGCTGCTCTACTTGCTGTTGCTTCTGCATTGCTTGGAGCTGGAAGGCTATCAGAATCACAGGATAGTCTCAGACGTGAGTCCTGTACCTCGTAGTACGCGAAGTCCTGGAGAAGGGTCGTGCGCGACGGATGCGTCTGGAAGATGCGAAGCATCTCCTGCCCGGCCTCAGGCAGCAATTCCTGTGTATCGCGCGAGTTGGTGACCGGCTTGCGCTCCTGCGTGTTGCTGGAGAAATATGAAGCGGATCAGCCGAGTGTACAAGCCGGAGAGAGAGCGGGTTGTACTTCAAGCGGATATGACGCAGCTGGGCGTTGGGGATATCCCGAACGAAGATCCACTTGACGCTGAAGACGCCCTTCCACTTATCGGACTGCCAGACTGTGCTGGACCGCGTGTAATCCACCTGCGGAGATAATCAGTTTCCACGCAGATAAACGGCACCGACATAGGCAAGAGCTTACCGGGGTCAACATCTCAGCCATACCGCAGAAGTGACCGCTTATCACGGGTCAACCGTCGTCGTCATGATGACTACATGATCACATACCTCGCGTTGACGCTGAAGAAAAGATAGATAGGTCCTCTGCCTGCATTCTCTTTGAAAGCCTTGTCAAGACGCTTGTTGCCAGGATCCGTCGAGCTCCAGATTTCATGCTTGAGGGACTTGTGTACGTCCTCTTCCGTGTACGACTTGATGACGAAATAGCGGGCCTAATAGAAGCCGTAATGAGTGGCGTTCAACGAGTAATGACGCAAGGAAGGCACTTACAAACGCCGGGCGTGTGTCAAAGTTCGTCGGGTTGTACCCCTTAGTTGCGACGAGCGTGGGCACGTCAACGGGCGAGCTGAGCAAGTTCTGAACCTGCTGGTTGTAGTTCGCCGGCTGGTTGGGCATGTTCGTATTGAGGCGTCCGGCGCCGGCCTGTTGATTGAGGAACTGGGCCGGAATTGCGGGTACCTGCGGCACATATTGGTTCTTCGTGTAAGCGCCGTGCAAGTTAGGCGTCGAGGTACGCTGTGCAAGAAGGCGGTCTTTCTGGTCCCAAGTTCCCGAAGCACTGAATGCGCGATCGTCGCTGCTTCCGCGAGTGTGGTTGGGTCCCGAAGGCCCATGTCCAATGGGAGGGACGTACGCGGATGCACTGGCTGGTCCGCCAGGCGTAGTGGCGCCCTGGCGATCTTCAAAGTCCGTGACGAGCGCTAATTTGCGTTGCTGCTGGCCGTTCAAGTCCTGCGGGCGCGCACCGGACATCAATGTCTGGGGCGGCGGTTGCGAGGGGTTGAAACGAGGCGGATGCGTAGACTGGCCAGATGGGTATGGGTTAGCCTGACGGAAAGCCTGGCCTTGCCCGCTCATGTCTAGCTGCGAGAGAGCGCGCTGAACATCGTCAATGGCGCCGGCTTGGCCGGTTGCACGCCAATCAGTACCGCCAGGAGTGCCCCAAGGGGAGCGCCCGCCGATCGGACTGGTGGGATTCTGATATTGCGCGGGTTGCCGATTGAAATATTCGTCGTCCTCATGACCAAGGGAACCTTCAGAGACGTCGTACTCCTCGTGTTCAGGTGGGCTGGGGGTCTGCGGATGACCGGGCGGCCGGATGGAGGTCTGCAACGTGCCCGCACGGCGCAAACCTGACTGAGCCATCTTCTTGGGCGCCGCGCTCGCGGCTGTCAATGATTGGTGACGGCGAACGCCAGCAAGCGGCGGCGAGGGGATTGCCGCAAAGTGGGGCGACAGAGGGGAACCGGAAGACTGCGATTGCGCCTCTACAAGCTGCTGATGCTGAGGATGTTCCGCAGAGTATGTTGCCTGACATCACAAGAAAATTTGAGAATCTAATATGCGTATTCGGAGACGTATGGGACTTACGCCGTCCTCGTCGCGAAGATCGCGCATTTCGCGCTCCCAATCTTCCTCTTCGCCCTCCTGACCGTCGATCGCGGTCAGACTGTTCAGGGTGCGAGGGGTGTGAGCGCCGCCTTGGCGACCGCCAGTAGCGCCATACGCTATGTCGATAAGTCAGCATTGCATATCACAAATGAAATCATATAAGAAAGATAGTCGAATATAGCCCAGCTAATTGTGACTCCAAAGACGTATGTCAAATAACATACCTCGGTTGTAGCGAGTTGGCAAAGAGGCTTGTCGGTGCAGGTTGCCTCCCTTTTCGCCGAGAGCGCCGACAGCACTGGGCCATTCGGCATCACCGACGTCCTCGTGGTGCCATTCCTGGGACTCCTCATCGATGGTGTTGCGTTCAGCGTTGCGAGCAGTACGCGAAGTAGCAGTGATCGTATGGTGCCGGCGTACTCCCGACCCTGTCTGCGCTGCAGCACCAGGCGGAGGGGAAATCGGCTGAGGGGGAGCACCGGACATGGTGGAAAAGAGGGGCAGTGGGGGTCAAGAGCGAAGCTGTACTTTGAAACTTCTCGATATTGGAGGTGCTGTACGTCGCGTGGAGACGCGCCTCGCGCGAGCGCGGCCCGATCTGCCGATGGTCATGGTTCCCCGCGTGCATGGTGCCACCCTCGCCGCTTCTGCTGCTTGCCTTTTACCTTCATGCCACGAGTGGACCATATACGCGTAGGGTTCGTCGACTCAGAGAGTCGCTACTGGCAAGTGGGCCATGTAGGTATGCGCATGGTTTCTGATAGGTCCTCAGGCCTGTCGACACGAATTGGGGCAAAGGCGCAGAGAAACTGGCCAACTACCTCTGGAGAGCCAATGTCAACGGTCGACTCGACCTCGTTCTCGGTATGGCATACCTTTCTGTGGCTTTTTTTACTGCAACTTATTTTTCTAAGGGATCGTACCCAACGGCGCTTCGTATCTCCTTCTGCCACAGGCATGGGCTGCGGCATGGGGTGAGCGCGTCGGTGAGCGCCGCGCATTCTTCGGGAGGTCTTCGCGCAAAACGGAATACGCGTCACTATCACCCATTAGCTTTTTTGATTACGAAGATTTGCTCAAGAAGCTCAAGGCATATGAGCAAAACTCTGTCAAGAAGAAGAAGCTCGGAATTGCGGATACTAGCAGGGCGAATCGGCACTATTACATGACCAGTGGGCAGGATGAATCTAATCTCGGCAAGATGCGTGCTGAGTATGAGCATTCACGGTAGGCCCACCTCTCTATGGATACCAGGTTGGAGATACTGATAGGCTCTTTCGTTTGATAGTCTATTCTTTGCGCTGCTACAGTCGACTGAGAGTAACCTGCAACAACTGCCAGGATTCTTTCGAAAGCCAAACGCTGATATGGTTCGACTGCGCGCGGAGGCTTACGCTGTACACTCCCATTCGGCTCTTGCTCGTGCCCGTATACTCGCGTTGTCGTTTAGTACTATCACTGCTGGGACAGTGGACGACAGCCGCGTGTTGGACATTGGTTGGTGTGATGTTTCGGTCTCATCCTTTGGCACCCAAAACGCTGTCAATTACTCGCTTCATGAACAGAAGATAAAGGTCCCCGCGCAACGCTTTGTGAGTCCATCACATCGAAATGATAACATAACATTAGTGACATTGCCCAGAGGCATGATCACGTCGCGTCGGAAATACTCCCATCGGCTGCCATATGCGGCAAGCTTCAACAAATATTGGAGTCCGCGAGACCCGAACGCCCTATCATTCTTCTAGTACACGGCGCAAAGAATACACGTCAAGAACTCGAAGGACTCGGTTTACGCACATTCTCATGGGCCACGGGTATCCATGATATATTATAGTAAGCCCCATGTGAGCTACTGTAATTCATTGCACTGAACTCTGTTCAGTAAGGGAGGTCTTAGAGATGAAATGCGCTCGCGTTCGCCGCCACGCCGTGGATCCGGTAGGCCGAGATCGCCGCCGCGACCTTCATCAGCCGTCTACCTCATTGACGTTAATGAGCTTGTTGGCTGCGCCAAGGAGAGAGGCACTTCTGTCACTTCCCGCAATCATGCACGCGTGCGACAGATTCTCGAGGATGCCGCGCTGTGCAACCTCGATGTACGAGGCCGTGAGACCGAAACGCGTGCCGATCCTATGAATCCTAAGAGCCCGATGGTGAAGAAGAATCTGTTCAACGCGGGGCATGATAGCATGTGAGTACACATCTCTATGGCGACAGCATGTGTGTTGAACATTCTGAAGCTTGATCGCTGAAACCTGGCTCGCGTTGTGCTCCGGGCCAGACATTGACGCATTTCGTGCCATGCTTGGAGAGGATGCTCGTAGAGGGCCTATGGCGGAGGACTCGCCTTCCCCAGAGCCCAACCCTCAACCAGAGCAAGATGATGATATTGATCCCAACATCCAGCCGCCCGCTGGCAGCCCCCAAGCCCCTGCTATGGGTCCGGCAGAGGCTTATGATGCTTACCTTAGCGATGAGGAAGGAGAATGGTGAAGGCTGGAGAAGACTTTTGGTGATAACTCAGCTATGTCTCGTCTCTGTTCTTTGATACCATCTGCTGTGTCTCGCCGCCGACCCGTCACGAAGTCTTATAATAACCATCTACTAGATCAACGAGTCATACTTTACATCTACATCAGGCGGGGGTTATCTACCACTGTGTCGGGCCATCTCATTCTCTACCGAGACTCTGTAGATCCTGAGCTGACTATGTTCGCAGTCATGACTCGAAGTGTAACTGCGACCATCTTAAGTTTTTGACAATTATCTCTGAGGCTGCGGTCATGCCGACAGACATATCCCTGATATCAGATCGCCAAATCACCCGCCTGCTATGCCAACTGGTATGTTCCCCGTCGACCTTCCACGGCGCTTACTGAGCCTATTGTCTTGACCTGCTTTGGGTCTTCCCGAGGAGAAGAAGCCAGAAGTTCAAGCGATAAATTCATGATTGCAATCACGTCACCCGCGTGCTCGTGGACCGGCGGTGTAGTAAACGGGGACCTACAGCCTCGCGCTATTGTATTCGGCTTCTTTGCCCGTTCCTCGATTTTGCGGTCCGTAGGCAGCCTAATTGTGTGGCCGTGTCGTCGGCGAAGCTTTGGGATAGCGAGACTTCTGACATGGACATTGCATGTCAGTGCTTCAGTTGTGGCGGCGGTCCTGAAAGACCGGCCAAGGTGTTCTCGGGCCCGGCTTGGAGTCGTGGTAGCGGGTAACTTACGCTGCGCTCTGCGGCCGCCGAGACTGTTTGAGTATGCGTGGTATGGAGTGCCTCCGGTGGCACTGCACTCTAGTCTCCCGTAGGCAGACTCATGTCGCGCTGCTCCATTAGTACTGCACTCCGGTGTTTGCGATCCTCGAGGTCGCCGTGGAGGTGGCAAAGATTTCATATAGCATTACGTCGTCCCTTCATTCTCCGGTTGCGGAAATGTTGCGGAAGGGCCTCTACAGGCCCATACGATGTCTACGAGACTCAAGCTCACAGAATTTTCTTGTACAACGCGCGTAAACTTGGCCGTCATGGGAACTCATGTGGTATGTACGCGATCGGCCGGGGCCGTGAGCCGCGTGGTACTGGTCTCATCAATCCCGTCCAAGGCTCGCCGAAACTGTAAATGCAGTCGGCGAAGTTGAACGACTGTCATTTTCACACCAGCTCCACACAGGACAGTTTCAAGGAACGGTCCAGCCCATGTCATAAACAACCGAGTACGGCTACATCGGTGAACATATGGGTACAGAGCAGACAATGCTACAACGTCCGAGTGGAACATGCAAGAGAACAAAAGTGAAGGGTAAGTACAGTGCGAAAGAACAGATAAACATATGTATGAACACGAAAGGAAGAAGGTCGAAGAGGGTGTTGTGGTCATATCGTGTTTCAGTCTCGTGGGTGCGCGTAGTCAGCGACGCGGGCATTCCAGGTAGCGACGAAGACGTGGAGTAGTCTGAACGATAGTGTGGTCGAGTTCGACATAAGGGTGGCGTACACGTAGGGATTACGCCCAAAGGCGATGATACACTTTGTTTGGGAGAGGAGGGCCTTCATGTGGTGACCCGCGAGAAGGCAGGAGCGTGCGCTCGACCGCACCCTGCGTCCGAATCCTCATCGTCGGCGTCGGCGGTCTCTTCATGCGAAGTTCGGTGTAACTCGAGGTCTTTAACCGCGGCCTTGTGCCATTCGCGCAAGAAGTGGGATAACTCCCCAATACCGAGCCACTCCACATTCGCATACAGCCCCGGTAAAGATATAAGACCGCGTTGTGCCGCCTTAACAAGGACGTCCACGTTGCCAAAGTACATCCACATGACGATGTAGTGGAAAGACGTAGGATCGGGGAGCGGAACGTGGCATACGATCCGGCCGTCGGGCGAGGGCAGGACACGGGGGATGACCATCTGCTTGTAGCCTTCTACGGAAGCGCATCGGTCAAGGATAGTCTGCGGCATGACCTGCATGAGGTCGATTGGATGTGCGCCGCTGAAGAGTAGGCGGAACATAGTACTATGAGCGGCGAGATAGTCGGTGTGTAGCTGGTGAAGTGGCATGAGATACGTCAGTCAAGATTAAGTACATCGCACGTACCCGCATCATTAGACGCGCCGGCGCGAGATTCAAGGAGGGCTCCGTTGCTCTCCTCCCATGCCCAGAGGGATCATGTCCAGCCGCGATGGTATCCGTTTTCGGTAGATGCAGTCGGAGATTCGGGTCTTGCATGACAGTGTGCGCTCTGCGCGGATCCAAGGGGAAAACTGAAGGATCAATCAATACGTGAGCCACAAGTCATAGAGGAAGTACGCACTAATAGTGCAGTCTGACGACTCAGCGTCGTTGTAGAATTTCGGTGCGAGTTTACGCAAAGAGTCGATGATGTACTCGCGCGGCACGCCATCTAAGGGGTGCGGCTGGGCGGAAGGGCGAACATCGTCCAAGGTGGTGGCAGAAGTGGACGGAACGGTGGAGGAGGCCATTGTGCCTAGGTCGGGTCCGAGCGTTAGCCGCGGGAGGTTATATGTGGCAAGCACAATTGGGCAGGGGCGTAGGGATGGGTTGAGTTGCGGCGCGTGTTCTTGTAGGCGCGGTCCCTATAAAGTGCAGAGCTACATACGGAATGATTGAGCCAGAGCGTCGGAGCGGCACACAATAGCTTTCACAGCGGTTGACGAAAGAGGGCAGGTTTCCGCGCGATGCTACATCAGATCTTCCTGTAGCCAGCTTCCGGCTCAGACGGTGATCGGGGAACAGCCCACACGGCGCGAGGGCCGCGAAACGCGGTAAACGCGAGTGACGACGCAGAGCTTGGTTATTGTTCTGACATCTAGCCACGCGAGAGTCGCAATTGTCTACCATCCAAGACATCAGAGCGGAGGGGGCCAGGTTCTGTACACGCCGTCTCTGCGCGCCCTGCATGCGTATACGCGTATATGCGCATCCATTCTTCGGGGCGAGTCAGTTCCCCAAACAGAGGCGAAGTTAACGTTCAGAGCAAGACGAAAGGGCGCTCGTGGCATGCAGCGGCGGAGCGCCCGCGGCATCTTCCGCAAACTCACACGCGTCGCGCCCTTGCTTTGCGGCCACTCGGCCACTGCCCTGTTCTACGCGAGAATGAAGGGCGAGGCGGTCCCGCTACGATCTGACATATTACCTCTGCTAGGAATGATCTCAAAGTACCCTGAAAGTCTGAAAGGTCTTTGTAGTCGGCTTGTACTAGCTGTAATGGAGTGGCCGGTGTACGTATAGTATCGTCGTCAGAGGCCCTCTTTCTGGTCTAGGATGACTGCTGTGAGAGATAATCAGTACCGATCTCCTAGTCTCTGTGCACACAAGGGAGGTGAGACATGTGTGCCCCCGCTGCAGTTGTGATCTGCGGTCGAATCGCACTATGGTCGCAGTTCACAAAGGCCGCAGTCCCGTGCGGTGCTGGTAGCATGGCCATCTGAGTCGGCACTTCACGAGGATCCGCGCACTCACAGTGCTGAGAGCTGTGGTGGAGTGCACGCACCGTTCCGAGCTTACTTTGTTGGGTGGACAAAGGATTGTTTCACACAGTACAACATGCGGCAGTGCGCGCGTTGGTAGCATCAGATAAAGATGTTCGCAAGTCGTGATCATCGCTACCTATCTCGACGAATGCATCTCAGGCCTCGGGGAGTAATACACAATCATCAGTTCATAAAGCAGCTATCATCATCGCGCGCGATGAACAAAGGAAGTGAATGAAGTACCACCGAGACACTGTGACAACCAACGATGGCTGTGACTCTGTTCTCGACTCTGCATCAGTCTTCGTCGACGTTCTCACCGTGGAAGTGGCCCGAGTGGTCCGAGGTAGATGATAGGCTTCTAGAGCTTTGTACGCCGAGATGAACTACGATACCGGGGGCACAGACGCTAACCCTCGTTGGGCGTAGGCATCAGGCGGTAATCTCAATGCCCTGACAGGCACCAGGCTCACGATGAAAGGGAACGCAGCGAGGTGTTTGCGGGCTGGTAGGCATCTGGAAGATACACCTTGAGTGAGCTCGCATGCCAGAAGGAACCTTCGAGATGACCCCAAAGGCCGCAGAAGCATGAGCGTATTTGCAAGTAAGCAAACGAATAGTGCGGTCATATGTCGGAGAAAGGAACGGTGTACCAAAGCTGCTAGTACGCGCCAGCATCCAGTCCCAATACTGCGCCCTTTGGGCAAATCAAAAGGTTGGATGTTCAACGCGTTTCGCCGGCGGCTCACGACGCAACTCACGGTAGCCGCCCAGATACATCGAACAATAGTCAGCCATTAGGCTCGAGATCTGAACAGGTCTACATACACTGCGGACACCAGTACATCCGGGGACGCGGGATTCAAGCAGTGATCAGACGCAGCCCTGTAACGTCGGCGCATCGCTCCGGACTGTGAACCACTCGGTCACAGAATGCTCAAAAAGAAGAACAGGGCCTACGGCCTGAAGCGTGCATACGTTTGTGGCAGGCATGGAATCTGATACACGTAGCATGCGCAGACGGCGTGCAGAGCCACGACGCTGTCGAAGGCGGACAATAGTGATGTAGCCCATTGAAGTTTTACGGGCCCCTTTGGCATCTGCGACGACGCAGAGAATGTTCTAGCAAGCAAATATAAACCCAAGATAAATCCCCGACTACCCCAACTGCGCTCATCCCTAGCCTGTGAGGTGGTCCATCCACAAGTTCACTCGGTGACCCGCGATCACCTAATCGGTGAACTTGAAGCTTAGTGTCTCCAACTATACAACACATCAGCTCTCTGAAGAAGTCATTCAGAAGATAAAGACGTACCGTGATGTCTCCGCCCCGATAGCTGCCCCTCTTCTTCTTGTTCTTCTCCTTGCGGAACCCATCTCCGCGCGTAACGATGAGGTCCGCGCTCGCTTTTGCACCATAATCGTTCGCAGCCGCCCTACGACTTTCGAACGTGTTATCCGCGAGCACAGGATCGTCGAACGTGATCTCCTCCTCGCGTATGCGACGGAAGCGCTCGTTTGTCTTGCGCGGCTTCTTCTCTTTGCCATTGCGGATGGGTAGAGAAGCGGATGCACTTTCTGACGATGTAGTGGCTTCCAAAGGAGGGCGAGTCGGGGCGGCAGCGACAGGAGATGCCACGCGCTGCTTCTTTGCGGGCGGGGCAGGTGTGGATGCTGAGGACGATGATGCGGATGAAGAAGACGCCGCCGCGCGTTTCTGAGCGGCTGGCTTGGAAGGAGATGAATCGAGCTCGTCTTCTTCGTCGCTATCGCTTGAAGAAGAGCTTGAACTGGAAGACGAAGACGCCTTCCGCTTTGTGCCAGCCTTTGCGGGGGGCAGTTGAGTAGTAACAGGCGCTTCGGCTTCGGATTCACTAGACGAGTCTGAATCGGAGTCGCTAGAGTCCGAAGATGAAGATGAAGAGCTCTTCGTGGCCTGAGCTTTTGCGGGCGTCGATGACTTCTGGGCCTTCGGACTTGCAGGCTCGTCGTCCGAATCATCGTCCGAATCATCAGAAGATGAAGGCGAGGATGAAGGTGGGGCCTTGTCAGCGACAGCCTTCTTTGCTGGAGCGGGCGTTTCCTCATCTGAATCGGATGAGTCTGAGTCGGACGAGACCGCCGCAGCCTTCTTGGCCTTCTCGACGGGCTTTGCGGCGGGGGTAGCGTCAGAGTCATCAGAGTCAGAGCCGGAGGCCGAGTCTGAAGACGTAGATGCGACCTTCTTAGCAGCAGGTTTTGTAGTTGCGGGCTCTTCATCCGAGTCGGAATCGCTTTCGCTGTCGTCCGAGTCGTCCGAAGAGTCTTCACCAGTAGTCAGAGTATGGCTCGTGACTGGTGATACAGCTTTCACGATATCGTGAGCCGACGCATCGGCCATCTCTACATCCTCGCCATTATCTGCGAAGCAATTGTAGGTAAGCTAGGCCTGAGGGCGCAAGCACATGGAGCACTAGCATACCAGAGTCCGAGTCTGAGGCTGCAAATGCACGTTAGCAGGTACACTAGCAACTATGCGATGCTAACGCACATGAGGATGAGCTCGAGACCGCGACAACCTTCTTCGCCTGTTTTGCTGTCTTTGTCTTCTCGCTCTCGCTCTCTAAGTCTGAGGAGTCGCTGTCCGAGTCTGAACTCGAGTCGGAGGATGAGGTTGCAGGGGCTGAGAACGGCAATGTCAGCCTACACGCACATGAGGATAGTTAGTTTGGCACTGTACCTGTGGCAGGTTTTGATGCAGAGCTGTATACATTATCATGAGCTCAGAAGGACCCGTGAAGTGTTCGGAGTGCCACACACCTTGACGCCTGCCAATCCTTGACCAAATCTTCCAACTCCGCACCATCCGGAGCAGACGCGCTTTCTACGTCTACAATGTCTTTCGCAGCCTTTGCGACGGCGCTAGCGGCCTTAGTATGGGACTGTTTTTTGAGGAATGCGTAAATGAGCGTGTAGGTGTCTGTCACGCGATGCTTCAGTTTGTAGTTGTGGCAAGCTTGGACCTATATAGACGTACGCTTGAGGCTGTCCTCGGGGCCCGAAGCAGCCGTGCCCGCCATGAGTGCGAGTCTACGTGGGGTGGTGGTAGCAGAAGACAAACTTCCAGACGCGTCTGGCGCGCGCTAAACTCAAAATCGACATGTCGACTTGTTCGCGTCGCGCGTCAACGCGATCGGATTTAGGTCTCCCGCGCTTCGGCGGCGGACGTACGACAGGCGCGCAGTACACCGCATACTTTCTCCTACAACGACGACCATGGCTGACAAGACGATCAAAGGCCTCGAGAAGGCAAAGACAATGGACGGCTCGTCGCTGCGCGTCGCGATCGTCCATGCGCGCTGGAACCGCGAGGTCATCGACGCGCTCGTCGCCGGCGCTGTTGCGACCCTCAAATCCCACGGCGTCAAGGAGAGCAACATTGTCGTGCAGACAGTGCCAGGCTCATTTGAGCTTCCATATGCAGTGCAAGGGTAAACAAGTCACTAGACAAAGATCGCAGATAGGCTGACGTCTATAAGGGTCATCGCCGCCTCGCACGTCCAGATAGGCGCAACGGCTACGGACCTGCTCGGCGGATTGTCCATGTCGCCCTCATCGCGCTCTGGCACTCCGGCGCCGCCGACTGCGGTGGCGATGCCCCAGGAGCCGTTTGACGCGGTCATTGCCGTTGGAGTCCTCATCAAGGGCTCGACGATGCATTTCGAGTATATATGCGACTCTGTGTACGCTCTGCTCGCATCACACTGCCTGGTTTCGTTCTAATAACATGCATAGGTCGCATGCTCTCATGCGCGTACAATTGGACGCTGGCATACCCGTCATCTTTGGTGTCTTGACCGCATTGAACGATGATCAGGCGCTCGAACGCGCCGGACTCGGTCGCGGCGCAAGCAAAGGTCACAACCACGGCGAGGATTGGGGTGCGGCTGCGGTTGAGATGGCGCTCTCGGCGCGCTCATGGCAGTATGGGAAATTTGTGTAAAGATGTACTTCTACCAACCAAACATTGAAATAAACTGTACAACATCGGAATGTACATTACTCCCGTAGCATCTTGTCTCTTGCCACCATCACCCATCATGAAGAAGAAGGTTGGCTGAACTCTTTCCACCGCTGTGAATGGCTTTAGACGTCTGTGCTAGGTATTACTCATGGGCGCGTCGGGGAGCGGCAAGACGTCAATGCGTTCGCTGATCTTGTGCGTCGACCCCGCGCTCGTCGCGTATGGGAGACTCAATGCCAACGCCCGCAGCGCAGTTCGAACAACCCCGCAAGCTTGACCTCACGTCTGGGAGCCACCATCGACGTAGAACAGAACCACGTCCGCTTTCTTGGAGACCTCATTCTGAACCTATGGGACTGTGGCGGTCAAGATGCCTTTATGGACACATACCTCACCACGCAACGGAGCACCATCTTCCAGGCCGTCGGCGTTCTCATCTATGTATTCGACGTTGGCGCACACGAACGCGCGGAGGACTTGGCGTACTTCAAGGACTGCTGTGAGGCTCTCCGCAAATACTCGCCGGACGCCCGGGTATTCCTCCTGCTACACAAAATGGATCTGGTCGGGGCGAATGAACGATCCAGCTTCATTACGCGACGCGGGAAGGAGCTGCGTGAGGTCGATGGCGGTAGCGCAGATGCGGTTGTCTTCGGCACGAGTATATACGACGAGAGTCTATACAAGGCATGCTCCATATTCGCACTCGCGTTCTATGCCCGCCGCTAACGCTAATGCAGGCCTGGTCACGGATTGTCCACACGATAATCCCCAACGCAGAGGTTCTCACCAAGCACCTCACTCGCTTCGCCCAGGTCTGCTCCGCGACCGAAGTCATCCTATTCGAACGCACAACCTTCCTCGTCATCGCGACCTCTGATCTGCAACCACCCGTACTTCCGCCGTCAGAGACCGGCGAGGTCCTGCTGGCCTCACCCGAAGCGCTTCACGCACTGCACAGTGCTCGTTACGAGCGCACGAGCGAGCTCATCAAGTCATTGAAACACGCATGTGCACGCTTGCGCGAGGAATTTGCCGGTCTCGAGCTTGAGCTACCCGAGTGCACCGCGGTTCTTGCTGAGATGACGCGCAACACATATGTGTTAGTGATTGCGCACGATAGGAATATAGGTATGGCCACATATGACGTCCAGCGTGTTCTTTCACTCACACATCCGTACAGAAACGGCCGCGATCAAGATCAACATCCGACTGGCACGCGCGAAGTTTGAGGAGCTCCAGGCCGATACCGTCTTCAGTCGATGACGAAGTTAGAGCATCCATGCATACCTACTTAGACTAGGGTCCTATTCTGCAGGCAATCTCAAACCAGTTGCGGTATCGTATCAAGTTACAGGTCTCGCGCAGAGTCAGCTTGGGTGATATACGGTACGTATGTCAGTCGGGGGAGAAACAGAGTCGCGTGGTTATATGGGCGATTGAGGCCAAAAACTGGGAGGGCTTCTAGTGAGCAAGCGAGACGCCCTTGCCCCTCCACTCCTCCCATTCGTTGCCGAGGACCCGCTCAGCGATGAAGTACGCCACGTCTTGCCTACTGATCGTGTACCCGCCCTTGACGGGAAGATCCGCCTCGATGCGCGTGCGCACAGTGGCCGGTCCTTTCGTCTCGCTCAAGCAAGGCCCATCAGTAAGGAACGCCGGGCGAATGACCACCAGAACATCGCGTAGAGCACCTGGCTCAGGGAATTCTGGGTCGCGCTCCCATCCTACAGGCAGGATACCCTCCGGCGGCGCCATAGTCGGGTCCACAATCGTCCCCGATGCCCGCGCGAGTACCGTCTCGACACCTTGCTTATCCTCGTGCGGCGACCGAAGAAGATAGCCATACATGGTGCGCATGGCCATTGGCAGCTCCTTGTGAGACTGCTTGGTTAATCCAGTGGAGGTGACGGTGACGATACGGGGGTAGGGCGTCGGCAGAGTGGTAAGGACGTTCAGTGTGGCATGGGTCACCAAGTCAGGCGGAGAGATGACAAGTCCTTTGAACATATCGAACTTGGGCGTTCCGCCTACATATGGGATATCTGTCAGAACTTGTGCGATCCAAAATATGAATGCGGTACAACTGACCGAGCGTGAAGAGAAGAATGTCAACGCCGGATTGGTCACCCCCGTTCATAGGCTTGGCCGCCTCCTGCCATCCACGCTGCACATCCTCCTTCTTGAGCGCGTCGCCTTGCACAAGTCGCGCCGCTCCGGCGCGGATGTACCTCTGCATGGTTTCATCCTCTTCGAAGACGCTCGGTGAGCGTAGAAGGAACGTAACCGTGTGACCTTTAGCTTTCGCTGTAGTCAGAGCATGCTTCAAGTAATGAGACGCGCGGCGACGAACCTAGCAGCCGCACGCTGGCAAAATAGCCGATGTTGCGAGAGCCGCCGATGCAGTAAACTTTCATTGTATGCAGTGAAGCTAGATGTCGAGATACTGTCAAGCGAACAAGCCTGAGATTGGTAAGTGGGTGATGGAGGTTATCGGTTCAGTCCCTGCGGTGTTATATACAGTCTCACCCCGGGCTTGGTCCTTAGGGAGAGCCCCTTCGACTCATACCATCTCGTACCGACGAAATCGTGGTTGCGTTGGCCGTACCAGTGCGCCTCGGGAGACCTTCGGGCAGCGTTAGATCGAACACGTTTTTCGTGACGCGGCGTGACTGGCGCTGAGGCGTTCGGGTAACACCCGGATACCGGTTATCTCGCCCACAACAGTTTGCACCGGATGATTCGCTTCAGATGACAGTGCGCCAAGTAATAGCAATGCAATCCGATGAGATCATAGTAGCCTAGGTCAACGATACAGGTAGAGACTCAACACCTGCGGCCAACACGGGCTCAGCAGGTGGCGCCGAAGAAGCGGCGTGTTCTATGCCGGAGATAGTGCCGCATCCTAGACACCAGTTTCCGTCCCACAAAACTGCGACTTGACCCTCGGCTACGCCTTTCTCGAGCTCGTCAAATTCGATACGTACTCCGCCCGAGCTCGCACTACGATGTCCGTTAGATCATCCCGACTCATAGGCTGCTCGGCCTTGAACTACACTCACCGGAACACAGTGCAAGGCGTCTGTCCCGTCTTGTGTCTGACCTTCACCGACGCACGGAACCCATGTGGCGAGTCTATACCGCCAGGCGGCGAGTCTGCCCATATCCACGCAAAGTCGCTGCAAGTAATAGACGGCACGCGCAAGGCGGGTGAGGCGCCATTGCTGACCCAAATGATGTTGCTCGATGGATCTTTGCTGACGACAAACATTCGTTCGGGCATGCCCGGGACTCTCGCGTTCTGCCCTATCGTCAATGACCACAGACCACTGTGTTCGGCTAGTACACGACCGGTTTTTAGATCGCATATAGGACCGGGCCGGGGTGGGAAGTAGTCCGCTACGGGATGCGTGAGCTCCGTGTTCGCACGTAGAAGGGATGCACACACATAGAAACTCGGAGAAGCGGCGCTTCTCGCCTACAAAGCATATACCCATACTCTCTGCCCGCGATGCAGTAGGCAGACCCGCAGCGTGAGCAATCTCCCGTATTCGCGTTTTTGTCAGGTCGGCCAGCGGGAACAGCGCCTTGGATAAGCCATGTTCAGATATCGAAGACAGAAAATACGTCTGGTCCTTGGTAGGGTCAGCGCATCGCAGTAGTTTCGGCCTCCCAGTTTCTGCATCATGATCCTTCCGTGCGTAATGACCTATCGGCAGTCAGCCTCAGTGAAGGCATTGCTGTACTGGGTTCGACATGCCTGTTGCCAAGAACTGCGTATCAGGCGGTAAGTGTTCGAGTAATGACCCAAACTTGATCTCTCTTCGGGCAGAATCAGTAGCGAGATGACACAGAGTACAAAGAGCAACGAACTTGTTACACCAAATGTCAGGATTGGGTGTCACGCCAGACTCCCATGCTTTGAGAGACGGTTCAAAGACACGGTTCCAGTAGTCGCGCGAGAGGTCTATCTGGGCGCGGTGATGAGTGTGACTCTCAGACCTATACTTAGCTCGCATTTCGCACCATACGGTGGGGGATATCAAGCATCTTGCAGACTCGTTGGACATCCTCCCAGTCCCTATTGACATCAGCTGCGGAGAACAGGAGAAGGTAGACGGTGTACTAACTTCTCCCATTCGCAGCCAATGTCGGATGCTTTCTCATCGCGGGAGTCCCAGTTTCGCATGAACACGGCGGAGAGATCATAGTCCTATGATATATTGAGCTGCAAGGCCTACTACTCGGGAGTATACGACACAGACCTTCTCCGCGAGTAGCTTTGCTGTCACAGAGGAGTCTACTCCTCCGGACATACCAACAACGACTGGGTATTTGTGAGCTAGGAGATCGTCTCGTCTTCTTCCAACGGCAATACCTTTGTCGCCTTTCCTGGGAAGTCTTGCAGGCGCATGACGAACGGAGAAGGCGCGAGTGAATGCATGCGAACGAAACCTGGTCATGGTGGTGGCGGAGAAAGGCATGTGACCGTTGACGGGAATTGTGCGAGTAAGAGAGTCGGCTGGCCTCGCCGAAGGCTCGTTTTGATCTCGCCTAACTGCTGGCGTCGGCGCATCGGAAGTGAGCGAGACACGGAGCTTTGCCGCTCCACCGGCTACAGCAACAATTTATTCTGGGGACATTCGCGGCATGAAGAGCATACTGGAATGCACAGTAGTGGAAGGAGCGATGAGAAACAGCCGAGAACGTACTGGCCGCAGCTAAGGCCGAGGGCCACAGCGGGCGGTCCGAATGGCCGCCGATCGCCTACGGCCGAAAAGCGAGTCAACCCTCCGAGTCAAGCGCGCGTCGACATTTAGCTTGTCCTGCGGATCCTTCTGCTTCTTACTTCAGCTCCACCACCATCTTTACGCTCAGGATGTCGCTGGCTGCCATTAAAACCCGCGCCGCTAACCCCGCGCCTGCGCTTGTGCGCTCAAAACATACCGTAGCCTCCTCCTCTTTCCTCGAGGCAAAAGCGCGTGTCCAAGACCGTGCACGGTCTATCAGCCGCTCTTCTACGCAAAATGCTGTCGTATCTCAGGCCGTGTACGTGCAGGAAATACTGTATCTTCGCGAAATTCACTGACTCGAATATAGGCGGCCACCACCAGCGCCTGGCTTCCAGCAGCTCCCGACGCGGAATAACGTTCCTTTTGCACCTTCGCATATCGGTCCTCACTCAGATGCTCACCTGGACCACTCATTTATCGGGCTCTCTGGCGGCCAGATCTTCCACGAGATGATGCTTCGACACGATGTCAAGCAGATCTTCGGTTACCCAGGAGGGGCTATTCTGCCCGTATTCGACGCAATCTACAACTCCGAGCACTTTGACTTCATTTTACCCCGCCATGAACAAGGCGCCGGTCACATGGCCGAAGGCTACGCCCGTGTGTCTGGCAAGCCCGGTGTCATCCTCGTCACGTCCGGTCCTGGCGCGACCAATGTCATCACGCCTATGCAGGATGCGCTGAGCGATGGTGTCCCCCTCGTTGTTTTCACCGGCCAGGTCGCAACTTCAGCCATTGGTTCGGACGCCTTCCAAGAGGCCGACATTGTTGGCATCTCCCGCTCATGTACAAAATGGAACGTCATGGTGAAGGATATCTCGGAGCTCCCAAGGCGGATCAACGAAGCCTTCAAGATCGCCACTTCCGGACGTCCCGGACCCGTGCTCGTCGACCTGCCCAAGGACGTCACCGCGGGCATCCTCCGGACACCTCTGCCCTACAAAGCGACTACTCCGGGCATCAACCTCGGCCTGCCCACAAATCCCCTGTTGCCCTCAACCGAGTCCACGTTCGCGCAGCTTGACCTTCCCTCGCTGCGCCACGCCGCCAACTTGATCAACGCTGCCGAAAAGCCCATCATCTACGCCGGCAATGGTCTCCTCAACCATCCCGATGGCCCCAAGTTCCTCACACAGCTGGCGCAGAACGGCAACATCCCCGTTACCACAACGCTGCAAGGTCTCGGTGCATTCGATGAGACCGATGAGAAGTCGCTGCACATGCTCGGCATGCACGGTTCTGCATACGCGAACATTGCAATGCAGCAGGCGGACGTGATCATCGCTCTGGGCGGCCGCTTCGATGACCGCGTGACTGGCAAGATTGACGCATTTGCGCCCGCCGCCCGTGCTGCAGCAGCGTCTGGCCGCGGCGGCATCATCCACTTCGAGATCCAGCCGAAGAACATCAACAAGGTTGTTGACGCGACTGTGCCCATCCTCGGCGACGTCACGCAGAACCTCTCCGCGATGCTGCCCATGATCAAGCACGCACCTCGTGAGGGCTGGTTCAAGGACATCCGTGGCTGGAAGGAGCGCTATCCCTTCACCTATATCAAGAGCTCGCCGGAGAAGGGTGAGAAGATGAAGCCTCAGGAGGTTATCGAAGAGCTGGACGCTCAGTCGCGCGGTCGCAAGGAGGACGTCATCATCTCAACCGGTGTCGGTCAGCACCAAATGTGGGCGGCACAGCACTATCGCTGGACGCAACCTCGTTCGCTGGTCACATCCGGCGGTCTCGGGGTATGTATCTTCTCGTACACATTTCGCGGCTCGTTCTGACCAAAATGATAGACGATGGGCTTCGGCCTTCCTTCATGTATCGGCGCCAAGGTCGCTGCGCCCAATAAGATTGTTGTCGACATTGACGGTGACGCGTCATTCTCTATGACCGCCATGGAGCTCCAGACCGCCTCGCAATACGGGATTGGTGTCAAGGTCATTGTCTTGAACAACGAGTTCCAGGGTATGGTCTTGCAATGGCAAGGTATGTCTTTGTGTGTTGTTTACTTTAGCTACCCGATTGACGTTTGTCCATAGACTTATTCTACGACAAGCGATACTCTCACACGCGCATGACGAACCCCGACTTCATCCGCTTGGCCGAGGCCATGGGTGTGCACGCCATCCGCGTACACAACGCAAGCGAACTTCCGGCCAAGATGAAGGAGTTCCTCGAGTATGATAACTCGAAGCCTGTGCTCATGGAGTGCATCGTGGAGACGAATGAGCACGTGTACCCGATGGTGCCTGCCGGCAAGGCCCTGCATGAGCAGGTGCTGCACCCGTCATATGCGGAGAAGAAAAGCGCATGAAGGCCTTTGCTCCCTACATCATTGGCTTCCACTCACATCCGCGTACTTGCCGTCTTCCCCACCGATTTGGTTCTGTCATCTGCATCTGTGCTTGTATCTCCGCTCATGCGTGCGCGCACATTCTTTACACCTGGATTCTGACGTCTGTGCACTGCCTGGCCACCTACTCTACACGCTCTTCGACGTCACACCTTAACCATCACTAGCTCAATACTCCTCCAATATGCCAATGTAGGAGTTGTACAATGACGCTGCTCGTCGATATTGGTTCAGGTCGTAAAGTATATTTGGTACGTAATGTGTCAAACTTGAGGCCTTGTGAACCACGGGCGATGATACAGGGAAGTATACAGAATGGATATCTCGGGCAGTCCACTATCGATTCGATTCTGATATCTGCTGTATGGTGCATCTCAGTGATCTTTGATGCGACGTTGGCACCGTTGTTTATGCTCCTTCCAATGCCTTTGACAGTGGTCAGCCTCAAGAAAATCTCGAGAAGAACAGGGACGCACGCCTTCTGGCATTCCCGACTACAGTAACCGACCTGCCCGCAGCCTGCGCATATGCGAAGCCTATTGAGTGGCCGCTCTGAGTGATATTGGCAAGAAATGAATGAACAGAAGGTCGCTGCAGCTCTTCGCGCGTCTGCTTGTAGCCTCTCGAAACGAACGCGCTCTTTCTCAGGTGATAGATTGAATATCGTCCCGAGATTGAACCATATACGCCGTGCCCGCTCCTGCCCTGGCGAGATGCGTTCCTTTTCCGCTACCTCGCACAGCGTGCGGTGCGTGGGCCACCACACCTCCGCAAACTCATCACAAAAGCGGGACAAGACGTCCTTCAAATCCTTGTGAGCAGGTAGAGTGCGCTGCCTGCGCCCCTTCACAACGGGAAGGTTCTGGATAGTTTCGGCATGAAAGTCGAGCATGTATACAATTTGGTCGAACGTGCGAAGCACTGTATGGCTGGATTAGCATGATGGGCATACTTGGTACGAGTACGGCTCACGATCATCTGCCTGACTAACAGGCAGCGTACTAAAGTGGGTCATACCGTACGCAAGGTATCGCGATCCACCATTCAAGAGAGAAGAGACTACTGCGTACGCCGATGAAGTATTGTTTGAGGCTGATGTCCATTGTCCTTTCGACCATTTCTCCGGACAATGTACACTCATTGTACCGCTAGATTCACGTAGCGCGTGAGCACACTCGTTGCCTGTATTCACCGCATGATGGACTCGACGAACCGGAGTAAACTCCCGATAGCCCTCCAAACGCTGGCCTTTGTCTTGATAGATTCGGTTGTGGAAGACATGGGGCGCTCATACACCGCATACGCTGCTGAATAGAACCCTAATGTTATGGCGCAGTGTTGTACGTTCACATTTGTCACCAAAACAGAGACACCGTCCAGAAAGGTGGCGAGGTCGTCGAGCCGATTGGAGGTGTATTTGAGATCGGCGTGCATCCGAGACACGACGTGCTCCGCACCATACTCGTTCACAAGTGCATTCTCTATGCGTTGTTTATATTCGTTATTGTTCAATGACCGCGCAGCAGCGTCCGAGGTCGCGTTCAACAGAACGTGCACAGCGAGGTCGCGAGCACGACCTGTAGTCGCTTTGTACCACCAGTCCAAGGCAAATTGAGTGAACTCAGATGGTAATGATCGCCCCCTACGAGATGAAGTTTTGTCAACCTATAGGATCCAGATATGCTGATGGAACAACTACGCACGAACGATAGAGCAAAGATCCCATCTCTACGAGCGCACGACCGAGCTCGCACCAAGCCGCTTCATCGGCGAATATAACGTCCCTGTCGCGGGAACTTCTGAGCAGGCGTCGAATGAATTGTATGAGTTTGTCGAGCACGCTCTCAGTGAGCGAAGGGAGCGAATCCTTCGGATTGCGTGAGATCTGGTCGATCTCGAGAAAGCGCCAGAGGGTCGTGATAATGTGCGGCCTAGTGGACTTGCAGGAGGTGAGAGGCTGGGAAACCAGGGCAAATGCAACTCACGACTTCCGTGCCAAAAAAGCCATCGGTCAGAAGAGGCATCGCATCTACAACTTCTTGTGACCTTGAAAACGAGGGCGACGTGTCTAATTGGTGTAGAGGTATTTTATTCCTCTGCGCCTCGTCCAATCTCATAGGTATGCCATATAGAACCGAAGCATTCAGCAGGCTCTCCGGCTCAGGAAAGCGCCCCAGGAGATCGACAGCGGCCACCATATGAGCGCAGGCAGCGTAGGTGTTATGCTCGCCGCTCTCTGCCATTGCTTGAACGCGAGTCATGCAGACGAGACAGCTTTGTCGACTGCAGCGATGATCATTCCGCATGGCATCAAGAAGGGTCTGGCCTCCACCGTCCCAACCATACGTTACTCTATGACCGATTGGTGAGCTATCTGCGCACAAAAGTAGCCAGCGTTGTCCCTGTCACTTACTTGGGCGGCATGACGGACGGATTGGACCCTCCGCGAGAGGGCAGTGGAAGTATTGAGTAAGAACGGTCGTGTCCAAGTCGGCCCCAGACGTGGTCGGCAATTGCGCCCTTCATCTACCCGAGGCTAAACGGCGCCACGTGCAAAACGCGCGTATCACTTCTAGACAGAGCTTCGTAAAGGGACTTATGCTGGATGTACGGAATGCATTGCTTCAAGGCGGAGGAATGCGATATACAAGAGAATATCATGTTGGTGGAGTGAAGCGACAAGCTGTTGCGCTTCTCCGTTGCCGCGGCTCGCGACGGCGCGCCCTGACTGTCGCCACACACGGTGATTGCACGGTGACACACACCCACGCTTGCATACATCTATCCCCAATCGATCACTGGGAAAGAGTGGGTTTCACTTGGATCACACGGTATAGAATTGAGCTCGCAAAAGTAATTCCGTTCAAGTACCAGGAAAACACCGCCCAAGACACCAAACAAAGTTGAACCCCTCGTACCCAAAAGACTGCGTCGCCAGCGGCGCAGTCCAGCCCACAGGAGATCATTACAGTCGTACAAGGCCAGTCATTCGTAAGGTACTCAGTCGTGTAAGTATGCAAACCATCTACTCAAGGTCGTCGATCGAACGCGCAGACATATCAGAGACCAATCTGTTGAGAGTTCGGTCAGCTCGTGAGTGAGGGTGGGCAAGTATATGCACGTACTCGTCGCGGCCAAACAAGTTGGAGAAGAACGAGCCGATCGCGGTGAACGAGCGGGCGTCGACGTCGCGCTTCTCCGTGTTGGCGTAGATGATGCCCGTCTCGGTATCGACGTACATCTCGCCGCGACGGGCAATGTGGAAGTTATCGTCCAGGAAGTTCGTGACGGCATCGCCGATCGCAGAGAAGGAGCGCTCGTTGAGCTCGTCGCGCTTGTTGAACAGGTTGGAGAAGAAGTTGCCGATGGCGGTGAGGGAGCGTGCGTCAAGCTCGTCGCGCTTGTTGAAGAGCGAGCTAAAGAAGTTGCCAATCGCGGTCAGGGAGCGGGCCTCGTTCAGGTCACGCTTCTCCGACTCGTTGTAAATGACACCCGTCTCCGTGTCGACGTACAGGTCACGGCTTGAGAAGAGAGTTAGTCAAGCGTCAACGCGCAGAAAACCAAAAGCACATACCCAAAGAGGTTGCTGAAGAAGTTCCCGATGGCGGTGAACGAGCGCGCGTCGAGAGGCTCATCCCGCTTGTTGAAGAGACCACCGATGAAATTCTCGATGGCGGTCAAAGAGCGGGCCTCGCTCAAGTCGCGCTTCTCCGACTGGTTGTAAATGACGCCAGTCTCCGTGTCGACGTAGAGGTCACGGCTGGAGAGAAGAGTAAGCCAAGTGTTCACACGTTACTGCGAGGGCGATCACACACCCAAAGAGGTTGCTGAAGAAGTTTCCGATAGCGGTCAACGAGCGCGCGTCAAGAGGCTCGTCACGCTTGTTGAAGAGGCCTCCGAAGAAGTTCTCAATAGCGGTGAGCGAGCGCGCGTCGAGTTCATCGCGCTTGTTGAAGAGACCACCGAAGAAGTTCTCGATAGCCGTGAGAGACCGCTCGTCGAGCTCGTCGCGCTTGCCGAACAAGTTGGAGAAGAAGTTGCCGATGGCAGTGAGCGAACGCGCGTCGAGCTCATCACGCTTGTTGAACAGACCGCCGATGAAGTTCTCGATGGCCGTCAACGAGCGCGCTTCGTTCAGGTCGCGCTTCTCCGACTCGTTGTAGATGATGCCCGTCTCGGTGTCGACGTAGAGGCCGCGGCGGCTGATGATGAAAGGGTCAGTCAAGCATCGCGACAAAGCTAGCTCAACGACCACATACCCGAAGATGCTGCTGAAGAAGTTTCCGATAGCGGTCAGCGAGCGAGCGTCCAGAGACTCATCACGCTTGTTGAAGAGACCTCCAAGAAAGTTCTCGATGGCAGTGAGCGAGCGCTCGTCGACGGCGCGCTTAGCGGTGTGATCACCCAAGATATCCTCCGCGACGTTGCCGATGAAGTTGTTGATCGCATCGAAGGAGCGAGCGTCCAAAGGCTCGTCGCGCTTGTTGAAAAGACCTCCTAGGAAGTTCTCAATGGCGGTCAAGGAGCGGGCCTCGTTCAGGTCGCGCTTCTCCGACTCATTGTAGATGATGCCAGTTTCGGTGTCAACAAGCAGGGCGCGGCGGCTTTGAAAGGGGTTAGTCAGTTGGCATTAAAAGACGGGATGAGGACCGCGCACTTGAAGAGGTTGCTGAAGAAGTTCCCGATAGCCGTCAACGAGCGAGCGTCCAAAGGCTCATCACGCTTGTTGAAGAGACCTCCGAGGAAGTTCTCGATGGCCGTCAGGGAACGAGCCTCGTTCAGGTCGCGCTTCTCCGACTCATTGTAGATGATGCCAGTCTCGGTGTCAACGTAAAGGCCGCGACGGCTGCGAGAACAGTTAGCCAGGTGTAATCGGACGACGAAACGAGGAGCACGTACCCAAAGATGCCGCTGAAGAAGTTCCCAATAGCCGTCAGCGAGCGGGCGTCGAGATCGCGCTTGCCGAACAAGTTAGAGAAGAAGTTGCCGATGGCAGTGAGCGAGCGCGCGTCGAGCTCATCGCGCTTGTTGAAGAGACCGCCGATGAAGTTCTCGATGGCGGTCAACGAGCGCGCCTCGGTGACGTCACGCTTCTCCGACTGGTTGTAGATGACGCCTGTTTCCGTGTCGACGTACAAGTCGCGGCTGGACAAGGGTAAGTCTAATGTCAACGCGTAAGAGAACGGACAAGTACGTACCCGAAGAGGTTGCTGAAGAAGTTTCCGATGGCGGTCAACGAGCGGGCGTCGAGGGGCTCGTCGCGCTTGTTGAAGAGGCCTCCGAAGAAGTTCTCGATGGCGGTGAGCGAGCGCTCGTCGAGGTCGCGCTTGTTGATGCCGCTGACGCCGTTGACGCCGTTGTGCAAGACCTCACCCACGATTGGCGCGAGGACCCTGCCAATCGCGCGCGTAGGGTGAACCGGTGCGAGCTCGAAGGGGCGAAGAGGCGCGGCGACGGCAACGTGGGTCGCGGCGGCGACGATGGCAGCGAGGGTAAGGAACTTGGCCTGCATCTTGAGAGTGATAGAGTAGTGTCGGGTGGTCGTAAAGAGGAGTGACTGGTGGGGCGTATTCGTGAGGAGACGTGAACGACTGAAAGGTCCGGGCCTGCGGGTGGGTAACGAAAGGGCGAAGAAAAAAGAAGGACGGAGAGAAGGAGCTCGAGGTAACCGGCACCTGAGACTCGAATGGAAGAGCAGAGCTGAGGTTTGCTGGCTGCGGTGCGCTGGGTTATATACCCGGAGATAGGTCAGCGTGAAGAGGTTGATCCATCACGCGGAATATACGATCGTGATGGGACAACTATTGCCTCGACGTCGTCGTCGGAGTGGTGCACCGGGCTATGCTGTGCACGATGAGCTCGGCGGGATGGGACCTGCAGGGGTATGACCCCTTTGATTTGAAACTGTATAGTTGGCAACACGCACTCGAAGCACACGAGCAAGCGCTGCGGTTCAGAAGACTTGAACTATGTCCATCGTGAGTTCGCTAGTCTCTAAATTCATCAGAAGAAAGTGGAGTGAAGTATACACCTTCTACGCCTGCATCAGATTCTGGCAACGTGAGTCTGTAGAGCAACGCATGCGCTTAGGCAGCTCTGCTCGACTAGACATACAATCCGACCGTCGCACCCGGAAGCAGCCACCATACGTAGAATTGATGGATGGAGACGAGGGTCGAGGTGTTGGCAACGGATCGGCGGCAGCAACGGGAAGAGCGCCAAGAGAATCGATGCAGCGACCCGCACACAGCAGCAATGGATGGGACAAGGGCCATCTGGAATAAAATACGAACACGAGGTTCAACAAGGATGATGGCGGTGGCGGCGGTTGATGGTGAGCAGCGCCTCTGCGGGAGGCTGTGTGGCACGTCTTCTCGCACAATAATCTCATCGAAAGTTATATGGCTACGTTCTTCCAACTCTCCAACTTGGCGAAGATGTTACTACAACCAGACGGAGGAATGGAGGAAGAGCGCAGGTGGAGGTGGGGGGAGAGGATCAAGTTGAAGCGGTCCGGGCTCTATTGAGTTGCGCGCGTGTGTGTTGTTCTCGAACATTGGGAGTAGTGCAGGTTGTCGAGAACGTCCACCGTCGCAGATACCCCGTAATTATGCTCGCCGCGCCCGCTGGCTCTGGGCCGCGCATTTCGCAGCTTCTCCCTTCGGTTACCTGCTCCACCTGCGGCGACCAGGTCTCGCTCGACCAGCTCGCGGATCATGTCTGCAAGCCCCAGTCCTCGCCCGCCTCTGCTCCCGAGCCGAGCGTCTCCAAGACGTCGCTGCTCTCCCAGCGGCTGCAGGACCTGACGAACAGGCGCGAGTCGGCCGCGACGCAGTCCTCGCGCTCGAGCTACTCGACACAGCGCTCGCCCTCGCCGGTCCGAACTCCGCGCGCGCCGTCTCCTGCCTCGACCATCCGCTCGAACCACACCTACCGCCCAGAGTCCCAGTTCTCGCGCCATGAACGTATACCCAGCACGTCGTCTCGCGCGCCCTCCATCGCACGCTCGGCATCGCCCGCCGCATCCATCATTCCGCCGCCCCGCGCTCCATCCGCCGCCTCCTACCGCTCTCGCACGCCCTCCAGCACGGCAAGCTCCGCCCAGATGCCGCCTCCGACCCAACGTGCGCCCTCTGCAGCGTCTAATCGCTCCCGTGCACCCTCGAATGCGTCAGCTCGCTCTGGGATGCCGTATCCTGGCCCGGCGGGTATCGCCCTTCCATCACAGCGCAGGCCGTCGGTCGCATCATCCTTCCGTTCCGCTAGCTCCCCGCAAGAGGAACAGCGCAGGCCATCCTTCAACCAAGCTCGCACCCCTCCACCGCCCGCTGGCATCCCCCGATCTCTCTCGCCCGCACGCGCTCCCGTGACACCGCCCATTCCTCCGCTATCTCCGGGAGCGCACTCTATTTACGCCGAAGATGACATCGACACAAAGACGGGCGGCGAAGCGGGAATGGCAGGCGTCGGACGTCGCGGGTTCGCCGCTGCGGCCCGCGCCGCAATGTTCGCCACCTCCGCTGGTTCCCTGTCACCGTTTCAGGAACAGGCGCCCGGCATGGCTGGCAGGAGAAGCAATGCACCTCCCACCTTGGATATGGCTCGTGCAGGTCAGTGCTTCTGTCAAGTGTCACCCATTCTCCAAGTGATAGCCTCGAGATCGCTGTCTTCTCTTTGGGTGCCATGAGAAGATGAATCGTAACTGATCTTCTTTCCTTCACAGGCGCGCTTCCGATGTTACCCCCGATTGGCGGCGCTTCCCCATTCACGCTCTCACCGCACTCGCCGAACAGCCAACACTCGCTGTCTCCCCTGTCCCCTCACTCACCCGAATCTCGGGCTTATTCGCCCACATTCACCACTTCGACTACGTTGACCAACTCGTCCACGAACACCACCCTCGTAAATGGCTCATCACCCACACCGACGAATCCTTATAGCCTGAACCTTCCCCCCCTCTTTGGCAAGCCGCTATCTGGAGAGGCATCTCCGATCTCCTCCATTCCTTTCCCGTTGAAACCTGGCGAGGGTCCCCAACGCAGCGAGCCGCTCACCCCGACATCGCCTGGAGATACTGCACGGGCACCGTTCTTCGAGAACAAGCCTACACCTCGCCCGCCAAAGGAACACCACGACGACAGCGATGAGGAGTCCCTTGACGACATGGCCCTTCGGCTCTCACAAGAGCTGGACAACCTTGCGCTTGACTTCAAGCCCTCGGGTGATACCATTCCCCGCTCTAGCTCGCCATTGAGCGACGATGAATCGGACTATGGCGGGCTTGCGTATGACGCCGTCAGCGACCGCTCCTCGGTCAAATCGCACTCTCGCACCCCATCACGCTCAAACTCGCAACCCACGACACCGCTCTCGCTCCGCAAGCCCAGCCTGCCGTTTGAAGCTAGTGTTCCGCCTGTGCCCGCCCTTGACATGTCCGCAGTACTCCGGTCGTCGTCGAGCACAGTTGACTTGCGCGGCCCCGCGGGTCACTCACGCACGGAAAGCCGCGACAGCTCTCGTTCGCGTGGACCCGGACACCAGCGAGGACCGAGTCGAGGCTTCGCGCCTACACTGAATGGGCCGGATACGGGTACAGGGCTTGTACGCCCCGACAGCCGCTCGAGTAACCGTTCAGCACCGGGCGCGCGCCCCGCTGCCGCAGTAGACCCCACCGGCGCGTGGGGTATCGTACGCGCCAAGACCGCGACTGGTGGGGAAGTTGCGCGCGAGCAACGACAGCGTGAGGCGGCAGCCGAGCAGCCACCAACACCGCGCCGCGTCGGCACGGTGTCTGGTACTATGGGATCAGCACATGTACACGAGCGCGTGCGGACACGGACAGAGAGCGGACGCAGTTCAAAGCCGAGGGAGTGCGTCAAGTGCGGGGTTACGATCGAGGATGGGCGGTGGGTCCGCGTTGAGAGTGGCAAGGGTGTGTTGTGCGAGAGCTGTTGGAAGGGGATGTACTTGCCGAAGTGCAGACGGTGCGGGCTGGTCATTGAGAAGCAGGCTGTATCGTCTTCGGATGGACAGTTGAAGGGCAAGTACCACCGCGAGTGCTTCAACTGCCATACCTGCCATGTACGTGCCTGCCATCCGATCTAACGAACGCAGACTAATGCTTCCTGTAGAAACCATTCCCGGACAAATCATTCTATGTGTTCGACGGCAAGCCTTTCTGCGCTTACCACTACCACGAAGCCAACGACTCGCTCTGCGCCGCGCCCTTCTGTGGCGCGCCCATTGAAGGACCTTGCGCAGTCTCGCACGCCGGCGCACGGTACCATCCCGAGCACCTGACGTGCGAGTTCGAAGACGAGGTCGAAGACGAAGACGACTCGGATTACTCCGACGACGACGACATGGACCTCCACCGCAGGCTCGGCGTGCGCAAGCCCAAGACACGCACCAAGCACCGCTGCACGACCCGTCTAGACGAATACTGGGAGGTCGAGGGCCGCATGCTCTGCGAGCGCCACATGCATCGCGTGATCGGCAACGCGTCGCGCATGGAGCGCGCGCAGAGGCGGGTCACTCGCTTCATCGACATCGCGGGGCTGCGATAGATACAGGCGGAAATACCCTGAATATGAATATGAAGTGCGGCGGGAATGGTCGTTCGTTTGTGCATACCCTCCCACCCCCGCTCCTGTGCAGCCCGCGCATCTATTACAATCGCCGGATCATTCAGAATTCAAAGGATACACCAATAATTCGATACCTCGATATCCTCTGACCCCCATGCCGGACGCTCTCGCCCGGCTCTAATGTCTCGCGCTTCGACGCCCCACCTTACAGCTCATCATGCACAGACAGTACTTTTTCAATTTACTATCAACCAACTCAAGTACTTACGCGCCACCTCATTCACGTTCCCTGTTCGCGAACCCCGATTACTTTCTTGCTTTCCCATGCTGTGCTGACGAACCCCCCGGACTTACTACACTCGCTGTCGGATTTCTTTTTCACGCTCACTCACTACTCGTTCTTTTCGTATCCCCCTCTCGTTGTGTCCATCCCACATGCAACTTTCACTATCACTCACTATCCACCCTGTCACTGTCCTTTTCGTTCTCTCGCTATCACGCCTGGGGGTCGCGCGCGGCCGGTGTTTTTTATCCCTTCGTACGACGTCTTCCGTGTTTCGACGTTCTGGTGTGGTATATTATTTGCGCTTGCGCTTCTGTGTATTTTATTATCGTTGAACACATCTAGTAGCAGTAGTAGTGCCGACTGTCCAGAGTGACGAATCTGACCGACGGAGTCGCGGTAAGTAAGTGCATACTATTCGTGCATTCTCAGCAGTAGGAGCATGGAGTATGTGTGCAGGACCGGTCCGAGATCCGACAGCGCCGCCGTTGTGCAAGCTGCGTTTCCACTTCTCCTGCGACGATCATCTGCCTCTGCTCCCTTATGGAAAATAGTCGCCATTCACTCACGTCTCAATGGGGTGACGCTTTGGTGGCGGGACGATCCTCAGGTCTGGCCCTGAGACCTGTACGCGTAAGAAGACGCATGTTGTCCCTCGTGTGGGGTCCCCACTTGTGCCAGTCAAGGAAGGCGTTGTTCGTCCGTCAAGCGGCGCAGGCCGTACTAGGATAGATGGACTTTGGTCGCCACTCGTAGACCTAACTACAGGCAATGATCTGTGTCAATGTCAAATAGCATACTACTAACCATGTATGGACGTCCTATTGAGCCTGTGTCTTGAGGGACGTACAAATACTTGAGTCTCCTGTCCGTCTGGCGGCACTGTTCCCAGCGCTCAGTACTCTCTATCCACTTCATCACTTCCTCACTTCCTATTTTGCATGGCTGAAACAAGGTCCGCACTTGACTGTACCACTCCTGCAGAGCATTCCGCACGCTGACCTCATTCGAACAGCCAGAACATCCTACACGTCGTTTGCGACCCTGTAGTCGAGCTCACGTACAGTGACGGACCTACCAACTTTACCCTCGGACAGACGCCAATACGCATCGCCTTCACAACCGAACGAAAGAACGACTCTGTTCTCGAGGTGGTATCCTCAGACCCTGATGAAGATCCGGGCGCGACGGTCATTCTACTCCGGCCATTGCATCCCGCGTTCCGCGGGGTCCTGTACCTACAAGGACGAGGCAAATGGAAGCCGTCTGATGAGAAGAGGTCGTTCATGGCCTTTCTGGGCGAAGCCGCGTTCTACTTCTCGCTCTTGACGCACCACTTGCCGACCAAGTTTGGGGCCATGCGCGACGACATTCGCATTACAGTGCAACATGTCTACCGGAGATCCGGCTCAACGGCTTTAGAAACTCGCCGCGTCGCGCCTCGAACACTACACAACCAGCAGCAAGTGTATCCCGTACAGCAGGGCGCTGCATATGGTCTTACTCTGGACAACTTGCATCCGCACGAGCTCTACGTCGCCGTCCTGGTCTTCGACTGTGACCTTTGTATACGTGGGTTATTCCTGTGACGTTTGGTTCGATGGCTGATCCATTCAATAGGCGAGGTGCATCGCACCAGAGCGAGGGCCGGCAGACCTATTCGACGCGACGAGCTTAGCGAGAGGGACCGTCGCAAGGAAGAGCTTCTCCTGAAGCTAGATGGCACGACTCTACCTCGCGTCGAAGACCGAAGTACGCAGCTCTGGCGTTCCACGGACGACCTTTTATGTTTCAGTGGCAAGATCTCATGCGTACGCATGATTATATCGAAGAAGCAGTTGCCTCCTTGGAAGGAACTCCTCATCCCAAGCGCGAAATCAGGGTGGGATGCACTCACTCTGATCTGCAGTACCGATACTCTATGATGCTTGATCTCTCTCCGTTTGTGAATTCGGTACTACATGTATAATCTTACACTATTCACTTCAAGTACTACTTACATAATGATACAAGCCTACGGAGTACATGATCGATCTGCAGATACATCGAGGAGGGAGGTGATTAAACATTCGCATCGTTGTCTTGTTGCTCTAACCGCTTCGCGATCCATTCTCTGATGAAGGTACTGCTCATCTTAGTCTGTTTCAGGATCTCGGCCTCCGCTGGGTCCAACTTTGTAGAATCATGAGAGATGACATCAATGACTAGCGTCTTCAGGGCTGGCAGTTTACGTTCCGCGCGTAATTTGTCGACTGTAGTACTGTCAGCAGTGCACGGTTTGGGGAGTATGGACAGGGCAACATACTCGAAGCAGCGCCACTCAAGGTCTCGTGGCTGACGATCAGCGCCTGAATGTTGGGGTCGGTTGCGGTAGGTCCATATACGTCGGCAATCGGAACGGCATCACATCGTAGTGAGGGCTTGAAGCGAGCGAGGAAAGCTTCTACCTTACTGGTGCGTACATTGATGGGCTCCATGACGTGCCGGAATTTCTTGCCTTTCAACAGCACTTCATCTGCGCAGGTGGTGTCATGAGTACCAACAGACGAGACAGAGAACCGAGGACATACCAGTTACCCCGACAATGAGCTTCTCATCTGCTACCCAAGCGCCCATACTGAGCAGAATCTTATGCCCGGCGTGCAAATGATCGAAGGTGCCGCCTAACGCAGCGACAGGGTACGAGGACGGCTGGTCAGGATCGACGTTGCGCTCAGCATGAGGTGTGCCGGCCTGGCTCTCCGGGTTCCGGTTTGTGCACCAACATATCCTCAGTGAAGCAAGTGCTGGAGGTAGTAGTGCAGGAATGCTATCTGAAAGCCATTACGGGGCCGATAAGTCTCATAACTTCTGGGAAGCGAGCGCTATCCGCACCTCCTTGTATCCTGAACATGATCTGCATGTCCTTTCCGAATCCTTCGGGTAGCTCGTCGTCCAAGCCCTTTAGCAGGACGTCCACATCTAGCAGTATTCGGTCGAGCTCTTGGGCGACGCGCGTAGCCGCAACATAGACATACGTGAGCAAGCGCTGTATGTCATCCCACAACGCTACGCGGGAGGTGGGTGTGTCCATGCTCGAGATGCTGGACACGCTGCCCTGGGATCGACGCGAATGTCGGGATGACACGCTCTGAGAGCGCTTGCGCGCTGCTGAAGCTCCAGAGTTGAAATGGCGCGAGTACAGTACGATGGATAGATGTTTCGTTGTGCAACGTGCTGCCGTAGCGATCGCGGGTGCCAGGAAGTGCGGCGGATCAAGTGTCGGCAAAGTCGCAAGTAGAGCAGATCGGTCGAATGTGGCGTTGAGCATAGCGCCGGTTCGGTCTGTGTTGACGGCAAGATCGTCAACGAAGGGTGTATTGCGTGCCGGCTGGAGTGGAGACCTTGTAGGCTGAGAGGTTGAAGCGGATCCTGACGTTGAGGGCTCCATATGCAATGTACGCTCAACGCTATATAGGCTCAAGGCAAATAGCAAATAGGATGTCTGAGATATGCACGTTGGCAGGCGCAAAGAAAGGCTGACGCGCTAATGGGGGTCAGGCGAGAGCCGCATGCAACGCCTTATGACGCGCGGATGGCGGCGAGCGCCCGCCGCCTGCGCTCGACGAAGGCCCGAGGGTTTCTCACTCCTGCTTTCCGCCATCATTGCCAATGCCTATTTCTCATGGCTCTGCGTCACTGCATCCCACTTATACCAAGTACTACATCACGCCTACTATACTCACGACGGTGTGCCCCATTCTCGTTGACAACAGGGGAGTGAAACGGAGGTGACCACATGATGTTCGCCGGTTCGACTGTTCGTAGCTTGCTCCTCCCGGTCGGCGGCCATGAAATGGTACAACCCAGACTTCGTATGGGTCTCACTTTATCTGCCGCTTGTGTGCGTTTGCTACGTCCATGTGTTTGATAGACACTGGACGCGGTGATACCAATACACTTAACCGGGACTAACAGAAGGTCATTATACATCATGGCGAGAGCTGACGTATGTACGATGAGCGGAGGGGTACAACATGTAATGAGCATGATACAACAAGAGAGCAAAGCAGTGCGAGGTCTCAAGAACAATGACAACGGGGCAGCACGACAGCAATACGAAAACAGTGAGAAAATACAAGCGATCGTCCATGAGCGAAGTCCAAAATGAGTGCAGTCCTTCTCTGAATCCCAGACGTCTCCTAGCAAGCGCCCTAGCATGAACGCTCTATTCAATTCCAAACAACCTGACCGGATGTCGTGAGCCACTCCTCCAACTCTGCTAGCGGATCGCTCTCCTCCGGCTCGGGTTCAGGTGCAACCGGAGGGACCATCAGCGAACTATTCTGCATGATGCCGCCCAGAAGCGTTGAAGAAGACGCTACAGGCTGGGTGGCTGCCTGTCGTGCAGCCCAACCAAACCCGCCGCCACGTGCCTCTGCATTCGCCCGTTGGCGCGCGAAGAATCCCTCTTCCAGCTGGCGTCGGGTCTCCTCTGTCGTCTGGCGCGGAGGCGGTGGCGGCGCAACTTTCTTTGGCGGAAACACAGCGCGTGTGGGTTGCTTGGGTTCTGGCGCGGGCTCCTCATCGATGAAGTTGAAAAGACTCTCATCCAAGACGAACTCTTCTTCTTCCTCCTCGGGCTGGTCTACCGGTGCCAACGGCTTGGGCGGAGACGGTATGCTGGGTTGAGGAGTTGAAGGACGATCTTCACTATCGGTGGAGTCCGGAAGAAAGAGAGGCTCCTTCGACTGTGCAGGCTTGTGGGGAGGCGACGAGTACTCCGAGAGTGCATAGCGGACGCGTTTGACACCGCGCGATGGACCATCTGAAATGGGCGTCTCGCCCTTGCGTTTCTTTGACGGCGGAGGCGGAGGAGAAGATACCGGCTGAACAGGGTCAACGGTCATCTTGTCCTCGTCATCTTGAGAGCCTGATAGGTCAATGATGTCGTCGACAGGCATGGCACGTATGAGCGAGTCAATTTCTGAGTTATCATAGGTCGTGGACGAATGAGGGGACGATTTCGCCGGTGGCCTCGACGCGGTCTTGCCCTTGTTGGGGGCCGTTGCCTTCTCCTTGCCCTTCGGCGTCGTACTGAGCAAAGCGCCAACGTCCGGCAACTCGTCATCGGAGCTCAACAACTCGTCGACTTCAACATCTGGCGTAGCGGGGGCATCCTCGATCACCGCCCACTTGACATCAAAATCCGGCTTCGGCTTGCGCTTGACGGGCTTAGGTGGCTCCGCGTCCGATAGCTTATTAGCGAGCGTGAGGCGCTGGCCGCTGGCGATCTTCAAGCTCGACGCGACGCCTGTACGTTCGTGAAGCGCGTCAAGCTGCTTGATCTTCGTGTCCATCCCACGGTTCGGGTTCGGCGGCTCCTTGGGCTCCTTCACCTTAGTCTTCGGTTTCGGCTTGGGCTTGGGCTTCTCAGAAGGAGCCTCGGACGTGGAGGCCTTCGAGGGATCTGTCTTGTCCGCCTTATCCGCAGTCGCGCTGGAGCGTGGCTTTGCTGGAGGTTTGTCCAGACCCTCGCGACAGCTGAAACGGCATCAACACGAGAGCGCCGGTATCAAGAGATGCGTACCAGAGATGGCGACAAGCTGTCTTATCCTTGCAGCTATGATTGCAACTGCGCGTGCCGGTGAGCAACGCTCTGAGAGGAGAGAGCATGAACGCACCTGTACTTCCCATTGGACAGTTTCTCTGGAGGTTTGTCCTTCGCCTCAGTCTGCTTGGCCGTAGACGCCTTCGGCTTTTTGGCGCTCGTCGTAGGCTGTTGCGATCTCGGCTTGGTCAAATCCTTGATGAGAGGAACCTCGTCAGAGTCGGAGTCTAGCGTCGGATTCCAGAAGTCTGGGTCATTCTCGAGCCCTTCAAGGTCCCTCTCCTTCGGTCGAAATCAGCAACGTTCAATGCGACACGGATCACGTAAACGCACCATCGAAGTCTGAGGGCGCGTGTTCGGGACGGGGTATTCCTTGCCGTCAATGCTGGGTTTGTAGACCGCACTGACAGTAACGCCAGCGATGTACTCCTACGTGACATGAGCATATGAACAATCACAAGCGATCCTGGGGCTCACTGATGATATGTATACGCAGACGGTTTGGCTTGGCTTCTCTAGCTCTGCGGTGATGGTGAACTCGCGCTCGTCCTTCAGTGCGACCGTTCTTCAATGCCGACGGGTCAGTTGCAGCCGTTTGCGCGGATACTAATCAGGATGAACATACGGAATGCGGCGGTAGTCTATCAGGTCAAGGTCGGACGTGACGCTCAACACCGAGGTCGCATCATAGCCCCGCCCGCTCTTCGACTTAAGCTTCTGCCCTTTGTCCAGAAGAAGGCCGCACTTGACCTTGAGCTTGACAGAGACCGGTCCTGCACCTCCGTGCGATACCGTTGAGAGTTCAGTTATCTCAAGCCGATAGCGCGGCATCTCCGCAAGAGACTTCAGTACTGTGAAGCCAGTTCCCGCCTTGCGCGACATGATCTAGAGAATACTCTCAGTCAATGGGCGGTAGTAAAGGGACAGCAGGTCGTTTACCTCGTCAAGGTCGAAAGCGCTACGGCGGCGAAGCTGATCGAACGTTGTGATACCAGCGGTGGCTAAAGCCTGCAGGACTTCAGATCAAGAAACGTGCAAGATCCTTGCGAGGACACGCACTCGAACTCTACACAGTCAAAAGTCAGACTATAACAGATGCTAAGATGGGTTTTGACTTACGACTTCTCGCCTACAGATTGAAGTTGACCGAGTACAGATGGCCGGTCGTCCCACGTTCTTGCAGAGAAGACACGTAGCCTAACGAGCCCAGGTTAGCATGCTAATATGTAGATGCCTATCGTTTGCGTACAGCTCCAACCCATGCTTAGCATACGCGCCGTTCTGCTTGACCATCGCGACTTCCACCATGGCTACGGGGCGCATGAGATGACTTTGAGAGTCGAAGTCAAACGAGACGAACCTCGCGCGATCCGTGACAAGTGACGGTAGATCATAGTCGCCTCCGCATGGGGTGCGCTATCGGACGTCTTGTAGTCCGGTGCATGAAGGTTAATGCCGGCGAGCGACGCTTGAATGAGTATGAAGAGCTTGTCCGGAGTCTTCTCTACCTTCTTGAGCTTGAAGCGCACGTCCGGGTGCTCGTTGAGCTTCCTGTAAACCTGCTTCTCGCCACCGCGCAGTTTCATCTCCGATATCCTGTGAAGCTGTGAGAATATGATGCTGTAGAGGACGGGAGTATGCGCACTCCTCGGCTCTGGACACCATCTCGAGCTGAGAAACATCAGCTGATGCATCAGACAAGAGATCAGAGAAACCTACCAGGTCGCGAAGCGTGGGCTTCTCAGGTAGTGCGAGCATCTGGGCCATCTGCGAAGGTAAGCACAAGCTGCGTACAGCACACCATTGCCTCAGCACCTACCGTGGACTGGCGTATGTAGAACTGACAAGAATGTCAGCTGGCCCGAGAATACACCAAAGCAGCGCCAGGCACACCTTGCTCATGATATCCCCGTACTCGGTCGACACCAGCTCGCCCGACTGATCCCCATCCCTCAGAAGCTCCGCCTCTTTCAACTCATCGACGCATTTGGTAAGCATGTTATCCACCCCCTCCTCCCATCCGCCGTCGTCATTGACAATGTATCGCGCTGGGTTCTGGCTGATGCGGCGGAACATGAAGGAGCGCTGCATCCATGCACGAGCGGAAGGGACGTCGTAGATCGTACCGAGCCCAATCTCGGAGTTTATGTGCTCGGCGAGGTTCAGGTGTAGAGAGGACTCGAGGATCGTCGTGCCGGAGGTGAAGGTCTCGTACTTGCGCGCAAGCTCTTGTTCGCACATGATGATAGCGACGCCGGAGTCATCTACAGGTATATGAGCTTTGAATGTGAAGGCCTTCTGAGGGAATGCTTACCGAACTGGGGCCGTCCTGCGCGTCCTATCATCTGGAGGAGATCGAGGTCGGAGTACTCTTGCCATTCGCTTCCTCCTTGATAGACCTTGACGCCCTTGATCACAACGATGTGCGCGGCTACAGATATGGTCAATATAGGGTCCAACCCGCGAACTCGTCTGGCTTACGTAGGTTAACACCGACGGCCAGCGTCTATACACGATAGTCAGTCCTGAGCGCGCATGGCGAAAGAAGAAGCACGCACGGAAGTGCAGACCACAACGCGCAGCGTCTTATTGATGAAGAGCTCCTCGATGGCGCGCTTATCCTCGAGCGCTAGACCGGCGTTATGCGCGCCGATGCCAGCAGCGGCGAGCTCTGCATGATCATCAGTCCGCGCAACGTGGTACGTGACAGGTGACGCACTCTCGAGGCGCTTGTCTACAAAGATCTTGTTGACCGGCTTTGGTCGCGACCACGGTAGTGTTGCCTTGCTCGTGACTGCCTGCTCGTAGTCCGAGGCGAGTTGCTCAGCTGTCGCCCAGACGCCTATGACCCACAATGAGCCCACGTAGCCTTATGCACGAAACGAATTGTCGGTCACAGACCGTTACGCGTCGCGACAAAGACCAATATTGGCTTGTTCGCAGAATGTTGCTGCAGTATCTGGAAAAGCCGCTTGTCAAGGTTCTTAGCGAACATGAAGTCGTTCTGCTCGCGCTTTCGTGCGACGGGGTAGACGTGTCGTTCAAGCTTGCAGGGCCTGAACTCGTCGCCGAACTACGCGGGGAGTTAGTCCGAAGTTCGACCCTGACATGAGAAGATGTGGGCTCACCTCGAAGACCTCGGCAGGGCCATCACCGGTCTTAGCGCCCACCCACAAAGCAACGTCGTTGACGTTCGGTACGGTGGCAGAAACGGCGAGGAACCGTACGGATGCGCCGCGCGTCTTCATGCGGGAGACGACGACTTCCAGCGTACTTCCACGCGTCTCGTTGAGGATGTGGACCTCGTCGATGAGAAACAGTTGGACCTGGGCGAGGATCTTGCCGTGATCACGCCTACCAGGTTGCTCAGAGGGCGTTCAGTACGGGTGAATCACAAACTGACCAGCTTCGCGTGAGGCTATCCCACTTCTCACCGGTAGTGACGCTGGCGTCTGATCAGTGGGCGTGGACTGATGAAGAGGTGAAGGATATACATAATATTCGCGTTCTTCGCGTCTCCCCAAGCCTCCCTTCCGATGGTCACGGTATCGCCTGTCATCTCACAGCCTGATGGACGCATTGGCAAGAGTATCAGAGGAACACATTGCTCGAGACGCCGGCGTACATTTGATGCCCAGAGGCGCGAACTTGGCCTCCCAGTCACGAAAGCGTTCGGAGCACAGAGCCTGCGCAGACGGGCTGGATGACCGTATATCAATGGCAGCGTGTTTTCTGCGCACCTTGGTAGGAGCAATATATATGCATTTAACCGATGTTGATGGATTGCGCGAGGTAAATAGGCGGATCATCGCGAGTTCAAAGAGTACGGTCTTTCCGCTACCAGTGGGTGCTATAAGCAGTATGAGTACCACCTATGCTAGATGCAAATGCTAAGTCTTACCGCTAATGACCACGTTCTCATCAGAGTGGACGATCTGAACATAAAATCGTCAAGATAACGGGGCTCTGAAGAAAGAGAGGGTGCTCACTGTATCAAAGCATTTGGACTGGATGGCGTTGAAACAGCCGAACTTGAAAATGCCGCGAAACATATCGGCTGAACGGGAATCAGAGATAAGCAGCATACAAGTATATCTATACTCACGGAGTTCAGTCACAGGGCGTAGGCGGATCCCATGCGCTGTTCGAGGGTTGGATCCTCTACCCTCGACAGCTGGAGCAAGCTCCCGCGAACGCGGACGCTGAGATGCTGGCCGAGATGCGCGCCCTGACTGACTGGCTAAAGGCAGAGCATAGTTCTCTATTGGCTGGTTACTATGGGGTGCTGGTCGAGTAGGGACCTGCGTCTTGAACGTAGGAGCTGGTGCTCCGCTGGGACCTGCGCCGTTGGACCTGAGCTGACCAAACGGTCGAGGGTCTAAAAAAGTCAGTAAGATATAAGCATGACCAGAGTGATGAGTTTACTGGGCTGTCGCATTCTATCTCCGAAGTTCATCCTTGGAGTGAACGTCGGTGGAGGTGCTGGGGTCGGCTCCGGCGCGTGCGCGTCGGCGTATGCAAGGGAAGGATCGTCGTCAAGAAACATGTCATCATAGTTGTCTATATCGTCGACAGCTTGCCCAACGGAAGAGGATGAGTAGTGCCCTTCAAGCGAGGAATGAGAGAGAAATCACGCATATACAAGCGCATACACGTACCGATCGCGTCGTCATATTGATCGTTGAACGCCGCGTCCTCGTAGTAGTCCGCAGAACCTGCCTGAGGCTCGGCATACGCGTTATATGACTCGAGGTAGTCGTCATCTTGCTCAAACGCGTAGTCTCCGTTTTGCATGGCCGCACAAACGGGGAGGAGCGCGTCCTCGTCGTGGTGCGGAAGCAAAACGCGCGACGCGTCTCGACGCGTTTTGGCGCGTGACGGCGTCGAGATCGGCCACGCGCGCCGGGACCGAGCAAGCCGCGCCCAATGATCCATTGCGGCCAAGGAGAGAGAGGCAGTCCGGCCACACGGCGCGGCGCGGCTTGCCACTCGACCACCATCCTCACCTCCACATGAGCACCGCGAACGCACAAGCAGCCGCTGCCGCCGAGCAACAGAGAAAGCTCGACGAGTACATCGACAAGTGCGTGAACTGGCATACACTCCTCTACCCTATCACATATCTGACTGTCATACCGCAGGATCCATTATTCGGATCGGTACTCGGACGACTTTTACGAGTATCGCCATGTCATTCTGCCAAAACCGCTGTTCAAGATGATCCCCAAGCAATATTTCAGTCAGGATGACCCCGGCACGCTCCGTCTGTTGTCCGAGGCCGAGTGGCGAGGAATCGGTATCACTCAGAGCCTCGGTTGGGAGCACTACGAAGTGCACGGTGCGTTGCCACCCTCGACTTTGCCACCATGAATGTTCTCTGAACTGTACGCCACAGCACCCGAACCACACGTCCTGCTCTTCCGCCGGCCAAAGAACTTTGACGCACAGCTCGCACAGCGCCAGCTTGAGCAGCAGCAAGCCGCGTATGCCAACGGAAAGGCTGCTGCGCGCCGCAAGTAGCGATTACGGCTGCTATTCGCATATCATGTATCGTTGATCCCTTCGCGCCGCCACGGACGTCCCGTATGCCTGCAGATCCCCCGCTATCCACCACGCTTTCCTGATGTTATTTCATTTGCTCGTCTTTGTGATCTGTATCTTTAGAGGGAGCATCTTATTGTCAATCGCCTTGGTCTCTGCACAAAGCCGCAAAACTTGTATAGTTCGTCTAATCAGGAAACTCGTGCTCCGCGTCGTGCCTCAGGTACTCACACGACACTCATACACGACTGACTCGCGCGGGCGAACATGACTTCTACAGTCTATCCATTACGTGTACTAATATATCGAAGCAATGCAGTCTACAGATGTGGTGCAGGCAGATCATTCCACTCTACAAGCGGCATCTTCGGCACCGGCGCCTCCCTCAGCTCCCTCCTAAACGCATCGAGATCCTTGATCCTAGTCACACCCTCAGATAACACGCCCTCCGCGTCTTTCTCAGCTGGAAACTCGAGCACAAGTGCTTGCATCTTGCCTAGTAGCTGTGCCGCAACCGGGGGAGCGACGCTTCCCAGAGCAGGTTGGCTCTGCCAGAATTTGCCGAATTCAGCTGCGGTGGGTTCACCGTCGGCATACAGCTCACGCCACTCGATCTCATCGACGGGTAGACCTGCGTCGCGCGCGGCGGCTTCAAACGCGTCGGCTGCTGGACGGGAGATGTGGCCTGCACGGGGTTTCTGAGAGCGAAGGTGGATAGAGAGTTTACTGCGCGCGGGCGAAGAGGGGTGAACGTGCTTCATGAAATGAGCGAGGATCTCCTCCTTTGTAAGCTCGTCCACCAAAGCAGCGTCGTTCTCGCCTGAATCAAAAGGTCAGTACTGGGTCTCAGAACGAGAATGTTAAGAGACGTACGGCGCAAGAAGTCGTGGAAACCGGAGTCGATATGATTCCAGTACCGCGAGACCTCTTCACTCAGATTCTTCGGCTTCTCAAGCCACTTGTTCTTCAACCCCTGCTTCTGCTCCTTAAACTCACCATCCGGGATCTCCTCGAGAACGCCCTTCATGTGGTCGAGGAACGCATCGACACGGTTCTCGAGGTATACCGGCCCACGCTCGCTCTGCACGACGATGCGCAGACCCACATAGGCCCCTCCGGGCGCGACCCATTGACCGGCAGAGACGATGTAGCCCAGCTGTTCCTTCGTGCGGAGGACGTTGAAGGCCGGCTCAGACATGATTTGCGTGAGCAATGAGTCGCGCACGCGCATGCGGGGATCAGTGTGCTCGCCGAAGTGAACGTAGTAAGTGAGTGCCGAATTCGGCTCGTCCTTGTTCGGTACAGGTCCTTCCCAGACGTAGTTGCAGCCCTCGGGCAAAAGGAGAATAATGTCGTGTGGGTCGGGGCCTGAGAGTGGTGATCCGCCGAGGACATCCTCCACTGACTTCGCGTATTGAAGCGCTTCGTCTTTGTACACGTTACCGGATACAAGAATAAGCGCCTTGAAGCTGGAGGTGAACTCGGCAACGAAGTTCTGGACATCGGCGATAGTGAGCGCTGCAAGACGTCGTCAGTCAGACATCTCGGCAATGAAAGGCGGAGGAAGAGCGTACTGGGAAGAACGGCCAGTTTCTCGTCCACGGTCCACTGGTTCTTATTCATCGCATACCGCCCATGATAGTCCGACATCTTGTATGGCTGATTGAGGAAGAAGTTCTTCCAGTCACGCTCCAAGCGCTCCCGAATGACATCGAGCCTATCCTGCTTGACCTGCAACGTCTTCGCCCTCTCCAAGATAGCCTTCAGCAGCACATGCAACTTATCGTTGTACCCGCTGAGGAACAGGTACACGCCCATCGAAGAGCTGACGAAGTTGTATGCAAGCCCAGCGAGATCGGCCGCGTAGGCGTACTCAGTGAGAGAGTCGGTGACGAGTTCGGTGTAGAGCTTGGCGAGGACGTTATGCCTGGGTGAGTCGTTGGCGACGGGGGTACGAAGTTCGATGAGCGCGTGAGCCTTGGGGACCCAATACCGGTCGTCCTTTTTGTGCCAGAGCGAGTACAACGGCGTCTCCTTGATCAGATGCGGGCGCTTCGCGGGCTGGAATGATTCATGTCAGCATCGGGTTGTCAGGCGTCTAAAGCGTAGCGCACCTCAGGAACATCCTTCTTCTCAACATCGAGGTTCTGCGGAATGAAGTCATTCGGCTTGGGCAGCGCAAATGCCTCGTTCGTGTTTGGTGCCACAGCTTCACGCTTGAACTCCTCGTCGTACCGCTGAACACGGTACTGCGTCCCATAGATCGGCTCCGTCAACCATTCCTGCTCTCCGGCCACCTTGTCGTGTTCGTCTTTCCTTCCCATGAGCACCGTCCTGCACTCCTCGACCTTCAAGCTTGCGAGTAGTCGTTGGGCAGCAGCGAGACCCTCACCGTCCGCGCTGTCCCAGGGGAAGTTCACGGTACCGGCTTTCATGACGAGTTCGCGAGGATACGGCATAGCGAGCTGCTGGCTGAGCGAGACAGCGGTGTCCTGTGGCTGACGTTTCTCTTGGAAGCGGAAGCGGATTTCGCTGATCTGCGCGAGCTCGTGTTGATGCCACAACTCCATCGTGGAGGACTTAAGCAGAGAGATATAGTTGAAGACGGCAAGCATGAGGTCGCGGTAGTGTTGGAAGCCATCGGCCGTCATGTGTAGAGTAACGCGGAACATCTGGAAACCACGAGCCAGTGCTTGCGGTCCGGCGACGAGTTCGGTAATCCAGCCCTTCGACTTAAGGTACGAATGCAGTGAACCAGGTCCTTCGTGGCCGAGTAAATCCGACAGGTGTAAGCCCGGCTTGGTCTGCCAGAGCGGAGGCTGCCAGTCCATAGGCCAGGATATCTCCATACAATGGAAGTTCATAATCGTCTGAACGGACACCAAGGTCTAGCGAGTTGTTAGTCAGCGTTCGAAGAGCCGCAGGGGTGAAGCAATACTCACACCCTTCTCGTTCTCTCCGAACGGGTTCTGGAGAATGAGCGGTAGAGGCTCCTGGGCGCGGTTGAGAATCGGCGAGAAGTTCTTGACAACGAGCTCGGTGAGATCATCGAGCGACTCTTTGCCAATGACAGCAAGGCGCATACGGCCAGCGCAGTACTCCTTGCTCCACCACTCGACCAAACGACGGCGCGTCTCACGACCGACGACACCTCCATCCGCTTCGACGTCGCTCGAGACTGAGCTGACGGAAGGCGCGGGGGATGCTGCACGCGAAGGTACGGCCGACGGAGCAAGACTCTGTGCGGCCGATGAAGCTGCCGACAACGCCTGCTTCTTCAGATTGCCACTCGAAGCCGTCTGCTTGGCCTTCAGATCACGTCCAACTCGCGTCAAGCTTTCCTTGTTTCCGGTGCCGAACTTGTTCCACGGGTGGCCAGGGCGCGAGAGTGTCTTGTTGACCTGGTAAATACGCCATAGATCTGCCTGGTGGTTCTTCTTGTGCTCCGAGTCGACTGCGTTGAGCTCGCGTAATGTGCACGAGGGATCGAACAATGGAGAGTGGAAGAAGCCTGCGAAGCGCTGGATCGCGCCGACTAGAGCACCGGGTGCCACGTTGAAGTAATAGTTGGTGTTCATCGTGGAAGTGAAAGCATTTGAATGACCGCTGTTTTTGGAGAGATACTGGGTTGCGTGAGCGCATGCGGGGAAATGAGATGAGGCAATTTAGCGCACCTCCGAATATTCATTCTCCTTGGGGAATTGCTCGGTGCCCTGCACACAGATCCTATCAGAGATGCACGTGGTAGAGTATGATCGTCGCGTACCATGAATAGCAGGTGCTCGCAGAAGTGCGCGAGACCTGGCATGTCATCCTACACGTTGCTTCAGTACCGCCGAACAAAGCATGCATGAGCTGGATGCTCACGGGGTCGTGCAGGTGGCCGACGCCGACGTCTATGCTAGCCGCGGCCTTGTCTGCCTTCGCGTCGTGCACGAGCATGGCCTGGAGACCATTATCGAGGCGGATGAGCCTGTACTCGCGGTCGTCCTGCTGCGAGCGCTCGATGTGCTTGTTGAAGATCGAGTAGCCACCGTGTTTAGACTCGACGTGCTGCCAGCCTTCGTCGTCCCCCAGAGCGCCGGGAAACGGGTGCGCGGTCATGGCCGCGTAAGTTGCGTAGGATCGAAGGCAAGTGGTTGTGGTTCGGGGCAAACAAGCAGCACGCGTACTGTTGCAGGCAAACCGCAGACGGGCTAGCATAAATGTGCGGTCGCGTGCACCGCCGGCTTTCGCACGTACGCACTGACTGGGCGCAAGGAAGGCAAAGAAACAATGGGTCTTCGTGGCAAAACAAGAACAAAAGCGCCTTTCCCCGCGTGAGTCCGCCGCGGCGCGTCAGAGACGCGTCCGACGCGTGTTGCTTCCCGCGTTGATCTCGACTGGCGCGGTACCAGTTTCATAGAAGCTGTCTGCCTGCATACAGTTCTCACTTTGACATATTCGATCTCGTGCTGGGATGGAAGCACTTCACTCTGTCTTAGACGCGCTGGCTGTGCTGTATGTCCCTATAGCCAAGTCTGCGATTCAAACCGCGCGCAAATGGTCGGCGCGTGAAGCGCTCGAGTGGCCCTGTGCTATACCCTTCTGATATACTGAAAAAGTCAGTGCACAATGTTCATATCTACGTTGGGTGGATATAGAGTGAGGACAGCCCCTATTCTTGCCTGTAATCTATCCAAGACTTCAAGACGATAGGGGGTGAATGAATAGACCGAGTCCCTGATCTCTCAGACCGGAATGTGTTCTATGGTCAACCACCTGCATCTTCCCGTATTTCCGGCTCGACGACGAAGTTGAATCTATTCTAGCTGTCTTATGCGCACTCATGCTGGCCTGGATCAGGGTAAGTCGCAGCGACGATGCTGCACCTATAAGAGCTGGTCCTCGACAGTGATGGCCTGCCAGCTCAGTCCTACTCGCAGCCCACCCACCCATCCAACGCAATCGTCATGCAGTTCATCGCTCTCCTTCCCATCGTCTTTGCTGCCGCCGCCAACGCGATCACGGTCACTCGGGATACCACCTACGATGACGGCTCATACTCTCTTTACAACACCGCCTGTTCCGACGGTCCGAACGGCCTTGTCACGGCCACGCGTACCATGCTCAACCAGTTCCCGAGCTACCCCTACGTCGGCGGCTCCCAATACGTCGAAGACTGGAACTCGAACCAGTGCGGCTCGTGCTACCAGCTCTCGTACAACGGCAACAGCATCTACCTCGTCGCCGTCGATAGCGCGGATGACGGCTTCACCACGAGCTCGTACGCGTACAACCAGCTTGTGACCGGTCAGACGGGAGACTATAGCAACTACGATAACTACGACAGCTACGGCAACTACGGCAACTACGATAACTACGGCGAGATCGATGCCGAAGTTACTCAGGTTGACGCGCACCACTGTGGGCTTTAGGTACGCTCTGACTCAATGCACCCTATACGTCGTGCTCATCTTTGTCTAGGCCTGGCCACAATGGGTCATGAGCCGGTTTCTCGGGTTCATTTAGGGGATTCATATCGGGCACGGTTCCCGGGGACATTCTTTCCGTCGTGTATGATTGTGGACATGTGTTTGAACGATATGTAAACTGCGTGTAACTTGAGAAAGATTTCTTTGCAAGCTTAGGATGTTTTGCCCTTATACTTGGAGCTATTGTCAAGCCTTTTCGCTGTCGTCAAGATTTCTCTACATCGTCGCCCCGGAGCGCAAGTGCGGGGGCTCGTGGAGGATAATTAGCGAGTGTATGTTCGTTTGATCCTGTCGCCACCCCGTCGTCGGCGGATCGGCCCGTGTACCCGCGTTTCAGTAGCACGTTGTGCTGCGGCGACTTGGCTCTTCTCCTCCTTCCATCCGCGTCCGTGACCGCCCACACGCTCTCTTTCTACACTATTCGCCCTTCATTCACACATTATCTCTTTCCTATCGGAATGGCTCTTTGCCTCGAGTCTGGCCGCGTGTATGTGCTTCGTTGCGCCGCAATCGCCAGCGCCATACCCTCGTCCACAATGATCGCGCTCAAGTTGTGGGTGGCGCGGCCGTTAAGCGATTTGACGTACTTCGGCGTTGTAGCCTTTCTTTATTTGGCAGCTCTCCTTACCAAATACTATATGTGGCCTCGTTGCTCCTGGCTACGCGTGTAATTGAATCGCTTCGCCGAGGGGCATAAGAGGGAGTCTTCGACGCCTCGGTTCACCCGCTTCGTCCTTCCCTCCCACTTGCGATGCCGCCGCAGATATCGTACGCTACTACCAAGAGGCCAACGATCAACGCGAACTCTTCCACGGCCCAGATGGACCCCGAGCGTCGCAGGGCGAGACTGAAGCCGTCCCGACAACCCTCTCGCCCGCAGTCGGACCCCGCGTCGACTTTCGCGCCTTCGACCCAGTCACTTGACGCGCACAACGTGCAGTTGCTCAGTATGTTTTCAGCTGGCAACCCGGATCCTACTGCAAAGCCTGCTGCAAAGAAACGCAAAACGAGTCCGTCTACGGCTGTACCCGTAAACACGTCCGCGACTTCTGCCAAATCGAAGAGTGCGAGGGCTGGCCATGGCAAAGGCCGTAAGACCACGCGATCCGGTTACGCGGTCTCGAAGATTGACGAGAAAGCCCGCGATCGTATGGAACTTATACCACATTGCGATGGTGCGTCCGTCGTTAACTCAGCATCGTATCGCTGTGAACTCAACGCGCATATAGAGGTCATCCCTTTGGAGAAGGGCAAATATCATGCCCGTATAAGCCCGGGCTCATAGTGTGTTCTTCTTTTGTTCCGTGCTCATGGCTCTCAGCTGATATCACGTTCCAGCGTTCTCGTCACCGGAAAAGAGGAAGGGTGTGATTATGAGGATAAGAGCGGTCGCTCTGATTTTTGGCTTTGCAAGGTAATTGAGATACACCACGATCCTGTCAAAGTATGTCTCCGATATTCGTGCGTATACGTGCGCGATCTCATGGAATCTCGTTAGAAGGATGTCTGGCTTTTAGTGCAGTGGTACTGGAGTAGGTACGAGTTGCTCGGCCTCCTAGTCGACGAAGAAGACGACGACGTAGATGAGTCAGTGATTCCATACGCTCTGTTCAGTGCGCGTGTTACTCAGTAAACGCTAGCCCGTACGAAGCAAAGCAGATGGGCAACGCATGGGAAAGGGCTGAGGGATCTGAGGAAGACGAGCACCTGGAATTCGTTAATAAGAAGTCGGTTTCGGGTGAGACGTTCGCACCTTTCCACCGTGTGTCACTGAAGTTGAAGACGACATAGGTATCATGCAAAAGGAGAACATCATGTTCTTCGATGACACCTCTTTGCATCCTGAGTCAATCCCGGTGGAGGACGTCTTTTACGTTCGCCGGCGCTTCAATCAGGGGAAGCGGAGTCTTGAGGTAATGTGACATCTTTGGACATGTCTTAGCCACGCTGATGGTCTACAGGACATCCACGATGTCTCGCTCTGTGCTTTAAGCACGTGTTCCGACCCGCGATACAGCCCCGACGACTCCTACTCTCAAGTATACTGCCCACAGCCGTCCTGTCTGCACTGGATGCATACCGACTGTATCGCGGACAAACTCCTGGAGAACCCGTTCTACGCCAACAAAGCCATGCATACGCAAGGCTTATTCAGGTCTACGCCCCTCACACCCGTCGACCCAGAGCCAGAAAAAGATGAAACCCAGCTCGAAGCTGAATTGGACGCGGCGTTATCCGAGCTTAGTGATGTGCCCATCGAGGGCGCCGAACTGAGTGAACGCCGAATCCTGCGCAATCTCGCCGGTAAACCAATCGTGCGCCCCACGAGCACTTCTGTTTCCGGGAACATCGACGAGGTTCTAACCGCACGTCGTTGGATATCCATTGCTCTTCAGGGTGGACTGAACGGTCAAGCCTTGGTGCGGTTGCGCGAATGGCTCGCGGGGTTTGAAGAGAAGGACGTGGTCAAAGGGTGGCGCGAAGCCAACCTACGGGCGCGGGGCGCGAAGGCTGGCAATGATCTCAATCGCAAGATGATGCTTGCCGCCGGCAAGGGAGACGGTCAGCCCAAGCTGAACCTCCGGTTTGACGTGTGCTTCTATTGCGGTGTACCGATCTAATGTCTTGATTCCTCGTTCAACAACATTCTTGACTATTATACTACACCGATCTTCTAATTCTCTTGTGTCACCGAGATGTATGCCATTGCTTCTATGGATTGCCATGCGCTGCATGTCAGAGCGAGAGAGTGAAAGCCAGGCACGAAGGGCCACAATGGGGCATGTGGGAGCGAGTAGCCTAAACGGGCCGACGCGTTCAACACGCGGCACGGTGGTTGAAGCGCCCACTTTTGTTGTGGACTGTCATTGGCTTCGCGACGGGAAGCAGTCTCTGTCGCTCTCCTTGGCTACACAAGGGACAATTACGCGTGAGGTGGACATCGAGGTCCCTACATAAGCGTAGCGCATCATATTGGCCTCAACCACTGTTTGCCTCTGCCCGTCACCTCCACTCTGAACGCGTCCGCGACGCGACGGTTGACTCTGTCTGACGACCCATCATGCCCGCGTCAACGCTCTCGACGCCCACCTCCTATACCTCGCGCTATACACGCGCGCTCAGTCCTCCGCTTTCCTCTGCCGGCAGTACAGTCGGACCACAGATGCAGAGCTTGAAGATCGTCACGCGTCTGGCCATCGAAGGACACGCGAAGGAAGGAGAGGGCGTGCCAATAAAGATGTATCTGAAGGTACATCCAACACGTACTGGCTCAGAGCTCCGAAGCTAATGGGTTTGCAGCTTGCTTTGCCCGTGGACAATGTTATACCTGGCAGCGCCATCCCGCTATTCAAAGGTATGTTGCTTTGCGCAAGCTCAACGAATCGCGCGCTCAAACAGCCCGATTAGAGGGAGATGTGAAAATCCTAGACTCGGAGATACATCCACTCGATCATAACTCGACGCCATACAACTTCTCTTCATCCGTCTCGCCCCTTCTCCACAACGCAGCGCGCGCTCTGAACCTGCCTGCTCGACTGTCACAGACATACAACTCCGTCTTCGAGAGCAAACCGAATGGCTCTTCGCGCTACCAATATGGCTCGAGCAGTGGTTCTGAACCGGACCGGCTGGACAAGAAATACACTGGCGAGATCATCGTTAGCGGCTTTAACGTCTCCTTCGCTGTTCCCAGGGAATTGCCTCGTTCGAAGACGGTGAATGGAGATGAGTCGACACCAACGGCGAAGGAGAGGTCAAGGAGAAGGAGCTCGTTTGGTGCGGAGAAGAATGTGGTTCAGTTCATGGCTGGCATCAGCATGGTTGTTCCATACACCTCAAAACCTCCACGGGCGCCATGGCTTGTCAGTACCTCCATTGTCTATACTTTAACGTCCTATTGACCAGTCATTCTCAGGTCTGCATTCCTACCCCGCGCTGTCTGTCGAACACACTCAAATTGCGCATCTTCTCGCCTCCGTCGTCGAACAACAACAACGTCTCGAACTCGTACCAATCCCTTTCTTCAGCAGAGACAGACGACGCACCGTCCTGGGATATGATGGTGGATCCACACGTCACACGCACGTCCAGCGCTCGCCGCCCCGCTTACTCGTATCAGCATTTTGCGGATGACGAGGACAGTGACAGCAACGCCTCCCCAGGATTCTCGGATGGTGTCGGGATACAAGGCTCATTCCCGAGTACAGAGGTCGTGCACGTCCGATGGGCCGTTCCAAGACGAAATATTGACGAGGGTGTCATAGACGGAAGGAGGCGCGTTGGCGTAGAGAGTGTGTCTGGCGAGATGAACTGTACGGTTTTGGGTCGCCAACGAGAACTGGGCCCAAACGGCCGCGAGGGTGTGGTCATGAAGCTCGAGTACAAGGCCACGTGCAACGGCGTGTTCTATCCTGGCGTCGCGGCGCTACTCGGGTTAGACGTCGGTCTGGAGGCGAAGAACTGCGAAGTTAACTGGGTTGAGGACGAGGTTCCGGAATGGAAGGTCGTCGGAGGATCTGGATACACTGGTCACAGCGTCGCCGGAGCAGGAGACCCGTCAGGACCTGGTCGGCAGCCTTCGTTCGACATGCCTCACCTAACACTCTCCAATGACAACACTCCCATCGCTGGGCCCTCCCGCGGGCTTCTATCTCGCTACAACTCAACGTCATCGACCTCATCTACGTCCTCGCTCCTGAGAACGACGCTTCCGGCCGACAACGTACAGGACTACTCATTCGAAAACGCGCCATCGACTCCAGGCGGTTCGGATACCGGGCTGTCCTCCGTTCTCGACACGACAGACGGCGAATCTCGCGGGCGTAGCAGAGCCTCCTCACTTGGCCGAGAGCCGCAGACATCGCCCAACATGCCTATCACGATTCACGTCAATATGAACGAGCTCCTGACCTCGCCGCTCACGTTCAACATATCCGGCCACGTTCTCGTTCTGCCTCGTGCGCCGCCATCTTACAACGCGGATCAGGAGATGGAACTGGAAGTGAACATCCCGCGCTTCAGCGTGCTGGCGGCAGAGAAGGAGAAGATATCCGCATCTGTACGGAACGGCGTTCAAGAACGTGGTATCGACCTCCTCGTATGCCCCAGCACAAACAAACACGCAAAGAGCGTCCCACTCGCCCGCGAATCTCGCACGCATCTATCCGCGGAAGGAGGACGCGCAACACTCCGCATTCCGCCCGAATCCCGCGTGGCATCGCCCTTCGCTCGTCGGGATGGTTCCGAGAGCACGAATCTGAGCGTCAGCCGAGGGCACTCGCCATTGCCCGGGAGTAAGTCCCCCGCACGCCTGCGTATACCCTCAGGCGGAGATCGAACCATGCACGACACGAGCCTGAGCCTCTTCGCATCTGTTGCGCGCCCGCGACGGGGAGATGCCCCGCTCATGCTGCCATACGTGAACGTGAGCGTGGTGCCGCACGCATCAGGCTCGTACGCTGTGACGGCGCGTTTCCCGGCGCCTGCCGAGCCTGAATCAGATTGGCTGGCGTTCTATCTGCTCGCGCCTGCGGGTACGCAGAGTTTGCCCCGAGTGTCTCTTGTAAGCACGAGCCTCGAGGGGGTACCCGTGCTCGCGGAGATCAAGGCTGCGCCACGTCCCAATGGAGCGCAGGTTAAGGATGTCGCGTTTGAGCAGTTGAGCAACGCGGATTGGGCAGCGCTTGTCCGCATCCATGTCGGGGCGCTCGGAGGTGGTGCTGTGGAGGTGGTGTACATCGTCGAAGACGATCCGAAAGCCAAGGGGAAGGAGAAGGGCAAGGCGAAAGCAAAGGCGCTCGATATCCTACTTCCTGGCTTTGAAATCCCCGTTGGGCAACTACAAGTTGACGTTCCGGAGTCGATCGAAACGCTTCACACCAATCTCGACCACGAACAAGCTGCGACAGGTGTACGACGCCTTCTACACTATGGCCTCCAGGAACATTTCTTGCCAACGTTACGCGTCGATGGCGCGAGCGCAGGCGCACCGCCGCGTCGACCGCGGTCAGCGCTCTGGTCTACAATCGGCCTATTGCTACGTGCCACTTGGTGGATGTCAGCAATTGTCCCAGTTCTGTTGATGGCCATCCAACAAAACGATCTGCTACGTACGCGGGCTGCGCTCGAGAGTTGTTCATACGGCCAGGGAAGGTCAGGTTCGTACTACGGTGCCACTTCACCGTCGGATCCCGCTGTCGTGACTGTCACTGCGACAGTACTCTCACCACCCTGGGCGTCCTCATTATCATCATCAGTCGCATCAGCAGCGTCGTCGACATTGGCGCAGGATGCGGAAGAGGTCATCGGCGCGCCGACACCAACACCTACTGCGACTGTAACCATGATCGACGTGTCGTCGTCCACGCCCGCTGCGCGTTCAAACCCGAGATCGGCGCACAACGAGAAATCCGCGCTGTTGCCACCGCAGTACATGTACGATGCGTGGCCACTTTGGCTCGAGTTCGATTATCGGCTTGCGATGGAGAAGGTCGTGGAGGGTCTGGGTGTCGTCTGGCAGATCCTCCGCAGGGCATATCACTATCCCATGGATCCGCCTTGAAGCTGAGGCGGCAGGACACTTCACATGGCTCAAACTTGGGATCGGTGCTACAATGATATGGACTGTTATGATACTCACGCTATACCCGTTTGCTGTACACTGTACATGCTCCCATGTTGTTTACGCACATCTTGTTATGACTCTGTTTAATGATCTATGTACTGTTGTAATGCATCACCGCCCCCAGGCAAGCCATGGCAAACAGGACATGAATTAAGCTCTGTGAGCGCTACCGGGCGTTGTTGAAGATTTCTATGAGATAGCAGGTGAAGATACTCACAAAAGCCCGAGCATGACCCTAGGCGGCAAAAGAATCTATGTCTCGTTCATATGCGATTCAAAATGGAGTATATCAGTACAGTGGGATGCGAGTAAGATCAAGAGAGTGGAGCCAAGGTCAAGACTACACAAAACGGTAACTACTGGGCCCAAGAGGAGTTGAGAAGGGTGAGGTAGTCGTTGATCCCTTTGACGTAGTCAATGGGCTCGATCCTCACAATTCCGTAGCGAACCCGAGTGCGATCCTACAGAGTTGATGCGTTAGATTCAGGGTCACGCATAACGAGGGGCGTGGGCTTACATTGTAGGTGTCCTGCTTCGCGCGGACGGTGAAAACATAGGATTTACCCGAAGCGGACTGCATATGGAGCATGAATGCTCCCTCATCACGTTCGCGCAAGTCCGTCAACTCATTGGCTGTCCTACCAAGAACGGTGTTACCGGCGTCGTTGAAACCTTGCAACCATATTTCGTCGGTCATGTCGGCGACAGCCATGGAGATGATGTATCTGTATCGCCGATTAGGACTATTATTGCTACTTCACGAAGGTCCGGCGCTCGAACTCACCGGTACTCGGGGGCGGGGTAGGTCTTCTCACACTTCTCGCACCGCCACCCGTTCCCTTCGTCATTCACCTTCTTATTGCAGTTTAGCGAAGGGCAAGCCGGATACGCGATGTTCTCCGGCTTGACGTTCATGACAGTGGCACGGATGGAGAAGTATTCGGCCTTCTCTGATACCTCAGCTGTCTGCGCCTTCGCATCCGCGATCGTGCGCATCTGGTCCGTGCGTTGTCCGCCAGCCCCGCCACCGGAATAGGCCTGGAAAGTCGTGTCGGCACCACCGTCCATATACCACCCCTTGAGCGCATGTGCTTGACTGTTATCAGGATTGACTTCCATGACGCTCGAAGACATCATCGACAGAGAGCGGCCTGAACATAGGTGAGCACGGACATGACCCAAAAGCCTGTGCGCTTGGTACGAACCACCGAAGTCACCGACTTTAACTCCCTTGAAGGCCATGACGTCTTGCTCCGAAGCCTGGAACTGCTCGGCTTGCTTTCCCCAGAGAGTCATGCGGACAGCGAAGTTTGACTGGTCCACGAGAGAGAGCTCGCGCTTCGTAAGCTAGACGGCCGTCAGTCTCACGTTTAATTCAATCTGAGCCGGTGAACTTACCGGTTTGCCTGCCTTCGTCGTGATGCTGCCAACTTCCCCGATCTCTTTCACAACCGCCAAGACGTCTATGATATCGGTTAGCATAAGCTACAATAGGGTGATTGCATAGTACATGCCGACAAACTGGTCCTTCTCGATGTTGTTCAAGTCCTGCAAGGTGACGAAGTTGTACTTGATGACCGGCATGGAGGTTGAGTCGGTAACCTGTGGACGTGTGAATGACATGAATTACACGGACTTCGCGATATAAACGCACCTCCACGATCTCGGTGCCCACATTGAGACTCAGCTCGTACTGGTTGTTCGACCCGAATTTCTTCTTCGCGATATCCACACGAGCTTTGCTAACATAGTAGACCTTGCCCTCCTGCACCTTATTGTACAGCTCTTCGCAAGCGGCGTTGAACGCCGTGCCCTTGATATCTCCTGACTCGTCCATGAACGTCACGCTGAAAAGTTTTCCTTCGCCGCGCTGATTTGAGTACGTGCGAATATCACTCTTCTGCGTGACCCTGGCCTTGATCGTCCAATTGTTCTGGTATGGGCTGAGAGCGTCGATAGGATAAAGTCGCTCTTCCTTGTTCGAGCGAGCTGACTGGCCGGGACGAGTTGCAGGGGCCGAGGGGATAGGCGCAGAGACATTAGCGGACGAGGAGGGAGCGCCGCTAGCTGCTGGTGCCGCGGCAGCTGCGGCTCCATCGTTCGGAGGATTCAGAGGCTTGGGCTCGCCGATCTTGTCCGCAGAAGCCTCCTCAACGCGAATACCAAGGATAACAACGAGACTAGGCGAGATATCAGGAATCAATTCGTCGTATAAGAGACGTGGCGTACCGTTTGCCTCCAATCGTATTGCAAACCATCTTCTCAATGGTGGCAATCGTATTCTTTCCAATAGCATTTGTTTGTACCATGTCATTCAATTGGGTTGCCAGCATAGCCTGTAAAAAGTGTTTTCCATCCGAGACAATTATTCGGTACCGGTCTGGGCGGTCAGCATCGGCGGGTGCGGGCGTGCCATTGGAGTTCCCGACGAGCTTAATCGAGAGGAATTGGACGGTGGGAGTCGACTCCCATATTTGATCCTTAGGGTCGACAACAACGAGCTTCTCCAAGATTCCTTCCGTAAGAGGAGGTGCCATAATATACGAGCTAGAGGTCAGAGTAGCGGTGGTAGTGGTGGTTGTTCGCCAAGGACAGAACACGCACGCGTCGTGCGCGCGTGCTCAATGACAGTAACAGTAAACGTGACGTGACCCAGCGCGTGTGTCACACAGCGAATCGGCTCCCGCAGGCCTCTGCTCACCCACCCATGTACCGATGTCCCGTTGCCTCCCACTCTTGCTGGTTGCATACATGGGAACCCGAAATGGAGAATTGCTTTGGCCAGGCTCTCTCGCAATCTTTGTGCGAGCCGAATCAGATACAATTGCAAAACGCAGTATAAGTAGTAGTGTCCGTCGCAATCCCTGGAAGCCGCAAATACAATATGGATGGAATCGATAGATACAGATGCGTGGAGCGCATTAGATAGGCGAGTCGAGGCTAGGCTACATGCGGAGGAGAAGTGATGGGTGATTAAACTTCTAACGGCTACAGTAAGTGATTGATTGCTCAGATGGATGGATACAGGGCTCTTGTGTATTGAACAGTGTCCAGAGGCATCGCGAAGGCAGTCTACGTCGAACCCAAAAGTGTGCGCGCCGTCGAGTCGCGTCCCGACTTCAGCTGCGTCGCCAAGGGCATACCACCGGTCCCCTTGCTCGCACCCTGCACAGCGAACTGCGCGCGTTCAGCAGCTTCCTCGGCCGTTCCCGGAGGAGTGGTGCGAGCCTGGGAAATGATGAACAGAGTAGCGACCTGGATATGGGCGTCGCGGAACTCCTTCAAGGACAGAACAGCCTTATCATAAGCTTCGCGTAGGAGCGGAGACTCCTTTGCGAGCCCACGAATCGGATTCTGGCCGCGGCGAAGGTCTTCGAGGTAGCGCCTGTGATCTCCAGGCATGTAGCGCCACATCCTCTCCATGAAGCCCTTGTCCGCGGCCTTGTTCGCGGCGGTCTGTGGGGCTGGCCGATGCTGGACCTGCTTGTGGTCGACATCGAAGAAGACGTCCAGTGCATGCATCACCGTGCTCTGCCCCGCCGAAGGTCCCGCAAGGTCGAGCTGGCTTGACTCGGAAACGCCTTCATAGATCCAGCGCGTCGAAGGATCGGTAGCCGGGCCGCTGCCGCTGAACCACGGGCGAACCTCCCAGTAGAACTGGTACGGGTTCACTGTCGCTTTGATCTCGCCCATCACCTGCGTGATCTCATCGATGGTGCGAGCGACGCCCACGATGTCCCTCGCCGTCTTCGACACGCATACAGGGTCGGCCGGATTGATCATGCCATGATACTGTTCGAAGGCGTGCAAGATATCGACACCGATCAGTTCTGGCTTGATCGATGCCATGTAGAACTGTCGCTCGGTCTCCGTCCCCGAGAATAGGTGCGCAAAGCGGATGTTACTGACGGAGAACGGGAGGGATGGGTCTGAAGGCTGCGCGTTCCACAGTACGGTATCCGCCAGCGTCAGCACGGGTGCAATACCCAGGAGTCGCGAGATGGCAACAATGGGGACTGCGAGACTAGCAGGTACGACGAGGTGGGAGCGATCTTGAGCGGGGAGCTGAGAATGCACGTAGAAGTGAATGAGGAATGCGAGGACCATATGGGCCCGTTGTAACGCGCGAATGTTCTGGCTGAGCACGCCGACAGGTAGTCTGGGTACCTGTTGATGGTGTGTGAACAACCGTATAGACTCGAGATCGAGTATGCTTACAGATCGGACACGAGCCCTCCAGCTTTCGCCGTACGACCTCTTGGCCTTGGATTCGGCGCGTGTATCCTCACCAAGACTGACTTTTCCCTTTGCGTCGTCGAGGAGCGTTTCCCATACGGCGTGCTCACCGTCCAGCCTAGAGAGCGCTACAGGCGGGAAGAATCCGAGGACGTGGTCGATATCGTACTCCCGTAAGGGTAGGACGCGATCCCGTGTTGGGTGACCACTAAGTTGTCTAAGAGTGTTCTTCAACGGCTGCATCAAGCTCGAGAGTTCAGAACTCTTGGGGAGGATGTTCGAGTGCATGACTTCTGGTGAAGAGAAGAGGGTATGAGGTTTTGAGTGAGGCGGGTTAGATGAGGATGACTGGAATTGAGCTCGTTCCCGCAGTTCTTATACTTATACGCAGTACGATCTGGCATACGCTCGATATTCGTGGCCTAGCCTACGCGCATGGCAATGCAACTTGGCTTTCAACCTGTGTATTCACTCGCTCTACTATCCGCGCGATTCGTGGAGTGATGTGTTGTAGGTGCGTACGACTCTGTTCATGACTGGGAACGCCCCGAGTGACTCTAAGTGTGTGAGTGTCAGGGACATAGCCGTGCAACAATTAGTGGTACGTATCCAATGCAGGACTGATTGGAGATGTCGTCTTCTTCCAGAGCATTGCCGACAACGCAACACAATGAAGCATACACGGCAACGAGGACCTGTATGCAAAGAAGCCCAGGTTCCTGATCCAGCCGCGCGTACATCCCTGTGAAGTATTGGTCCGACCAGATTGATTGCAAGGTTGTGATGTAGAGCGACTGTTCTTCTCCAGATACGTGCTCGGCGGCCGGAGATGGCCGGCGCGTATGCTTTTCTTGTGCACCAAGTTCTATTGCTCCTATGAATGACTCCTCGGCTTCAACCCTCTTTTCTCCACTCTATTACCACCTTTCCCCAGGAACATGGTGTATGTGCCCGAGTGTGAACCCGCCATTGATGCATTCGACAACGTAGCTCGTGCCAGTATCCCTGATCCGGGACCACGCAACTTGCATAGCACACCCGATGTCGGCGCCACTCTCGGCTTTGCTACCTCACGACTTCGAACTTGATGCGATCTCTCACTGCGCTTTAAGCATTGAGCGCATCAGTAGTTTGTGCTTGTTCCCGAAGAAGACCTACGGCAAGATCAGGCTCGTTCGATAACAACGTAGCTGCTGCGTTCTGTATGATTGGATCGATTCTTATGGGTCCAGCTGGGATGCGCGATCTATCGGTCCGAGGGTCACACGCGTAATGGATACATCAACAGTGCCTGCCATACAGTAAAGTACGCGTTTGCCCTGTAATCATGGCGCCTTCAGGAATGTGCGAATGTGGCGCACATTCCCAAGCTCGCCCGGAAGTCCGAGCCCGCGCGTGCAGCGTCCGAGGTACCCGGTATATTATATATGGCCTTGAAGTTCCGGAAGAGACCTGTATCGACGTTCCATAGTCACCGATGACTCTCTATCTTGATATTCGTATCAGTCTAGCCCGATCGTTGCAATTCCAGGCATACGATGTTGTGCATAGCCACACGAATGAGTATTACGTGGCACCGCACTTCGCTGATACGTATGCTAAGCCTCGCGAAAGAATGCACGAAGAAATTGAGATTGTAGGCTTGGAAGACAAGCACCGATTGGTGCAACTATTGACAAAGCCCGATAGTAGCCCTTGAAGGGTAGCAGGGGACACGCAGCTGATGTCGTCCCTCTGATTGGGAGAAGTCCCACGGTGCTGAACGTACCGAGTGTAGCAAGAGTATTTGGGTGTGGTCCGAGGTCACAACGTGCATGAACCCCGTCGGACGGCCATGGCAGTGCTACGAGTCGTGATACATGACCTTCCAACGGATTGAGGCCCGGAGACGAAGCCCCTCACAGCATCTGGAGTTCGGTGCCGGTGATTATATCAACTCTGTGATCTCCGCCTCCGCTTACTCGAATGATAATTTTTGAGTTCGCGCGCAAAGTAAGTTTTCCCACGTTTACCCCAAGGCCGACCATGGTGAGACGTACGGATAGCTCTGAGGCAAGTAGCTTGTTGCATAAACAGGATTAAACACGTATAGTATGGATTTCGAAAGGATAGGGCTCCACCGCTATGCGGCAAAAACCAGATCGATCCCGAAGCAATCATGAGCGGTGTTACTTCCAGGAAAGGAACTTATCGCCGTCCATCTTGCATCTGCGGCTGACAACGTCCAAAACCTTCTCCCGTACGCCTGCCTTGTTATTTGTTAATTCGTCAAAGCGGTCCAGGAGTTCCTCAACCGTGATGGCAGTGTCGGGGCTGGATGGATGTTCACCCTTGACCACCTTCATGATCAGGTCCTCACTAGGAAGCGCATACTTGCGGGTATCCCGAGTCTTGGCATCCTTCTCGGCGCGCGGCATGATGAGCTTCGGTGCTGTTTCCTGCGTGAAATATTCCTCTACGGCAGCGTCTGAAACATCGCTCAGTGAAGCAGGGGACCATTCTGGCCTCCCTTTCAACTTCGTGATCATGACTGCGGTAACACCCGTCTTGAAATCGGGGTTCGTACCACTCTGTGGGCGGCATCAGGGACAGGCAAGTGGAATATATGGACTTGGACGTACACAGAACTTCTTGGCGATGTTCAGCTCCATGGCGAGAGCGTGCTGAAGGTCCATCTTCTTGGCTCGTCGAATGGCTTGGAGAGCAACTTTCAGACTGGTCGGGCTTCGGTCTTCGAGCATGGCAATCGTATCCTGAGCCCACTGTACGATGTCGGCCGAGCTATTCTTTCCCTTTCCGTCCGCGTAATGATGAAGCTTGACCAAAATATCTTCGACCGTCCCCTGAGAGAAGGCATCATCGAGCGCATCACGGACACCACCCGCGAACGGGAAAGGCGGATCGCTGGGCTCCCGCTCCGTATACAAATCGTCGATGGCACTAGCGACCTGACCAAATGTTGGACGTTCCAGGGCAGAAAGTTTCTCAAGTAACTGAGGGACGCGAGAGGAGTGTATGAAGTGCGTGGCGAGGCCGAGTTCACTGCGACCGTGAGACTGGGGCCCGATACGCAGAGTATAGTGACTCACAAGGCTGCGCGTCCTGAAACAATGTTCCCTGTCAATGAAAGGTACGTTCCAATCTGACCGTCCAGCCGCGACAAGTAGAAAGAGCCACCGACGTCGGGGAAGTAGCCGATCTTCGTCTCCGGCATAGCGAACTGGGTCTTCTCGGTAGCTATCCTGAACGCAGCAGGCGCAGTCAAACCATATCCACCGCCCACTGTATGAAGTCTATGCATGCACTACACTGAATTCACAAAAATTGGACGCACTAGTATAGCCGTCCATTACCACGACGTATGGTTTGTCGAGTTTCGCCAGATAGTAATCCAATCCGAACCTGGGAACCGTCAGCATAGAGTCAACGCATAATGTCACGTTTCTCTACGTACTCGTGTTGGAAGAAGCTTAACGCCTCATCATGCTTCTTGTTCTCAATGGATTCTACAACGGCTGAGACCGATGAGACCGAACATGTCAGCTAGGCTCATAGCGGTGAATAGTGGTCAAGCACACACCTGCGACATCTCCTCCTGCACAGAATGCTTTTCCTTCGCCCGTCCCAACGATAATCCCCGCGAGGTCGGCGTCATTCCATTGCTAAGGCAGCTTCAGTGAAGTCTTCCGCGCAATATCACACGAGCCACGCACCTTCAGTTTGGGAGCCAATAGGTCAAGCATAGCGGAATTCAGAGAGTTCAGCTTCTTGGGTCGGTTCAATATGTACCGCCGCATTGAGAGCTTCTCCTCGAACAAGACCGGAGGCTAAACATATATTTAGGAATGAAGACCAGTGCAAGAACGCCAACGGTACCTCTTCTGACGCCGAAGCAGAATGAGACGACTGCGCGGGGGTGGCCATGTGTCTAGTTATCGCGGCCACACGATGAGCTGCTTGCAGACTGGGGCGCATGGGTACTCGAGCGATGCGGTACATGGCAAGCAGTCAAAGCCGTCGAAGACGAGCGTTAAGGCGCGTCTCGGCTATGCGTCACTGCCGCGCGTGAACGCGTTCTCGCGCCTTCACGTGCGACGCGTCCCATTACCAAAGGTTGCCTTAAACCACCATATGCATCAACCGATCTTGGACGCCCTGTAGTCCCTACTGCACCGTACACATCATCATGACGAACAATCCACTGCCTGTCGTCGGTACCAGGATTTCTCTGGCAGGATCACTCGGAACCATCAGATATGCCGGCCCTGTGTCTGGTACAAGGGGCGAGTGGCTAGGCGTTGAATGGGATGATGCCGTTCGCGGAAAACATGATGGTGTTAAAGACGGCCAACGTTATTTTGAGTGTCTGTGAGTTGCGATGTGATGAGTGCTGCTGAAGACTCAATAATAGTACCTACACCCTGCCAGAGTACCGAATTCGGGCTCGTTCATTCGTCCTAGTGCACCTCAGCTTGATTACGGACGATCCTTCCTTCACGCTTTGGTGAACAAGTATGTAGAACTTCCACAGGGGTCTACTGGAAGCGAGTATGTCACCCTGGGATCCTCGAATGGCGCTATACAAGTAGAGGCCGTTAACCTCGACAAGATCCGTGGTAAATTCTCGGATATTGAGAGACTCCGCGAGATTAGTCTGGATAGAGAAGGAGTGGCTTATCAAGATGAGCCAGGCGCTATTCGGGGAAGATGCTCCAGTGAGTCGCTATACTACGCATTAGTCCGTCATCTCGAGGCTGTATCTCCTCATCAGATCTCCGCGGGGTGGATTTATCGTATAGCTTGATACCATGCTGGGATGTGATATCGTTGATTGCAGAAGAACTGCCTTCCCTGGAGCGCTTGGCATTGAAGTGAGTCTTGACGGAGACGCTGAACCATCCCGGGACTACCCTGACTCTCCGATAGCAATAATCGGTTTCGGTCATTCACAAAGCCTCCCGGCCTGAATACCTTCGCCAAACTCGAAGAATTGCAACTTAGCGGCACTATGACCTCTTGGCAAGAGATGCTCTCGATTATATCGCACATGCCAAGATTGAGGCATATCGAGATGGGTTACAATCGCCTCAACACTCTCACATCCGATGGATACCAGTGGTCGACACATTGCGGTCTTGAGTTGGTCAATCTTGACAACAACCGCCTGAATGAGTGGCTTGAGATTGCACGTGCTCTTAGGCCGATGGAGAGGTCGGTCAGAATTGGTTTCTTCGTACTGTCGAGCAACGCAGGCTGATAGATGGTCACTTCATTCAAGACTAGAGAAGTTGATTCTCGCAGAGAATACCTTAAGTAAGATCCCGATGCCCGCCTCAACAGAGATACCTCTCCATTGGAAGTATCTCTCGTTGGTATCTACTGGTGTGCATCAATGGTCGTCAATCGACGCACTTGCTCAGTGGTGTCCTCGTCTCGAAGGCCTGAGTCTCTTTGGGACACCGTTGGTTGAAGGTGCGCAAGCAACACCTATTAAGAGTCAGAGTCCCTTCAACTCTGCGATCACGTACAGACCCAGAGAACAATCGCGTGTGGAGACAAGTCGTCATTGCACGCCTACCCGAACTCCGAGTTCTGGATGGCGCCACAGTACGTTCTTCGTCAAGTACTGCATCGGGTAACCATCATAACTCTGCAAGGTGTCTGACAGGCAACGAACCGACGCAGAGCTCTTTTACATCTCGATGGTGGCGCGAATGGAGTACCCCTCTGATGAAGCGCGGAATCTGGCCCATCCACGCTGGACCGCGCTGTGTCAACGTGAGTGGGAGTCGGTATTGTGACTTTCCCGATTTCCATCCACTCAATCTGGCTCCTTCGTCTGGCGCAGTACACGAGACGGCCACCGATGGTCGACCCTTCCCCGTCAAAGAAGACAAGCTTAGCTCCAGACTGATACGTGCGTTCGCCCCTTTGGCGTGTGACTTACCCACTAACGCCATACATCATCCAAAAGCTATCAAGGTCAGCCTTGTGCATGCATCCCAACCACCGGAGAATAGCGAGAGTATACCAGAAGCCCAAGTCGTCCGCATCTTGCCGACTGCCCCTCTACGCACCGTACGCATGAAGCTCCTCAAGTCGTTGAAAGCACCTCGTGGTGCGAGGGCGGATGTATGGGTGCGCATGCTCGGCGGCGCATACAGTCGTATCGGCGAGCCGGACGGATCAGATGAAGGGCGCGAGATTGCCTGGTGGCTAGATGAAGAGTCTGAAGTTGTGCTGTGCTTGCAGAGTTGACGACTGGGCGCTTTGATGATTCAATTGTACATTCAGTTATCTGGGCAGCAATCAGTAGCCGGATCTCGCCCAGGGTTCGCTCGGAGATCGCATATGTCCGTAGTGCTTCCCTCCAAGTTCGTAGTCTCGTCTTCCAGGGAGTTGGTAATCTAAGTGTGTGGTAGCATGGCGAGTGAAAGCCTACTTTGGACAAGTATGGCCCACGAAACGTAGCATATGTCCTAATCGATCATAGATGGCCGACAGCGTTGATCTTTGAAGAAGCCTGGCGCGAGCCTCGAGGAACGTACTAGGCACCTACATTGACCATCATACAACGCGAAGCGATGGCGTTCTGAGCTTGAACGACTTCAGAAGAACGGGATCGCGGATTTGACCTCTATAGTAATAGGTCATCTAGATCGTGTCTTGTCCCCAGAATGACGGCGGCACCCATCATGTCAGAGGGAGGACAGGAGAACTACCGTAATCTATCCGGGTTGAAGAGGCCGCCAGGATCTTGCGCGAACACAGCACTTGAGTGCTGGATATAAACAAGGATATTGCATGGCTACCTAACGCACTGGATGTTCTGTGTTGCACGCTCGTCCTCGCAATTTGACAGACTATGTAGCATAGGCAAGCCAGCTTATCGACTCAACGCCACCACGGCCACTGCCCTCTGCATCGCAGTACTAATGAAATAGCATCTGCATCTGGTTCGATAATAAGCTTGCGGGTAGAAGAGAGTCATGTGCAAATATCTGGAAACGACTCAGACAGCATGGCATTATATTGAAGTAGATACAGAGTACATCCAGGTGATTATACTACGAATATCAATGTCCACTCACCGTACAGTCGCAATATGCTATCCTGCACGGACGTCAGTGTGAGCCATGAGGACGAGATCCCTACCTAAAGTTAGTGATCAACATAAGTGGGTGAACATTCTGCGCCGAAGCTTGATCTCCCTCACAAGGAACCCGTCAGTCTACGGCCGGTAGTGAAGAATCGGCTCATCCTACCTGTCGTGCTATCGACAAGAGACGGGTGTAGATGGCAGTCGACCTTTAATCAATCGGCAATGTGGTCCGAACTATCCCGAACTATCCTAGGTTTTCACGCGCTCATGGGGATCCTCATCGCCACGTCCTACGCAACGACGAAAGCATCTTGATGGGCGCATCGAAGGCCTGCGCGTTCAACACTTACCGTTGAATGGTATCCGGACATAGGTAGATAGAGTGGTCCACCCCATCGTCTTGCAGGACGCTCCCGGCCATGGCAGGTCTTGTCTTCGACCTCGACTTCCTTGTGTTCGCGCGTTTTACCATCCGGGACCATGGGGAAACCTGAAGGGGCCGTATCCTAGGGTCACAGTCGCTCCACTTCGGACGCCAATAGGGGGATCAGATAGTTGTACAACGGCCTGGGGCGAAGGAACCTCCACTCGCAAAAGTACGCCAAAGGCCTACGCCATACAAGGGACCAAGGGACCACGGACACCGGGAACTGAACTGGGTTTTCGAGCACATTTTCGGGAGGCCATACGGGAGAGATTCAAGATATATGCCAAGGTCCTTGAGGGGCCATCCGCTGCCGCGACTTGACCTAACAGACACGAAGCCGACCTTTCAACGCGACCAGCCACCGTCGCCACTACGCGAAGGAGGAGCGCGGTCGTCATCGTCACCACGACGGCTGCGCCTATCGTCATCACGCCTGGGTGGCCTTTCGTCGTCTGCGGGCCGTGCGGAGCGCCTGTCTTCGCGAGCTTCAAAGTCTCGTCCCGAACGAGACGCCTCGTAGTCACGACGCGGTGGCGAGCGAGCGCGGCGATCGTCGTCTCCACGACGGGGCGAACGAGAACGGTCGCGACGAGGAGGGGCATCACGGTACGAGTGGCGGTCGCGGTCGTAGCCACGGTCGTCACGACTGTACCGATCATAGCCACCGCGGTCATAGCCACCACGGTCGTAGCCACCACGTTCGTAGCCACCACGGCCACCGTAGCCACCACCACGGTCGTCGCGGCGGTAGTTGTCGGCATCGCGCTTCGACTGGTACTCAGTACGGGGAACAAACTCAGCAATAGTGTCGCTTACTTCGTCGCCCAGAGCCACGCGTACAGATTGGCCACGGAGATCCTTGCCGTCCAGTTCTTTCACCGCACGCTCAGCATCATCACGTGAGAGATATTCGAGGATGCTGATAAGGCCGATATTAGTCATGAATTCGAGCAAAAAGGGAGTGGATATCGCGTACCCTTGACCAGGGACGTCGCGATCAATGTCGGCGAACGACACGCTGCCAGCCTCACGACCGAAGTCCTTGAGGTCCTAGACACGTCATCAGTGAGCGCTCTTCGTGCGACTTTTTCACAAATGACACTCTTACCTGCCAGCTGGTGTCGCGTGAGATACCCGTAACAAGGATACGGATACCAGGAGGACGACGGGCACGAGCGCTGCTGCTGAGAGAATACCGTTAATTCAGTTGATGTCAAGGAAGCTAAACGCACTACCGGTCTTCCGGGTAGGGATCACGAGGGCGAGGACGCGACTCCTTTGCGAACTCGACGACGATCCTAGACCAACAAGACGGTCAATAAATCATCAATCTCAACCATGAGACTTGTCCATACGGTCCGCCTAGGAAGCTCTTGCCGTTGACGTTTGTGACTGCATCTTCGGCATCCTAGGATAGAGGCGCGTGAGTGTGAGAGCAACGGTATGGTTTTTTGAAAACGGCCTACCCTCGAGCTGTCGAACTCGATGAAACCGAAGCCTTATACATGGGTAAGAGCTCTTATCCATATATAGAGTTGACTCGAGCGACGTACCAGTCATAACTTTGCAGTCGACGATTTTGCCATACGGCTTGAAGAGGTCCTGTACCTCGTCCGAGCGCGCATCCGGAGGAAGCTCTGGCAATGGAATCAATTATCGACTCAAGCACTATGTACTAAATGGCTTACTTCCGATATAGAGGCGGCGGGAACCCATTTTTGTAGAGATAAGGGGAGGTGGTGGTTGAGGAACAGGCGAGGACGCGCTCCACTTTCGCTTCTCTGAATCAACGGACGGTCACCGCCTTCCCACGACGACACCGTCACGCGAAAATAAGCGCCCATGGCGATGCTAATGTTCGGACATTCGGACATACTTCAATCAACCAAGGCATATAGCAGAAAGGAACCTGGCATGATACTATACACGAGAGCAAGAGAGAACTAAACTAGTAGTGAACCTGTGTAGTAGCGGTCTGTATTAATAATGGTGCGAAGTAGAGCGTTGAAGCGGGAGCGCTGAGCGCGTAATCCATTCGGCGGTCACCGCTTCTAATGCTGGGACCAGTCGATGGAGCTGATATCGATGCCCTCCTGGACCATCTCCCAGAGTGGGCTCATGTCGCGCAGGCGCTGCACAATCGTGGCGATCTTCTCGACGACGAAGTCGACCTCTGCCTCTGTTGTGAAGCGGCCGAGGCCGAAACGGAGAGACGAGTGCGCCATATCCTCCGCAGCTCCAAGAGCGCGGAGCACATAGGAGGGCTCGAGCGATGCCGACGTGCACGCGCTACCGGAAGACAGAGCGATGTCTTTGAGAGCCATGAGCAGACTCTCGCCCTCGACGTAGGCGAAGCTCAGGTTGACGCAGCCCGGGTAGCCTGCAACATCGCCATTGCGGACGACATGTTCCACGCGCGCGTTGATCCCGTCGATCAGGCGCTTCGACAGGTTCGAGACGTGGTCGTGGTCGCGCTGAACAACTTAATTAGCATAAATTCCAACAGGTTGGAACGAACGCAAACGACGCTCAGTACCCCTGCACACTGGTCATCACCGGGCCGGCGCGCTCACAAGCGACAAATCGCAGAAGATGCGCATGATGCCGCCCGGCTCTTGTGTGCACATTCACATCACAGCGCCCAAAGTCAAAGTACGAACCTTCATCTCAAGCTTGGCGATGCGAGCGGCCTCGCCAAGGCCGACAGCCAATGCTGTAGCTAATGTGCCGCTACGCAATCCACGCTCCTGGCCACCACCCGAGATGATGGGCTCCAGGCGCACGCGAGGCCGACGGCGGACATATGCGGCGCCGATGCCCTTGGGACCGTAGATCTTGTGACCCGAGATGCTCATCAGGTCGACATTCATCTCGTTCACATTGACCGGGATCTTGCCAACTGCCTGAGCGGCATCGGTGTGCATGTAAACTCCGCGGTGCTTGCGTGCGATCGCTCCAATCTCACGGATTGGCTGAATAACTCCGGTCTCGTTGTTCACGGTCATGATGGAGATGAGCGATGTATCCGGTCGAATGGCCTTCTCGAGTTCCACCAAGTCGACCACACCATTGTGTTGCACGGGCAGGTAGGTCACGTCGAAGCCCTCCTCTTGAAGCTTTCTGCAGGAATCAAGCACACATTTGTGCTCCTGTGCATGGGATTAGCGTGGGTTCTGTAGGAAAGGGCGTAACGCGACGTACAGTCTGGGTGGTGATGACGTGCCTCTTCTTCTCCTTGTGGAACCGAGCGACACCCTTGATAGCCATATTATTCGTCTCTGTTGCGCCCGACGTGAAGACGATATCTTTTGGTTCAGCGCCGATTAGGTCCGCGACGTTCTGAGACCCGCACAGTCAGCGCAGCCGCCCTGAGCCAGTCTACACACGACGACCAACGCACCTTGCGCGCCTCCTCTACCGCCTTCTCCGCCTCCCAGCCGTATGCGTGCGTGCGGCTGTGGGGATTTCCGTACTGATCGGTCAAGAAAGGCAGCATTGCGTCGAGCACTCGAGGATCGACTGGAGTTGTCGCCTGTATCTACGTCAGCCACTATCCACTTGTGTCAGTGAGTCCGCAAATATTCGCACCTGTGCGTCGAGGTAGATGGGTCGCGCTTGATTCTGCACGCCCTCCTCCCTATGCGGTACTTCGACCTTGAACCCGTAAGCATCTGAAATAATTACAGACCTCAGCCAGCCAATCTCGATAGCTGTACTATATTCTGCATACCAGCTCGCGGCGATAAATGCGTCTCCTCTTGATATGAAGACGGGACGTCCATTACGCTAGCGCGCTCTGGGCCGGAGGGAGAAACATATCCCCTGGCTGCCGCCTTTGACACATTCCTGACAGCGGCGGTCTTCTGCGCCGCGGCGCTACGCAAGACAGTGCGAGAGGCCCTGGAGAGCATTGGGCAGAATGTGGAACGGGTCAAAGGTGAGAAGGCTGGACCGCCGTGGACGTCAAGAAGCAAGTTGCCGGATGCCTTCGTAATGTTCGTGGCCGCGCCGCGGGGCAGGACTCCGAAGGAGCCGGATCGGCAGTCACGATCACGGCAACTTCCGGGTGTGGCGCGCGCGCTCCGGTGACTTGCCACTGCGCCCTTGACGCGCCTTCTGCCATCCTTTCGGCTTGAGCTCTTCACCTCTCTCCTCGCTGGCAGACAGTCTTTTGTTACAACTCCGAGCACATCATGTACGTGGGGTATGAGAGAGTGTGAATGAATGCTCGGTATATGGATATTTACATGTAACGCTGATGTACACCCGTGTATAGACCCCAAAGGCTGAACTACCTCTTTTGAATAACACCTCTCAGATACTCAAAGAGAAGGGTTGGCGTTCGTAACGAGAGAGACGAAGTAGTCTTGGAACCACTGTCCAGCTGGAATTGGTTTAGTCAGAAACGTATAGAGGGAGCAAAAGACTTTGGAGAGACGAACCTTCAGGGGCAGGCTGGGCAGCGTCGGACTGGCCACAGTGGAAGTCGTAGCGGGAGCTGCTCGTGTTGCTCGTTCCGTCAGACTCGCTATATCACGCATCAGTGTCTGATTACGTGACGACGCCTCATATGCGCTTACCCTCCGGGCTTGGCCCAGACGACGGCGTCGAGGTACTGAGAGATGGAGGTCACATCAGACGAGGGGCGCATACCGAAGCCGGCGCCCTTGACGTTGCACCAGTCACCCCAGGCTGTACGGATGTTCTGAACACCGGAGCGGCCCTGGTCGACGATGAATTGCGCGTCCCAGCCAGACTGGCGGAGGAGAGGACCGAGCGCGTTGATGTAGAGCTGTTCGTCGTAGTTGTTGTCGCCCTGGGTGACCGGGTCGGGCGAAGAGGTGGTAAGAGCGTTGTAGTTGGAGACGTCCGTTGCGAGACCGCGGATGAAGGGGCTCTTGCCGGCGTCGCTCCAGACCTGTGCGAAGAGCTGGGCAGCGGGCGAGAGGTTCGCGGGCCAACCGAGCCAGCCAGCGTGGCCAGCATCGATGTACATATAGATGCCAGCAGCCGCGAGCGTCTTAAGAGCGTAGTTGACGCTGGACAAGTAGTTGGACTGGGCGTTGGCACACTTCTGCACGTTCAGGTTGGTGACGAGGTTGGCGAGCGAATCCGGTTCAATGATAGCCACAGTGCGGACATCAGGGAACTGCTTGACCTGTGCGGCGATCGAGTCGATGTACCTGAGATCAATATAAGCGCAAGAACTGGAAACAGGGCACGCTTGTACTTACGCCTCGTACTGAGCCGCACCGCCGGTGGCGTAACTGTACTCGCCGTTCGAGGCAGCAGCAGCGCAGTCACGGTCGGGGAGGTCATAGACAATGAACTCCACGAGCTGCTTCGCGCCGGAGCTCTTCTGGACGGCACTTGCGTTCCCGAGAAGCTGACCGAGAACGGGAACCTTGTCGGCAGTGTCGAGCCAGGTGAACGAAGGGATCTTGGCAACGGAGAGCGCCTTGGCCTTGGTTGTCGCGTCCGAAATCAACGCGGCAGCGGCGGTGACCTCGGCAGCGTAGAAGTTGGACGGGAACGCGGTGAATCCAGTGAAAGGGTTGCCGGCAGCGGGCGTCGCGCTTGAGCTAGAAGCGGGAGCCGATGCGGTCGAAGTGGATCCAGCCTTGCTGGTGGTCGTCGCGCCGCCACCGGAGCCGCCGCTGCTTCCTGGCCTGTGGTGTCTGTGAGTTATTGTCTTGCACAGCGCCTCGGATCCGTGACGTACAAGCACTGGGAGTAGTAGTCGTTGATGACCGTGCATGTTGATCCGGACACGCAGGTGGTGGCACCGCCTATGAAAGTTATCAGCGAAGCCCGCGGAATTGTGTCGATGTGCACGTACTCCAACCGATACCACCGCACTGTCCGTAGACGGCGTTCTGTGCCGATACCACCGTCGCGAGGACAACAAAGCTGAGGAGTGTGCTGAACATCTTGAGCGTGCAAGTTCCGCGGTCAGCTTGGTCCTAATCCACCGCCTCGGCCGTCACTTATATACGGAGCAGCAACTTCCTCGGCAGCACCGTACACGGCGAGTCGTCGCATCACGGTCCGTAGTCACCTGGCGAGGATTCACCCGTAGACGGCGGGGATGTTGCAGGGAGAGCATGAGGCGGAAGGCGGATATTGCTCGGGATGTTGCGCTGACCACGTACAAGCACGACTACAATGCCACCGGAGACGTCACGAGGGCGCAAAGAAGCTCGCAACTGTGGGACAACAAAACGGATACAGGACGGCGACATCGCGGAAGATAGACGTGAACAAAGCCCTGACCAGTAGGGAGAAAGATCGCGTATCACGCCTTCGAAAGCCGAGAGTGCGCAAAGTGTGCATCCAACTTATTGTCACGTCTTCGAGAACATGTCTTTAGTAGGGTAGCGCATCAGCGCTCCGTTCCCGGCACCGCCGACAAACATGCGAAACAAGTAGGGCTCATGGCTCTGCGGGGAGAGCCACTGTACGTTCTTCGGAATCAAGGGTAAGCCTCGGACTGTTGAGCGCCTTGGAGGTCAACACGGGCGGAGCACAGTTACCCTCGACACGGCCGTTGTTGGAGACAAGTCCTATAGGTATCATCCGGTATCCGTGCTACATACGACATTTCCCGCGAACGCATGGACCGCGTAATAAATATTGCCGATCATATCCTTCCCGGTATTAACGGCGCTTCGGCGCACTTGGTGGAGGTGGCAACAGCGGGAATGCCCCGCCTCCACCCGTGCTGCTCGTCACACTGGAAGAAGCAGAGGTTGTCCCGCTACTGGTGCCGCCTCCGAGGAGGTCCAGTGTATCGAAGCCTCCTGCTTCTTTCTCCTTCTCCTTGCGCTCACGACCCGGTATATTGATCTTGAACGTTTGCCCCTCCTTCAGCGTATAGTCTTTCTTTGGTCCCGAAGGGATGTGCGGAGATGGTCCCGAAGCCTCTTCCGTTGGTGACGGAGGGTTCATGCGCGCTTTCCATCGCCTACATGATGTGAGCTTCCAGGTAGTGTTGAGCTTTAGCGCCACGTACTTGGTATAATCCTGAAGCGCGACGTCTGCCGTAGTCAGCAAAACGTATCGACCAGCCAATGCAACGGCAAACGCTCACTGAAATCGAAAGACTCGGATCGCTCGACAAAGCCCATCCCGATATAGGCCTTGCGCCCGTTATCCTCGATGCGCACAACAAAGTACCTAGATGAGTCAATGACAGCTTCGATGCTCGGCCGCGCGCAATCATATGTTGTCTTGGCGAATACTGACGGCGCTACGGTCAGCGCCTCGCCCAGTAAGGACTATAGAAATACTAAGACGCACGTTCCCCTGCCCAGTGGCGCGTCAGAGTACAGCAATAGCTACATCGCACATCGCGCACCGGTCGTAGCATCTTCAAGCATAAGCGTAGCCGGATCTGTGTCGGAGGTCTCGATGATACGTAGACGGCCCTTCCATAATGGATCTGCAAGGTCGCCCCAATCCTGGGCCCTGTGACCTTCGTTCTTCTTCAAGGGCGGGATCTTGTAGACTACACTGTTTCAGTATCGTTTGAGTACATTCATGAGCTTTCGCACCATATACCTCTCTACAGATGTAGATGATAGATTCGATGGTGTCGGAGTCCATCGTGGGCAGAAGCAAGGCGATGGCACGCATCGCGCGCCTTGACGCGTCTGTCTCGATCCCGAACTTGCGTTTGAGCCACCATGCAGGCACCACCGACTCCTCCAGCAGAACCATCAGCGCTTCCGGAGGCGCCGGCTTCCGCAGCGCAAGCGACTGCAGCACCCGCGGCAACGTCGGCATCTGCGCCGGCGTCTGTGGCACCCGCCAACTCCCCTTACCCAGCCCTCTTCCCCGCAATCGCCGACGCCTGTGCCCGTGCAGATTACTCTCGAGTTGCAAGTCTTGCAGAGGCCGACGATGTACACGTATGCTTCTATTGTACTCGTGGCTACTCTTAGATATTCATAGACCCATCCAACAGGTCTCCAGTAACCATGATCAGCACCGTCTGCTGATTACTGCGCCACTCGTGCTCGCGAACCTCATTCTCGACGATCTGTGAGTCCAACTGGCCACTTTGAATCGATGACATATCGACATTGATCATATGTACACAGCCCACTAGCGAAATTCGCACTCTTCCGCTTGCCCGGCCCATTGGTAGATTTACCATTGTCCCGTGCCCTCTTTGGCCTCACGGCTTCCGTTTCTGAACGCCGTCATGCGCATGTGTACGAGCGTGCAGCGGAGCTTCGCTCACTGGTCACGTCTCCCGACTTCTCTGAATCAGTGGCCTTTGGTCAGACGCTCATCACACTGACGGACGCGTTCCTCGAGGCGTTCCGTGAGCGCGTCTTCACGCTGGTCGCGCGTGCATACACATCCGTTCCCGTGCAACTCGCCCAGGCTTATTTGGGTTGGCCCCAAGAACAGGTTCTCTTGAGTAAGTCACTTGTCATGACACATGATGCATATCTGCTCATTGCCTGTCATCAGTCGCTCAAGCGCACAACTGGGGATACGACGCTTCCACACAGATCTTGACACCCACTCACCGGCCATCGACGGCCGGCGCTTTCAACTTGACCTCAACACCGTCAACCTTAGCCGCCTTCGAGAGGATCACAGACAATGTTGCCGCTTTAGAAGCGTAGAGCGTTAGCGCACCCCGAATGCTGAGTTTCCGTCTTCACGTCGAGCGCTCGATCCAAGCATATCCAGTCCGTCCTCGAGGAGATACATGTTTTCTGTAGGATGCGACCATGCATGAATTGTAGCAATACCATTTCTTAAGCCAATTTCTCGATGAATTTGTCCAGGTGTTCCATTGGTGGTGAATATGAGTGTATGCAGATGCTCGGGTATGTGATACATGCTATGAATGGAGGGTGGTGTGTAAAGAACCTCTACTGTCTTATGCTGAACCACCTCCTAATTGGTGACTAATCTTGCGCCAATCCTACGAGGCTGGCGTCAGGATGGCACAGTGGCGGCAAGAGGAAGACATTCACACCTTATGGTTCAGCACAGAGACATCCTCTGCGGACGCTACGTGCAAGAGATACCGAGCCAGACGCTCTAGCTCGCGGTCAGAACGTGCAGCCGCCGAAGTAGACACGTCTTTGAAGGCGGGTATCTTGATGCCATTGCCCATGTTGAGAACAAAGTTTCTAGACAGGTCATCGACATGCAGGGTATTGCGCGCGTTGCTGCAGGCCGTTCTCAGAAGTCGGGAACCGAAGAAGGGTGTATCATGCTTACAACTGCGGAAACAAGTTCCATATAATCTGGAGTGCTTTGACCTACTTCTATATGAGCATGGGCACCCATGTCCAGATGATAGGAAACGTACATGGTGAGCGAAGGGTTTGCCATCTTTGTCTTTACGATCGGCCGAGAAGACAGTGAACATGGGCTTCTTGTCGAGAACTAGCGTTGGGCCGTCAGAGAGACGCGTGAAGGATAGATCGGATTGACTGACCGAACGAGATCTCATACGGTCGGCCTTGTCCGACCATTCCTAACTCAACGAGCTTTGTCTCAAGCCAAATCCAGGAGGTCTGGCTCCAGATGGCAATATCGTAATGCGGGTATACGGCTTCAAGGAACTCGTGCAAACCAGGGCGGGCGCATTCAGAAGGTGGAAGACTTCCGCTTGTCAAGGGCTTCGTGTCGAGAATGGCTGCGAACAAACTGTGATGATGAAGTGTCTGGGCAGAGATTGCGGACATACTGTAGTCTAAGTCAAGTACGAGTAGTTTCTTTCCTTCTCTGAGAGGATGCATAAGATTAACGTGGCCCCTGAGCGCCTCAGACGCCTCTTTGACTTTGCGCGCGTTGCGTAGATCACGCTGGTACGCAACGGCAGCAGCCGAGTTAGCCGAGAAGTCGACGTCAAGGTCGTTTGTGACATCGGGCAGCCAGTCGATCTCTGAAAGACAGGATGATTCAGATGGCATATAGCTCATGGCGGGGAATGCAGATTGAACGCACGGGAGGGATCCTTGAATTCGTGCCCTTCGGGCGTTCCAACCAGAGAGAACTTCTTTCCGCTCACTAGCTTCAGATCTCCCCTAGATTCGATCATACGTCAGTCCGGCTTGAAGTCGCAACGAAGCATATAGGGCGGACAACAACGCAAGCAAGGACCTACATTCGCGCGTCCTCGGGTGGCAACTTTCCCTTCACCAATCCTAGAATCTTTTGACGCTCTGGCGGTACATTTGTTTGACTAAACAACATGACCTTCAGGTCGTATACACTGCGAACAAATTGGGTTAAGCGCAGTCAATCGCGATGTACGACACACGCACCGATCGGACTCCGCAATATGAAGCTCAAAGGCCTTGCCCTGCCACGAATATAATAGGTGTATCCATATCTCCTCTGCTTCCGTATCTGGAACCGCTTCTGATGCGATCTGAAAGAAAGACGGAGTCGGATGAAACCCAGCAAGGATTCTGCGCCGGGTGCATACCGAGGAAGTGACGATGGTCGCGGATGTATCGCCCGGAGCCACAGCTGCGTTAGTGCCAGAGGACGACCCGAATTTCAACGGTGGAGCGGACGTCATATCTACATCCATGGGTGAAGGTAGCGGGGATAGTATAGTTCGATGGTGGGGGTGAGAGCGAGAGTGAAGGTGGCGTCAAGTCGAAGTACAGCAACAACAACAACAGCGCTACGGCTGCTCCGCGCACGCGTTGGGTCGCCGCGTTGAACCCCTATTCTACGGCAACGAGGCTGAATTCTCACGCCACCGCGACTTGCACCGGGCAATCTTTACGACTGGCGAAAATGGAATACGTGTTGATGTGTAAACAACGTGCTACATACAAGTGTACAGCGAAGTGAGAATAGCCGGATATTTTCAAATTCCGGAAATGTGCTAAAAACATGGCACGCCACACAAGCGGCCGAACCGCGACGACCGGCCTCTTTTTCAGTGCTCCAGCTCCGGTCCTAGTTTGTTGATACTATAGTGGTATATGAGTGTCGGGCATATAAGATCATATATGGCGCGGGTGCTTACAATTCGATACCGCTCTTACGGTAGACATCATCCTCGATGAAGCTACCCTTGCGCTTGAAGACGATGTTCTTGGGCGCGTCGCGATAATTTGGCCATGTAGGAGCGCCATCGATCTCAGTGTGGTTGGGATCCTGATTTGCAACGAACGACACCCAGTAGCTGGTCATAAGTTTTGCAAGTTCGGCGTCGCCGGCTCGCTTCGAAAGAGGGTTTTGCGTCGGAAGGGGATTGCTGAATACAAAGGCCACCTGGTTGGCATCTATTAACAGGGCGGCACGCAAAGACTCAATTGCTACGTTACCTCTTGGAAGTGTGACACGCCAGTCTCAATCGTTGCATTGTCGGGTATCTGGTCGAACCGGTAGCTGAAAACGTCCTTGTGTTTTGACATGGTCTCTGCCAGAGCACGACGAGGAGCGTGCATGACTATGTCGCCGTAGATCGCCAGGCTGCGCTTATCCTGTGCGCCCGTAGAGAGAAGTCCGTCACCAGTATGGAAAGGGCATCCAATGGAAGGATCATCGGGATAATGCTCTAGAATGGTGCTAACGCTCTCGTTCGTCAACTGGTAGGATGCAAGCAGCGCATCGATGAGAGCCGTCTCATTATCCAAACCGCGTACACCGAAAGCCGAGCCTTCGTCGGAGTTCTCTGCGTTGCCTCTATCAGTGTATGTTGGAGAAGAAGATGATGGATCTACGCACGGCCGAGAAGTAGTGGCACCTTAACAGTGGCGTCCGAATCCATCGCAACTGTGACTGCCTCCCGGAGGAAATGCCCGTCGATGACCGGGCCTGCGGACACCGTAGATACGTTTGTTGCAGCAACGAAGGTGTCAATATCGACAGAGCGGAGACACGCAAGGGTGTCGTTGGAAGTCGAGCATCCAGTATTATTGACGACGATGTCATATACGGCTTGCGACTCGTTCAGGGTCTTGTACTGCCAGCTCAGCGCCGTTCCAGACTCGAGAATACCGCCACGGAAGAGTGAAGTCGGGGCACCTCCGAGTGCGAGAAGCTGTTGAGCGATGCTGATTGCGCCGGCACTGCGTCCATAGGATCAGTATAACATTCTCAAGCGTAATGAAGTGCATAGATCTGACCTCTCGCCTATGAGAGTCACTTTCGAAGCGTCACCTCCGAAAGCGCCGATGTTCTCATGCACCCACTCCATTGCCTAAGTTCTTCTTCGTGAGTCATCTGCGCCGCTCTAGATTCGGCTGAAAAGCCGCACCTTGCGTTGGTCCAATAAACCAAAGTTTCCTGATTCTTCATCTGCGATCTCTTGCCCAAACAGGAAACCAAACACAGAGACGCGATAGTTGAAACTCGCAAAGATCTCGAGGACGAGGTCAGTAATGTGCATGGCGTACGCATGGCCGACGCTCACGATTGGTTGGTCCATTTCAACGCTTCGTTGTACAATCCAGCTGCCATTGTAACGAAGGTCGGCGCTACCACCCATGGCGAAACCTCCACCACTGACATATTGTCAGTGAGATACCTTGCAAAATAAACGGGACGTGGTACATACTAAACCCAGAGCATAACCGGGAGATCGCTTCCTTCACCATAACCCTCAGGTCTAATCACATTCACCGTCAAACAATCCTCGCTGAGCTCCTGTCCAAGGTCGTCATTGGCGAATGCTATTGGATAACCGATGCAGATTGGGCTGTAATTGGTAGCGTTCCTGGATCCAGACCACGAAGTGTTTAGGGTTTGGGGTGCCCGTAGGCGGAGGTCTCCGACAGGCGGTTGAGCGAAAGGCATGCCGAGGAACATCTCCTGCTTGAAAGATGGTACGGATACGCCGGTGTAAGTTCCATTTTGGATTGTCACTGAAACGTTAGACGCTGCGGCGACTAGGTGAAGTAGCGCGCCGAAAGCCAAGCGACGTAGGAGCATGATCGCGAGATGGATGTGGCTAAGGACGTCCTCCTGCAGCCCCGCATACTTATGAGCGGGGACCCGACAGGTCCGGCACTGGGGTGCGGGGTTCGTTCCATGGGCAAAAACTGTACATCCGTTGCGAGACGGATGTCTGCTGACCGCCGAATGCGACGGGACGGATGACGTTACGGCGTCGAACCCAGTAGCGGGGGCGGCTAGAGTGGGCAAGGAAGCACGACCGACGCCGCGCGTGCCGTCAAGCACATCGTCAGAGTCATATTAAAATACATGATCAGTGCAACGGGTGAGCTCTGGGTCACAAGTGGGCGTATGGCAGCAGGTTGGTAGAGGGCAAACGCCCACAGGGATAATGACGCTGTAAACCCCGCCCTGGCCCGCCGATCAGCGGCAACCCTTCGTTGCCTCCGGATAGGTAGCAGAATACAGGTTCAAGCGGGTAAACGTATGATGACGGTCTCGCTCCGCATGGTCGAATTTGCAAGCTTATACAGCTGACTCCGGAGGCGATAAGATATTGGTGATTTAATCGGCTGACCATGTCTGATCTAGACTGTTGCACATACAACGCTTTCTCCCGCGTCAGCACTGGTCCGGTGCGCTCATTCGATCCAGAGTAGAAGAGCAGAAGATGGAGGCTGAGAGCGAGAAGCCCTAGACTATGGGCGAACGCTAAATTGCCGGGCATTGCCGACCGCATTTCGTGGGAGTCCTCAGGAGCTCTCTCGCAGACGTTTGCTTGCTGGTTTCAACCACCACCGAGTATTTCTATGGCATAGCTTGTTGACAGTTGTCTGCTCAAGGCTCCCAACGGCAAAATTAGTGTGCCAAGTCACCGCAGCAAGGCCGGGTAGACAGCCTCTCCTAGAGTCTCCTAATATCACATGAGGGCACCGCTCGTCCCGGTCCGGCTACTCTCCAACTTCCCCACAGGTCATCGTTGGCGGCCAGCATCATTCGACACCTTTGTGCCCTTACGAAGGCATCTCTCGACCATGTCCTCAGCTCAGAACGTCAAGACTGCATTCCCACGTCCATCTGCCAGCTTGATTGTCGTCAATGACAAGAATGAAGTGTTGCTCGTCCAAAGGAATCCGCAAGCAAAGGCGTTTAGTGGCATGCATGTGCGCGAGTGTTTCATGGATGCGAGCCATAGTCTGACTCTCCTACATCAAGGTTTTTCCTGGTGGTAACTACGATGAGCGGCAGGACGGGGGCTCTTACGAGATGACAGCGATTCGCGAGACGTTCGAAGAGTCTGGGCTACTACTCGCCAGCTCTTCTGCCTCGATCTCAGACGAGGATCTCGACACAGCGCGATACGCCATACATGCAGGACGGACGTTATTCAAAGATTTCCTCTCGCAGAATGAATTGAAAGCCGATGTGCCGTCTCTCCTTCCATTCACGCAGTGGATAACTCCTCCAGGTTCGCCTCGGTCAGTACATGTCATCAGTCCACACAACCGCGCTTGGCTGAACATGAGATCAAGCCGTTTTCACGCGAGATTTTTTGTTGCCTTTTTGCCTGCGTCTTCTTCAAGTGGATTTTCCTCTGGCAGTTCTCAACAGCGTCTTCCGACTCCTGATGGAGGGCAAGAAGTGGTCTCGGCTCGCTTTGTCCATCCGGCAGACGCGCTGGCCGAATGTCAAGCCGGGAAGGTTGTCTTCATGCCTCCACAATACTATCTGCTGAGCACATTGGCGAGCATCTTGACTGGTCGTTCAGCCTCGGCTGCGCAACGAGCTCAAGTGGAGGCGCTTTCGGCTAGCTCATTCGGCACTTTAGTCGTCAACCCCATGCCTTATAAGGGTCCCGAAGTCCCCGAAGGACTCTCTTGTTTGACTTACGAGGGTGATGAGCAACGTGGAGGGCCGCCAGGACGTTTACATCGTTCCTACATCCGCTTCGAGAAGGGTGTGAGTACAACATTACTAAGGTTGGCGTACTCCCTTCCTAACGATCTGCAGGTGCCTCGTGAGATACGCCTCCTCCGTAATTTCGATGTCTGTGCAGACATACCTTCGATTACGAGCAAGATATAACAATCTAACGAGGCTCACAGCAGGATATTTAATGAGAATTGTATATTGTTTATGTAATGGCTACAAGAAAGGCGGAGGCGGGGTGTATGGCTACATGAGGGCGGAGCGCTAAGCAATGATGAAGAATACTGAAACCCGAAATCGCACGAGTGTGCGTGTCATGACATGATACCCAGGAAAGAGCAGAAACCATTAAACCGACTATATAAGTACGCGGAACCGAAGAGTGGAGAATGTTTAAATAGGGGAAAGAGTACTTGTCCAAAGCTCGCGTCCATGTTCAGTCGTGCCAGATCTGATAATCGTACTTCACCTGGCTGCCCCAAAAGTCGGGGGAGCAGGCCCCAACAGCGGCAGTGCCGGTAGCTCCGAAGAGGATAGCGGAAACGGTGCTGTCTCCTGCAGGCGTCCACGTCGCATAGTTGCCGGAGGTAGGGTTCGGGTTGCCGGTGTACATGAACGCCTTATAGCGCGCCTGGATCTCGGCGACGACGGAGGATTGTGCAGATGTCGGGCTTGATACAGTGCCGAAGACAATCTCGATATCATCCTGGGATGGGATCATGAGCGGAAGTTAGCATGAAGAAGAATCAGTGGCAAACCTGATGGCAGACAACGTCCGAGCCTTGACACTCCGCGATACCGTCGTTGGCCGGATAGTGTGCCCCAACTTGGAATTGACCCACGTATGCCTTGCCACCATTTGAAGCCCAGGAGCGAGCGAAGGTGTAGGCAGGGCAGCGCCAGATGCTGTCTGTGCCCATTTGAGTCAAGGGAATACGCGAGTCCTCCTGCTGACCATCGGCGAGTACAGGAACAGCGTAGAATGACGAATCAAGGACGTTGCTGGCCTTCGGGTCGCCATACGAAGCGTCGACCCACTGCTGGAAGAATTCAACAGACATGAAGCTCGACACAAGGCCGTAGATCGTAGGAGCTGCTTCGTCCTTCACATTGGTGACTAGTACCGGCTTGGAGACAGTCGGGAATCCGGTCTGGTCGTCGAGGGTGCTCGTGATTAGCTGACCATCGTGCACAGGGCGCATGGGCTGCGACGCAACCGCTGAGTCGTCGATGCTTGGCGCCTGATTGAACAGGTTATCCGACGCATCAAGAACATCGCTGAGAGGGATCGCCGAGAGACAAGTGGTGTCCGTCGAAGAGCAGTTGAGAAGCGAGTTGAAGTATGATTGTAACTCCTTCTGTACATCGGTGGTCAGGAAGCCGTAGTCCTGACGTGGGAGTCAGATAGAGGTTCACATGTGGAACACGATGGGACGAACCATAGGATCAGATTGGATGATAGCGGACTGGAAGAGCGACGATGCAGAGGGCACGGCAAGAAGTGCACGAATCATATTCCCGCCAGCGCTTTGCCCGGCCAGAGTGATCTTAGAAGCGGACCCGCCAAAACTGGGCAGGACTTTCTGCAAGAACTGCATGCAAGTAATCATGTCCTTGACCGCGAGGTTCGTCTGCCCGCTCGGGGCCATGAAACCCAACTGCGTTTTCTATGTCAATATATATCACGAACATAAGTTGATACAAAGAGGCTCACGGCACCGAGACGATACTGGACGACCACAACGATGGAGTCCGTCGCCGTAGCAAGAGCCATACCATCGAGGCCATCGGCAGTCGCAGAACCTTCGGTGAACGAGCCGCCATGTATCCACATGAAAGTCGGGACATTGCTGCCGGATGTGACGGTAGAGGGCACGTAGATAAGAGCGGAAAGGCAATCTTCGGAGAATGCACTCGAGTCGGCACCAACCTGCGCGCACATGAGCGGTTTCGCAGACGGATCGGTGTTGCCGTTCCTGTACGGGACGTGTGAGCGTCGCGCGAGGACATCGGAAAAAGAGAAGAGAGCACATACGGCAATTCCCAGGCTGTTGCGACGGTCGAAGGCGCCCATCGGGATGCAGAGCCTGATTTCGCCGTTGAGTACATCGTCATCATCACGAGCTATCATTCCTCGATGCTTACCGTACTTGACTGCGAACCGCACGCCAGACCCGTCCGCGACCCCGGTCGCGGTGCCTAAGGGTGTGCTCACTGTCTTACTGCCCCGCTTCGTGTTTGAAGTACAGAGCGCCTTGGGAACGAACGGGATGTGACATAAGAGCTGTCCGACGTTGATACTCGAGGCTCGAGAGGCGAGTTCGGTGGAGATGGGTGAAGCCAGAGACTGAGAAGCAAGCAGCACGGAGATGACCAAAGAGAAGGCGAACATGACAGCGATAATACCCGAGGAGAGGAGGATAAGACTCTAGGAGACGGTGCGGGCCAGTCTGAGAAAGCAGAAGACGGTTGACCCGAGATTATATATGCCTCGCGAGGGCTCGTGCCGGCGAACTCGCGAGAGCGGGAGATGAGCGGTGACAGGGAAGGTGGTGGTAAGGGACAGAGGCACGCCTATCGAGAACATTTAGGGAGCGCTTCATAGAATGCCTGCCGAATGCAGAACAAGCAAACACCTCGCCAGAAGAACATGAGGCCAGGCAAACCTTGACCGCGGGCGATGCCGCGATTCTGTTCGGACGATCAGAACATCGACCCATGCGCTTCGAGTTGTGGGTTCTACTTTCCTAGCCACATCCTTGGTGATGAAACTTGCCCATCTCGACGTTGCGGGTCTCCTTGATGTATAAAGTATGGATCGTATCGTAGAAATTGGGGTAATTCCTGGGTGTCGACATGAGGATCCGAAGCAACGAGGAGAAATTGCGGAAGGATCCGGGCCGCCACTTGTTCCCAGAAAGAGCCCCGCGCACTGTTCACTTGTTTGTTCGCTCCCACAAGTCACTCGTGTGCGGAGGGACCTCGTCAGGCCCGTATCAACACTTCTGAGCTTTCTGTGGTACCTTGAACGCGTAGCCGGCTGTGCTTCAGGTCAGGCACTAGTGTGGTTATAACCTATATGCGCCTAGTATACTATGCTGCCGGTCGCTAGATGGCCGAATTATATAAAGGACAGGCCCGGGTCCCGGGAAGTCTTTGACGGAGTATATCGCCTGGCCTTCGTAGCTTCATTTGCTCTGTCCTGCTCTCCATATGCAGAGCAGGGTCTATATGCAGTCATGTAAGAGAGTGTACTGGCGGCATCAGGATGCCCGCATCTCAGGTAAAGCACTAGATGGTCCTGGTAGATTCCCTGCTGCACGAAGTATGGGCTGGTCATCTCGGGTCCCTGTGCTCCACGTATCGCCATTATGAAGATCGCTTGATCCCGGCCCTTCGGTGATTATGCGTGGATGGCAGTAGCCGGGACACAATGACCATGTACGGATGGACGAGCGATCTTGAAGGCATACCATCCGCCCTTTACCCGTCAATGTATCAGAAAACCCGGACGCCGTGTAGCCGTCCTGTCAATTACCCTCCAGCAAGATACTAGAGTAGAATTTTTACTCGTGAAAGCTTGGGGTGCGTGCAGTGCGGCACCTTGATCTTCCCAAAGTTGCACCCACACATGGAGGCGACTCAGTGCACCGTGGATGGAAGAAGCCACGAGCGAAAAGTCGCAAGTAGATAGCAAGCAGGTTCACGCACCCTCAGACGCCACGAGCCCTCATAGAGACGCTAGAGTGATGGCTGAGCCTCGGATGCCACAAGTTGTTGTTCACTGTCAGCTTATTTCACCCACATACTACTGCGAGCTTGCGGCTATGTGACCATCGGCTCAACAAGTACGGGCAACTTTCACGGTTAATTGAGTGCTGTATGCACGGATTCCACAATAAGACCATGGTAGAGACAACGTTGACAATTCAGATATCATGGTGGAGGGAGCGAGAGTTGGAACCGTCGAGAGCCGTCGAGTCGCGTCAGTCGTCGTGAGCACGAAAGTCCGGAACGAGCCGTTCGCTTCATGACTTCGACGACATCATCGAGCACGACGTTGAAGATGTGAGTCCTCTCCTTCACAAAGCCACGATACTAATATCACTCATCCATGCTTCAGTTTGACCGTCGGCTCTGCGCTCGGTCAGATATCAGACTTATTTGCTAAGGTTCAGTCTATCAATGCGAAGCATGGCAAGTTCGACCTCGTTCTCTGTCTCGGCGACTTTTTCGGACCTGTCAAGGAGGGGGAGGGCGAATTGAATGCAGATGGGCTTGCCTTGCTTGAAGGAAAGCTGAAAGGTATGCCGTTCACAGAGTGGGTAAACACAGAGCTGACGCGCGCCACACAGCACCGCTGCCTTGCTATGTCATGGCTGGCGAGCACCCCATACCTCAGCCAGTCGTCGACAAGTTTGCCAAAACCGGAGGCGAGCTCTGCACGAACGTGTTCCTCCTTGGTGCGTCGGCCTTGCAACGTTTACCAGAATACGCTTATTGAAACGAAGCGCTTTACAGGCAAATCCGCGACATTCACAACCGCCGAAGGCTTGCGGATTGCCTGTCTGGGCGGGACTTATGACCCGAATATCTATCACGGGTCCGAACTTCCTCAGGTATGTGATATGTCCAACTGTATAGTGTCCCTCATTGACGCCCGCACATAGGGTTTTACTTCACCGTACTTCAATTCTCAGACGGTTTCGAAGTTACTCTCCAATGCAATGACGAGCTCTGCGCCCAAGGGGTCCTCTCTTGCCTCGATAATGGCAGCCGCATCCTCCTCTTCGCTCGTCGACATCCTGCTATCGCATGTCTGGCCCTCGGCGGTCACTGAGTTCTCTACTGCGCCTCTCCCTTCCCCATCCCTGTCAAATATCGGTGCACCGCCCGCAGATGAAGTGATATCGAAGCTCAAGCCCCGCTATATATTTGCAAGTGGCGGTGGACAACCACCGCACTTCTGGGAGCGCGAGCCCTTTGTGTGGGATGAGGAAGGCGGGCGAGTCTCGCGGTTTGTCGGACTTGGTGCCTTCGGTGGCGAGCCTCCGGCGGAAGGCAAGAAACAACGCTGGTTCTATGCGTTTTCCATAGCACCCGGCCTCCCTGCCGCGCCGCCTGCTCGACCGCCTAATGCGACACAAAACCCCTTCACCGACGCACCCGCGCGGAGAGCCAAGCGTCCCCATGACGCCGAGGAGGGCGCGGCAGACTACCGCTGGGGAACGACTGCACAAACCGGTGTAGGAGGCAACAAGAAGCGCTCTCGAACGGGTATGTTTTGTCTACCCTTGTATATGCGCCTTTCCCGGCTTCGAGCCCTTCTAACGGCGCATGTGCACGTTCCCAGGTCCTGGACCTGGCGGTGAACAAGGAAAGCCTCCCGAAGGATATCGTTGCAAACGATGCGACTCAACGGAGGTACGTGGTGGTCCCACTTCATCGTCATCATGTGCTGTACTGACAATGACATAGCACTTCATCAATGACTGCCCTGAACGGCAAAAGCCACCTGAAGGATACGTATGTCGAATTTGCAACGTCGTAAGTGCCCCCTTGTTCCTACGTCAAGTCATGTTCACCGATACTAAGAGAATACTCCATATAGCCAGGCCATCTTGTTCGCGACTGCCCAACGCGGCATGCTGTCGGTGACACCGGCGGTCGCAAGCCGCCGCCGGGTTACAACTGTCGAGCATGTGCAAGTGAGGATCACTACTTGGATGATTGTCCCCAAGTAAGAGCGGGTCCCGGTGGTGGCGGCGGTAGACGAGGGGATCACGGGCAGGGGGGCCGACGACGGGGTCCACCCCGCGAGATCGGACCAGACGAGTGTTGGTTCTGCCTGTCCAACCCGGCGCTCGAGAAGCATCTCATCGTTGGCATCGGCTCGGAGTGTTATCTCACATTACCCAAGGGGCAGTTGCTTCCGACTAAGGATGTACAAGGGGGCGTTCCCGGGGGTGGGCATGTGCTCATTGTACCCATCGCGCATTTCCCGACGTATGGGAGTATACCGGGCGAATTGCGCGGACCGGTCGTCGAGGAGACAGAGAAGTGCGTCTTTGTTTCTTGACTGGGTACAAGGAATCTACCGTGCTGATAAACACCTCCCCCTGTAGGTTCAAGACCGCTCTGCGTGCAATGTACGGCAAGCATGGGGCGGTTGGCGTGTTCTTCGAGGTCGGACGACTCTCTGCGAAGGGTGGGCATGCACATATCCAGGCCGTTCCGGTGCCGCGTGCGTTGGCAGATGGCATCGAGCAAGCGTTCCGCGAAGCCGGCGAGATCGGTGGTATCGGCTTCGATGAAGAGGAGGCCGGTGCGCCTGTCCCCGGCGCCGAAGCGGGTAGCTACTTCCGCGTCGAACTACCCGATGGACGAAGGCTGGTGCACTGGATGCGGGAAGGCGTACCATTCAGTGTACAGTTTGGCAGGTCAGTCGCCAGCTCTTTCCTGTAGTCACGACTGCTTCGCTGACTACTCCCCTAGGCAAGTCCTCGCGAGCCATATGAAGATGGATGGGAGAGCCGATTGGAAGGAATGCGCACAGTCGACCGAGGATGACACCGCTGATGCGCAGGCTTTCAAGGCGGCATTTGGTCCGTTCGACCCGACGACTTAGAGCCAAGTGTACCATACTGCTACATATACTTGACGGACATGAATGTCTACGCCGTCGGGAGCAGTCACGTAGTGCCGCGTGTTAATTCCACGTTCAGATCTCAAATTCACAAAAGAGCACATATATTCTGTCATTCCCGTAGAGCCGCACAGGGCAGCGTCACCAATAACTGCAGATGCAGATTCGCTTCACCAAGTACATCTTTCATGTCGACAGCCCCGTTCCAGAGGACATTGCAACCGCCAGCTTATGACCTCGAGAGGCGCTCAGTACAACTTCGCGTGTATGATTCGTATGCACCACTCACTCAAAGATGTTCCAAACACACCGGCGTGTTGACCACGGATCTTGAGGTACAGGCAACTCAAAACGATATCGTCGAAGTCTGCCATCATATCGTCGCTGACCTCTAAGCAAGCCCTTTCTCGTTTCTCCTTGTTGAAAAGCGATGAAGACCGTTCATACAGATACGCCACTTGTTGACCGCTTTCGTCGTGAAGCTATATATGATTAGAATCAGTATCAGCCCACGCGAGCCAGGCAAAGGATGGCGGCCCACAATAGCGTCACCATCCTTCTGCATGGACCAGGCGTACTTCTTCCCAGATTGACTCGTGTACGCGCTTCTGTTCAACACATCTCAATACACCGATCATGCAGCAATGGCAGTGCAGCTCACTCCTTGTTTTCGTCATGCATCCAGTCCTTCACGTGGATTTGCTCGCCCTCTCGTCGCTCCATCGTGTCCGCCGTCACGGTGTGCAAATGAAAGCGCCCGACCAAAGGACCTGGAGCATGATCGGGCGCAGGCTCCTGTAAGGGCCTCCTGACGGTCTTCATCTTCCCATCTATGTTCGTGCGGATGGTATACTGCACGTCGCCTGTAGCTTCATCGACAAGATCAGTGTGGCCGATGTCTTTGGCAGTGAGGTTGAGGCGCATGATAGAGCGGGGCTCGGGCGTTAACATAGCCCGCGATATGCTTGCCATCCAGCTGTTTATATGCCCCTCGAAGATAGCCGCCTACAGAAGAACAGGTCTTGAGGTCAGTCAGATGAGATGTAACTTGCTCCATACCAATTCAACGGCACAGCCTTGCGAGAAGATAGGCGATGCCATTGTCTATAGGACGTGGCGCAAGGTGTGATACCTGTTCCGCCAAGACAGGACATCCCGATTCGCCATTCAGAAACGGGCGAGCGAGCTGGAGAGGGACGTGGCACGACGAGCGACGGCATAGCACGCTGGACAATGGTCCTGTATGAAAGGGAGGGGAGAAAGCAGTTTGGCACGTCCCAAGGAAAGCATTCGTTGAATGTACGACTGTCGTTAAGCATCCTTCGCTTGACCCCTTCGCTTGACCATGCACAGCAGCGAAATCCACAGACCACAATGACCTCTTCATGACCAGGAGTCGAGATGTTGACTTGCCATATCCGGACACAGGATCACGCTTATCGCCGCCAGCGTCGGTGGCGAGCCAGAAAACTTCAGCCTCGTCCACCACCTCGCGCAATCCAGACCTCATATCTCTATGCCACTGACCGGCGAGCTCGCTTCGGGTGCCCTCGGACCTTCAGAGAACCAGCTGCGAGTCTCGTAACCAGGCCGCACACGACCACCGTGTTCACCATGCCGTTGCCTTCTTCGAACATAGCCCGTGCTCGTATCATTCAGGGAAGTCCCCTTGAAGCTCAACGTTCAATGCGCAGCGGTATGGTGGCATGTGCTCGCGAACGCTCGCGCATTTCATGATGACCGGTGAAGGAAAAGAAACGTATGTGATCAACGCGCGCGTCGTTCGCGCCACGGACTCGTGGATCCCTGCCCTCCGCCTGACGATAGCGGCATGCCAAAAACGGCAGAGTGGTCATCGAGTGCCGGCACAGTCAGAATTATTTGCTCTGGGGGAAGGTGCGCGAAGGCGCATGAACGATGTCTGACTAGGGCTGCGGATTTTTGTACGCTGACTGAGGCACTGGTTGGGGCCCCTGCAAGAGATGCGGCTCAGTTTGGACGGGTTCGGAGTCGGAGGCAACGGGCCCGGGCGGAATTGCTTAAGTAACCCGATTGGCCGCAAGGCACGAGGGCCACTAAATAACTAGGCCGCGCGTCGCAAGCTCTCCCTATCTCTTCACCACCACTACCACTACCCGACCAGCCACCCCCGCGCTCTCGCTCGCCCTCACCTTTTGTAAGTTCAAAGCCGCGTTATGCGACGAACAAGTCGCTGACCATTGTTCGCAGATTACCCACCCCGCACACGACCCATTCACCCATTGCCATGGCCCCCAAGAAGCGCTGCCAGTTCACCGACGAGGCCCAGTGCAACCAGGCCGCCCTGCGCATCGTAGGCCAGTGTGCTCACTGTCGCAACAACTACTGCGGCACGGTACGTCCCCTTGAACCCTTTGTCCGTCCCGTGCGATTACTGACTCGGCGGTAGCATCGGATGCCCGAGCACCACGCCTGCACGAACCTCGCGGACTGCAAGCAACAGGCGTTTGAGCGCAACAAGGCCAAGCTCGAGGGCGAGCGGACCATCAACTCGAAGATGGTTAGCGCATAGTGCGCTCCGTCCACAGGCGCGGGGGCCGCGTAAGCGCCGCCCCTACCTCTTTCCCGCCCCCTTCTGCAGGCCCCACCCATCACCGCCAGCCTGCTCTCGCACATACCCTCTACCCTGAGCTACCACAGGCGCCCAGCGCGCCTGCTCCACGACCCCCGCAGACTCGGCTCTCTGCACGGACATCCGGGATTTCTCTCGTCTTGAAGTTCTCTTTTGCTATCATACGATATAGCTTTGCACACGACTATCTCCATCCACCTCTCCCGCCTAATATTGGTTTCCCTCACCACACCACTTCCCAGTCCCACCCATCTCGGCCCACGCTCGCATTTAGAGACTCGTCTCGTTTACGCCCACACTTCCCATCCCCACCCCCCGCTTTGCCTTTGTCCCGTCGTGAATCCGTCTTCTCTGCTGTACTCTGTAGTCCAGGCCACCAGGGCCTCCGCGATCCATCCGTTGTGAATCCAGTTTTGCTTGCATTCAAGTCAAACGTCGCTTGGAGCCTGGGGACGCGCGTCGATGACGCACGCCGCTTTTATGGAAAGTCCGTAAAGCCGTGGCATTGTCCGATGTCGAGATGCCACGGAGCGCCCGAGTTGCGACGTGGGCATGAGGTTACATGAGGTGACCAAGGCGTCTTGATCTTCCCCGCACAGCAACACGGCCGCCTCTGTATCTGACAGATCGCACTGCGGCTCTTGTGCTCGCCGCTCGCGCTCAATTACAGTTGCAGGATCGGGCGGATGCGGCGAGCCGCGTGCGGGCCAACGCTGCTCCAGCTTCGCCGACTGGCCCGTCTGGCACTTGCGCTGAATGAAAGCCGCTCGATCTGATAGTCGTTGGGCTTGGAGGTGGTCTTGTGTTCTTCTATCGCCTCTGGGCGCCGTATCCGTGAGGAAGTCGGCGGCGATGAGGGCGGGGCCGCAGCGTTCTGGCCCGGCCCGGGTCGTGTCGTACATATATCCGACGAATCCGTTTGGCCCACAGAAAGGTCTCGTCCAAGGCGCAACCCCGCAATCGCGATCGGAGTCAGCTAGACTACCCCACCTAGTTCTCTTCTCTTCTCTTCTCCTCCTCTCATCCATCTCGGTCTACGCATCGTACGTCGTTCCGGGCTGTGGATCGTTGCGGGTGATACTGAAAGTGATATCACGTGTAGGGCTGCTCTACGACGCAGTTGATTTAAGGACCTGAACCGCAAACGGTGCGCGACATTTCCCGATCCGCAGAGCGCATTTGCGCGACTATACCCTGCTTTGCTTGCTTCGCATAATAGACATAGAACGCTGACGATGGCTGGACGTATCGCGCAGATCGCGAAACACCTCGCACCGAACAACATGTCTGAGATCCACGCCGGTACGCGCATTCCCCGGTCGCATCGTGTAGAATACCGGCGGCTTATGCGTGTCGTTTTGCTACAGAGACTTGGGACGCAGTTCCGCTTGCTCCGCCGGACAGGTATGCCCATTCCGCTCGGTGTGTACTCGAAGCGCCCGGGGCTGATCGCGCGGCTTTGCAGTATCTTCCAGCTTACGGCCGCATACAAGGCCGACACTTTCCCTCAGAAGATCAACCTCGGTGTTGGCGCATACCGCGACGACGACGGCAAGCCATGGGTTCTTCCCGTAGTCAAGAAGGTGCATATCCCCGCTCCACGAGTTTCTAACTACTCGATCTAACCATGTATAGGCTACGGAGCGCCTGTTCGCAGACCCGAACCTCGACCACGAGTATCTTCCGATCACAGGTCTTCCCGAGTTCACCTCCGCCGCAGCTGCACTCGTACTCGGCAAAGACTCCCCGGCTTTGGCTGAAGGTCGCGTCGTCAGCGTACAGACCATCTCCGGAACCGGTGCAAACCATCTCGGCGCCCTCTTCCTCTCGCGGTACTACGCCTTCAACGGCGAGCGTCAGGTCTTCCTCTCCGACCCGACATGGATCAACCACTTTGCGATCTTTCGCAATGTCGGGATCGACCCCAAGACGTACCCGTACTACGACCCCAAGACGATCGGTCTCGACTTTGACGGGTTCGTCCAGGCGCTGAAGGACGCGCCGGAGCGGAGCGTGTTTTTGCTGCACGCGTGCGCGCACAATCCGACCGGGGTGGACCCCACGCCGGAGCAGTGGAACGCGCTGTGCGATGTTGTCCTTTCCAAGGGACACTACGCGTTCTTCGATAGCGCATACCAGGGCTTCGCGAGCGGCGATCTCGACCGGGACGCGTGGGCCGTGCGCCGGTTCGTGGAGCGGGGTGTACCGCTGTTGGTGTGCCAGAGCTTCGCGAAGAATGCGGGGCTGTACGGCGAGCGCGTCGGCGCGCTTCATCTCGTCGCGCCGACGAAGGAAAAGGCGGACCGCGTGAAGAGCCAGATGAGCGTGCTGCAGCGGAGCGAGATTTCGAATCCGCCGGGGTACGGCGCCCGCGTCGTGTCGCTCATCCTGAACAACGACGACCTGTTTGCGGAGTGGAAGAGGGATATTGTGACTATGGCCGGGCGGATTATCGAGATGCGGAAGGAGCTGTTCAGGCTGCTGACCGAGGAGCTCAAGACGCCGGGCAGCTGGAAGCATATTGTGGAGCAGATCGGCATGTTCAGGTATGGCCGTTCGCAAATTTCGCGTAGCTGGAGCTGACCGGTGGTTTGTGTTTGCAGTTTCACGGGGTTGAACGGGGAGCAGAGCAAGGCGCTGGTCGAAAAGGCGCATGTGTACATGACGGCGAACGGGCGGATCTCGATGGCGGGGCTGACGACGAAGAACATACGGTACTTTGCAGAGAGCCTGGACAAGGTCGTGCGCGGGCAGCTGTAGAAAGTTGAATGTTGTATTATGTATTTAGAGTGAATGGCCGGAAGACGGAATGATGGGATCTGGAATCGAAGGGCGGACGAGCGGCTGGGCCGAGAACGCAGAGTGACGTCAGGGCGAGTGGCCGGACACTCGAGTTTACGCATTTCTCTTTGAGTCGCTCATAGCACGCGTGTTAGCTGGGTGCTGGATTGGGAGATGTGCCTTTCCTTCTGACTTTGACTAGCGACTATACATGCACAGAGGATGGGCCAGCTGCTGAGCGCTCTCTGGCAGTACATCCCCTACGCCTTCTTCCCCCGCGCCCGCGACATGCTCCCGGGGCCCTCCCGCAACACCCAGCCGTCGCCGCCGCCCATCTCCTCCCCACACCCGACGCGCAGGGCGTCCTACACTTTATTATCCACCCCGTCCCCGCTCGAGCAGCAGGACCCCTTCGACGCCCTGCCCAGCCCACCACCCGAGTCGTCGCTCAGAGCTGTGGAGCGGAGAGAAGAAGAAGAGCGGCCACTGGACATGGACATTCCGCTCGTCGAGCAGGCCATATTGTCGCTGCCCGAGCTGCCGGAGCCGATGCCGAGCATACCGCCTCCGCCGCCGAGCGACGCGGTGGCCGAGACGGTCGCCGAGGGCTACGACGGTGCGGCCTTTGACGCCGAGAACCTGTCGCCGCTGGAGAGGATATATCTGTTCAGCCAGTCCAACGCGCAGTTCCACAGAGCGTACATCGCCCGGGCGTTGCCGAGCATCCTGCCGAGCGTGGACGCGCTGGACGCGGCGGAGTATGTGCTGCCGCTGCTGAGCGGGCTGGCGATGGACGAGGACGAGGGCGTGAAGGAGGCGTTTGCGCTCGCACTCGGTGACGTCGTCTGGTGGTTCGCCAGCCACTGCAGGATCGTCGCGGACGACGACGAGGACGCAGGGGACGAGCCCAGATTCCTCGTCGGCACGTTCACGCCGATCATTGGCACTTTGCTCTTGTCCGCCGCTCCCGTGGGCGCGGCGACGCGTGCGGCCGTCGTCGATGTGCTCAAGAAGCTGAAGGAGAATGCGCACGTGATGGAGGGCAGGGAGAGGGAGAGCGCGATGCTCGTCGACGAGTTGATGCAGCAGGTCGTCGTCGGCATCGGCCGGCTGGACGTCGCCGACGCCGAAGAGGACGGGCAGCAGGGCACGGAGGAGGAAATTGCAGAGCAGGCAGAGACGGCCGCCGTCGGCCGCAGGAGCAGTATGACGCTCATGGCCGCCGTCGCGGCCGCAGACCTGGTTCCGCAACCGCTTTTGGCAGACTTTGTCGACGAGGTCTCGCGCGTCGGCAGGGATACCATCTTTTGGATCCGCAAAGAGGCCGCCTTTGCGCTCGGTGCACTCGCAAAGATCGTACCTCAGACATCGATCACTGGCGAATTCCTCCCGCTCTTCGATTCTCTGGTGCAAGACGAGGCCTGGCAGGTCCGACATGCCGCGCTTTTTGCACTCTCTGCTTTGCTTGCTCGTCTCGATGCACCGACACGGAAAGCGCTCACTCTTCGAACTGTTCCTGCTCTCGTGCAAGACCCGTCTGCACCAGTCCGGGTGCGCACATTCGAATGCCTCGGCGAAGTCATGTACACATTCCGCGACGATCCGGGCGGACCACCGCCTGAAATTCTCGCCCTTTTCCTCAATACCGAAGATGAGGAGGATTCCGACGACGACAAGCCGCTCAGCGTGCCTATCGCAAATCGCCTTCTCGCCAGCGCCACAAAGAATCTACTGCCTACCCCCAGTCCTACTCCGCCGAACAACGACGGTCCCCGTGCTCTGATCTGCGCATTCAATCTCCCCGCCGTGGCTCTCACCCTGGGACCCGCACGGTGGCCCGAACTCCGCCCACTACACACTCGGCTGTCAACCGCCCGCGCACTACCCGTACGCCGCTCCCTAGCGGCCGGTGCAGGCGCACTCGCAGGCGTCCTCGGACCACAAATCGCACGAGAAGATGTCCTTCCCATGTGGATCGCCAGTTTACGTGCAGACGAACAGGGTGTGCGCTCCAAAGCCATCGAAGCCGCCCCGGCGCTAGCATCCGTCCTCGGCCGCGGTGATGTGGTCCGCGCGCTCGAGAGCGCATGGGACGCACGCGCGTTGGGGTGGCGCGAGCGCGAGGCCGCACTGTTGGGCGTCAAAGCTATGCTTGATGCCGAGAAGGGTCGGGATGATCATTCGTGTGGTGAGCGGGCCGAGGACGACGAGGACCTCCGTCGGCTTGCCCGTGCCGCGCTCGTGGACGACACCGCCGCTGTGAGGACAGCGGGCGTCGGGATGCTTCCGTCCGCCGTGCGAGCTCTGGGGACGGGTCCCGCTGGACGGGCGCTCCGGGAGGATGTCGCGGCGCTTGCGTCGAGCGGTGTCTTTCGGCAGCGGATGACGTGCGTGTTTTTTCCCTTTGCTTCATCTCCGTTCATCTTTCTTCCCCGCGTTTCATTGTTCGCTTCATCGACTGTTCATCTCGCGCTCATCCACACCATCCCTTTCTCATCCGCTTTTCATTCGGTTATGTGTGGGGAACGTGGTAGCTGACGCTTGACTCGCAGGTTCGTCGCGTGTTTCAAGGAGCTTGCGTCGGTGGACGGGACGGTCGATGCGAGGTTGTGGGATGCGATCGAGCCTCTTGCTGTGGACGCGATCGTCGACGTAAGGATCGGTGTCGCCCGTGTGGCCGGCATGTTGTGCGGTGCGTCTTTTTTCCGCCACCTGAATGGTTATTGTTGGTAAACTAATTTAATCCCACAGACACAGAACCTCGCGCGGCGGCGCTCGCGACACATCTACGCTCCGACAGCGAATCGGGCGTGCGCGCGTTTGTGCCCGTTGATATTCCCACTTCAATAGCACCGAGACCGCACGAGAGGACAGCGCTGGATGAATATCCCTTCGCGACGTTCTCTTTGCCACCACCGCCTGCGCCTCCACCACCCGAACCCGAGGAACCGCTACCAGATCCTGAGCCTGAGCCCGAACCTACACTAGAACCGACTTTGCTGCCTCAACCCGCACTAGAACCACCAATACAGCTCCCACAACCGCAGCCTTTGAGAGCACGCACACCCTCGTTCTCGATCGCTATTCCCGCCAGGACAGACTCGCCGTTCAGACCGCAGGCCGATGGTATACTCAGGCAACGCTCGGACTCACCGACTGGGCGCAGGGCAGGTTCGCCGTTACGAAGAGCGGATTCGCCGTTGCGGAGGGCAGACTCGCCATTACGAAGGCCGGACTCGCCACATCGGAGACCAGAGTCGCCGCGGGTTGCACACGCAGACTCGCCTCTCAAGCCACTGTCGGAGTCGCCTTTGCTACAACGAACAATGAGCTCCGATTCCCCCCGCCGCTCATTGTCGCGTTCGCCGCACTCTGGCACGAGGAGGTTAATGGCGTTGACTTCCGCTCGAGGAGAGTCTCCTGGTGTACTCGGACAGCTCTCCCCGCCGCCGTTGCTGTCTCCACCAATCTTGAGAGGTCCGCCGAGTCCTGGGTCGAATATCCCTGCACCGTGGAGTCCTGCCGCTGAGGGTGCGCCTGGTATAGGCTGGCCTGAGGCTGCTGGGTGGCCGATTGCGAGTGGCGCAACGTGGCCGAATTTGACGCCGCCGATCACTGTGACGGATAAGTCGTCGTATGGGTTCGAGGATGCGGTAGCGTTGCGGCCAGCTGAACCTGCTTCGACGATGTCGCTGCCGCAAAGTACAGCGCCACATGTGGATGAGCCGCCATCGCCGGCGTCTTTGCCGAGTGAAAACACTGTAGCGCCGCCATCATCGTCACAACCTGCACCAGCCGCACCGTTGCCTTCGGGATCTGGTTCCCAGCTACCGGCTCCTCCAAGTGAGGTACTTGCCCGCGAAACCGCGCCGACGCCGCCCGCACGCCCGTCATTAGTATCGCAAGCTACTGCGCGTCCGGCAGATCCTAGCACCGTTCTTGCACGAGAGGCTGCCCCTACACCTTTACCGACTTTGGCGTCACCTGCGGCAGCGAGCGGATCGCGGTCGGCATCATCACTCGAGGTCAATGCACCGTCCTCACCTCGCGTTCCGCTCACCAAGACGCCCGAACGACCCGCACCGACACCAGTGCCGACGGTCAGCTCAAGCTCGCATGGTTCGACGCCGAGCACAACGAGTACCAGCACAGCGAGTTCATCCGCGGTGTCGATCAGTACTGCTGCGAGTAGTGTTAGCTCCTTTGCCAGCGATCCTTTGCTCCCCATCAAGGAGGGCGGCCTCGAGATCCCGCGTATTGGAGACAGAGGGGAGTCGGACGTGACGTTAGTCCCGGAGGTGGGGAGCACAGACGCTCTGGCGACTACGCCGGTGAGGAAGGCGGTTGATGCTCCCATAAGCGCGCCTTCCTCGCCCCACGCTTCAACTTCTGCACCGGCTGCCGCTACACCGCCTCTGCCCATCGCTTCTGGCTCGTCATCTTCTAAGCTGCCTGGACTCGCAGCTCTCATCTCGCCGATATCGAAGATATCAGGCGGCCATCCTCTTGCGGCTTTACCAGCAGCTGTGCCAAGTCCTGGCCCCGTAACACCGCTCAAGGACGTTTCTTCTCCCGCACAACCCGCTCCCGCGTCCACCCTTGAGGCAGAACCCTTGGCGCAACGGCCATCTGTCGGCGCTTCGAAGGAACCCTGGCAGAAGTTGGCTGGCGGTTCGCAAGCGGAAGCGACCGTGCCCGTGACGCCCGTGACGCCAACACAGGAGCGCGGTCCCATCTTCGAGCATGCTCTCGAGTCTCCTTCATCTGGCAGGCGGCTGGGCTCATAGCCCGTACACCCCATGCATACATTCCTCTGTTCATGTCTTGTCTCCATCCTCTCGCATTATTCAGTATATCATCAATATCGTACGCTTTCCTCTTTTTGTACTACTTACATGTTCGCCGTCCGTCCTGCCACAGCATCTCTCCCTCTCATGTCCTTCTGTCCTTGCGCTTGCTTCTCGTACATATCCCCGGCCCAGCCCCGCTCATCGAATCTCTGATTACCCCCATATATTTGTGTGCATACGGTATCATACTCAACCCTGCACGCCTTACTGCACGCCCTTTACTCTACGCTGTGTATCACAACATTCAACAAGACTTCTCTCGTACACTCTCAGCCTCACACTGTTGCTCTGCTTGTCGTACCGCAGGCAGCTTCGTCGTAAGCATGCCGGTAAAACTCAGGTAAGGATCTCAGACGCAGAAACTGCGATTCGGTCACGCTCGCACGGCTTACACCGCCCACCGATGGGCGTCTGCCGCGAAATCGTGATCATCCCGGGCTCAGGGACCGCCTTCTCCTTCCGGCCATGGGCATCTGTACGTGCCCCAACTGACCGAAGAGTACAAGCGTGAGTGTGCGAGCGCTCGAGCGGGTGCATGTCATATATACGCGGCTCCGCGGAAGGCGCGCAAAGGCTCCCTTCCCTTTCCGCTCCCCGGACTTGGACTCGGGCTTGGCTACGGCCAACGTTGATACGGTTGTGATACCGGGCGATACCTTCGACTCATCGCGCGTCTGGAGCTGCAGGTCGGCGCCAAGGGATACCTGTTCTTAGGGCTTCAGCATGCACCAGACGTTCATCGCTTATCATCACTTTGCGCTTTTCGGTGCGTCTATTTCTTAGCCTGGGCATCATCCCTACATCTCATCTACGAATGACGATGCTGATTCTGGGTTGTTGTCTAGCCATCCTCGTCGTGTCCGCTGCTATCATCGCTAGCGCGGCGGCATGGAATCTTTCCTTCGCACTTGAGGCGCCGCAAAGTGAGTGTGCGACTGATGTGGATGGATCGGTGCGGGCTGAGATAAACGTGCGCTGTGGCAGGATCTGTTGACGCGTATATGATCTTCCTCGGTGGATTGACACTGCTCGTCGTGCTTCCGCTGTGCGTACACCCTCTTTCGTCCATCTGTTCAGTCGGCTGAGCCTCGGATCTGCTGTGCGAAATAGGATCTCGCTCGATGTCTTTCTCGACCGCGCGATAACGACCCGCGTGTGGATCGAGTGTCTATGGGTCGGCGCACTGTGCATCTTCCATCTACGTATGTATACTGCTGTTTGAGATGGTGTTGTGGCACTGAAGAACGTGTTGATAGCGGGCTCTATCGCATCTACGGCCTTACTCTCACCTTCGTGCGACCGCTTCGGCATCGTATACATGAATCCCGCCTCCGCATGTAGCTCTTACAAGCTTCTTCAAGCTTTCTCATGGATCACTACTGGTAACTGTGAGTGCGATAACCAGCTATCCCATGTACATTGCATGCTGATGAGTCCATTGTCCCCAGTGCTGCTATATCTATCTGTATTACTATGTTTCGCGATTCTCCATGCTCGGAAGGACAGCAGCGTCTGGCACGCCCACGTCCGCGCCTTCGACTGGTGCACGCTCTCCAGCCCACCAGCGAGCCCCGCCGCGCGCTTCAACACCGACATCCTCGTCGCACCCCGACCGCGCGTGCCCCCGCTCACGATCCCAACGGCAGGATCGGCCTTCGGGCCCGGCTACACCGTCGAACACCTCTCCGATACCCAGTCCGGCACGCTTCCTTCCGAATATGTATCCTCAACGCGCTACGTGCCGCAACAGCAGCAACAGACGTTATACCCGGCTCATGTACAGCCATACCTGCCCTCCGCGACCGCATCGCCGTCCTCGCCGCCGACCCCGCTCATGTTCTACAAGCGGAAACGCCCGCCACCGCTTGATATCCCCGAACCCCCCGCAATCCCGATGTCGCCGCCCGCCGCGCCTGCACCGCCAATGCGGCAACATGTGCAATCAGGGCCGTCTGCGGCACCCGCGCATCGCACTGCTGGGCCGCGACCGTTGCCTTCCCGCATCGTTTCCGACCCTGTCGTCAGCCCGAACGCGGGCGCCGTACCACAGAGTGCAGGGCTTTCTGCAACGCGAAATCCACCAGGGTCGGGCAGACCTGCGCGACCTAGCGGGCCACGAACTCTTACGCGCACGAGCGTGGATAGCGTACGTAGACCGTCGGCTGAACTTGGAGATGGGCGACCGAGGCTTTCAATTGACACTGGAGCGCGAGCGAGTAGGGAAGGGGTACAACGTCCGGTTGTGCGACGGTAGCTTGCAGTTCAGCGTACACTATGCTTTTTAGCTGTAAAAAGGATGACGCTCATACTGTCCCAAACGCGCTTGGACTGGTGACATATTTAAACCCGATTGGCCGAGCAATTCGAGAGGTCGTAGTGTTTCTTACTGGGTGGTGCAGACGCATAAAGGACATTGTGTCGTTTCAGTCTGGTATGTATCATAGGTCGTATGCCTTACAGTACGGTTTGCCAGGCTGTATGCACTCTTGTATGCCGTAGCCTTCAGACGGCTCGTGCACACGTGCGACCACGGAAAACGTTGCACAGCCAATTGGGACCGGATGGCCTGATTCGGGCGAGACTTGTTACGTGACGTCACAGGTTCGGCGGCGGTGGTGATATGCCCCTCAGCGAGGCGCCCATGAAGGGAGATGAAAAGCATGAACAAGAGCAGATTGTCAATAACACGGCCGAAGTCCGTAGGGTATCATCCGGCAACTAATAGTACGCAGCGGCGTGAACCAATAGGACTAGAAGTACAAGTACATCGTGAAAGGGGAGCAACAGGAGTGTTCATGAACAGTCGTGATGCGCCGGCGAACACCCGGCGCCTAATACTTGAGAATAATGTAGAGCGCTGTACGTGTGTCAGCACGCCAAGAACACGACACGGACGCAAGGCAGACGCACCGTGGATGATACCGGGGATGTAACCGAGGACAGTCAACAAGATGTTGATGAGCTACGGGCGACGGTCAGCAACGCCGCGCAGAGGGGAACCGGGCAAGACTCACGAAGTCAGCATTGCAGCCGCGCTCGAGGAAGACGCCGAGCGGCGGGAGGATGATGGCAAAGCTAGGAGAAAGAAAGGGTCAACGAAGAGCTGGGATGAAGTACAGCTCGAGTTGAACATACATGATCTGTGCAGAAAGGTTAGCCATGGAGAAGCCGTGAATGCAATGCAACTCAACGCACCTTGCAGATGTCAGAAGCGGTAGCCGGCATGATGGTGGTGGTAGTACTGGAGGTACGGTGTGAGGAACGCGGAAGAGCCCGTCACCTTACTTATACGGGTGCGTCATATTCTCAGGCTCCGAGCCCGCCCCCAAGGTCCCGAGCGCTGCACACAGATGGCGGCCCTTTACCGACGCCCACCGCCTCAGACAAGGCAGTGAACGCAAGCTCCGTCTTCAGTGACCAGTACGAGGAGCAGAGAACTGCGGGTGAATCGTCATAGGCACTTGTTGGGCACTGGAATCGCACAGGAGCCACATTTTGTCGACTGCGAGAACCTGAACGCACACCAGTACCCTAAATATTGCCCACTGGATCTCCCCGGCGCCCGATACGAGGTACATCAGAGTTGGCCGTGACGCTAAAGTGGTGTTCTTACCTGGCAACCGCTTCGGTCGAACAAACATACTCCACAGTGTTGTGGCCCCGCCGTCATACTGGGTCGGGCGTGAGCTCGATCAATCGCGTGGCAACTAAACCGGCGGCCTGCGCGCTTAAGAGCCCGAAGAATATCTTTTTTCTTGAACTTCATTGCGTCCCGTATCGTTTTGGGACCGAGTGACTACCTTTTATCGGTCTCCCTGCTCTATTAGACACCGCTCTTTCGCTGTTTGAAGGTGCGATTGATTATGTGGTCTTGTTGGTACATGCTGAGCACCTCGTACTTCAGATGGGCGTTCAAGCTTACCTGGATATTTCGTATCTTCCATCCTCCGAGGCCCCAAACCCTCTCCAAGCCTACAACGTCTTCGTTCCCCAGAACGATCCTGCATCATCGACTCTACCGCCTCTTATCTGCTTCGTACACGGCGGTGCATGGCGGTCGTAAGCCCCTCTTTTCACAGCGATCGTAATATATGGCTAAGCGATAATCAGCGAGGACAAAGCAGAGCATGGAGAGCTCGCCCGTAGCCTGGTAAAGGCCACCGGGTTTGCCGTTGCCGTCCCCAACTATCGTCTCACGACAGCCGACACGCCACTTGAGCATCCGGCCCACTGCGAGGACATCGTCCAATTCCTCCATCACATCCGTAGTTGGGCGCCGCCGAATACTTCGCCGGTATATGACTCCGGCAAATTATTCTTGATGGGGCATAGTTGTAGCGCGCATATGCTCGCTTCGATCCTCTTCGACTCACCATACCCGTCTCTGCTTCTGCCCGCCGACATCATACAATCAGTACAAGGCGTCGTCTTCTCCGAAGGCATTTACGACATCGACTTACTCCTCACCTCGTTCCCGAACTACCGAAGCTGGTTCATCGCCGCTGCTTTTGGCTCGCGCTCCTCATATCGCGATGTCTCCGTGAACAAATACACGTATCCTGAAGCGCTAGCGCACGTCCGCTGGCTCATTGTGCACTCGACTGGAGACACCCTCGTCGACACTTTACAGAGCTCGACCATGCTCGAGCGGCTGCAAAGCCTCGAACCACCCGCGGATGTGACGAGTAGTTTGGACGACCTAGACGCGGAGCATAACGACGTGCTGAAGGAGCACTTGTTCATTAGCAAGGTCGCGCAGTTCATGAAACGATGATTGTATACCATATTTCTCTTTGACGTCTCTGTTGCTGCTCAGAATATCGGAAATTCATGCGGACATTTCCATTTGGATGCGCATATAGTGGACTCGACTTACTGTATTATCTCTGTCTCTTCACACCCAACACATCTCTACGACACATACTCGCTCACCGACCGCCGTGTATATTGTCTCTCGATACATACAAAGCATACATGAGACTCCTTGTGCTCCGATAACCTATCTCCCCTCAAAGAGCGTGCAACACGACCGGAAGGGACCGCACATGGACCGAATCGCCGCCAGCATCCGAGATGCCTGCGCCTCCCGCCATCAAATCGATCAACTCTCCGATTTGCCGCGCCTGGTTCTTCTCTGGCTCAGGGTCAGCCTTCGGTTGCTGGGACGGCACGTCCGCCGACAATAGCCGAGAATGCAGTTCAGCAGGAAACTCGTGTACGAATGCTCCTAAACCCGGTGAACCACCTCGAATGTACGACAGCGAAGGTGGCGAGCCTGTGAACAGTTGCGCACTGTGAATCTGTGTTGCACGGCGCTCGCGTTTTCGAGCGCGTATCTTATTGTCGTCGACTTGAGAGGACGGACTCTGGTCGAAGACATCGCAGCGGACAGGGATGGAATGCTGGTGTACGAGGGTCTGTGGCCTGATTGGAGGCCAGCGTACGGTCCGATACTGTCTCGAATTCTTCCTAGTCGCATGTTGAGGAGCAGGCGCGAAGTAGGCTCCGAAGTCGTAGAGGTCTGCACCGACGGATGCTTCAGCCTCTCGGGACCAGAAGGGCTCCGGAATTGGATCGTCTTCCTTCGTGCGCGATGCAAAAGGACCTTCATTGTAGACCAATTCGCGGACCGCCTTCGCCTTTGCGCTTGCGCTCTTCGGCCCCGGATGGCTTCCGGAAGATGGTGACGGCGATGGCGAACGGTTGACTATGCTTGACATACGCTCGAGAAGCGATGTTCGCGGCGTCAAAGAAGGCGAAAGGAAAGGCGACAAGAATGCGCTATTGGGGCTTAGAGTGGAAGGCGACACGCTCTCCTTCACTCTGAGATCAAGATGCTCGCCCTTGAAGTGCCGGCGCTGGCTTAGACCGAGAGCATTCACAGGTTGCAAGGGAATGATCGTAGAGCTGGCAGACATCTGATCGCGGGTATCGAGACTGGCATATCCAGGAGTAGGCGGACGAGAGGACGGATCTGAGCTCGTCGAGGAGCGGCTCTGCAAGAGCTCAGGCGTTGCTGGAGACCCGCTCGACTCGGATGTCATTGCTAAGCCTGGCGGACGCCCCGTGACCGGCACCTCTGGTCTGCTTCAGCATCAACACGACGCCATTCAAGCGGCACACACACACCAGAAACATGGGGTAGGAGTATGGGCTGAGTCTCTAGAGTCGGCGAACTATCGACCAGAGAGCCATGGAAGGCTAATGGTGGAAGGATGGGTGTTGTATCGAGTCCAGCGGTCTGGAATGGCGGCGGCATGCGGCAGAAGCAAAGGAGCGGCGGTGTAGTCTGTGACTATGGGAGAACGGGCGAAATGCCCATGGAGTTGAGGAGCAACTGAGAGCCTTGGCTGCGACGAGAGTTGACGCTTGTGTGGAGTTCGTGGTGGCGAACGTCAACATGACAGCGAAAGAAGTTGACTGTGGATGGCTGCCATCGTGCGAGCTGACATGGAACCATTGTAGGGCATCTCATCTGGGTGGGCGCCAAGGGTGAATGCATAACGTCAGATAGAGATTGACTACCGTCACCAGCGGTCAGTCTTTCGGATGACGCCTGTTCTGTAAAGTTTGCATGGGATGCAATGGGCAACATAATCATCATACAAGTGTCGGCCACCCTGCACAGGGCATTACTATAAAGATGTTTAGTTTAGTACACAAGAAGTCGATACTATATGCGAGACACGCAACAGCCAGGACTGAGACGACCAGCCTATCATGTCGACGTCGGGGAGACAAACTCCATTGTCACCGGGCAGTGGTCAGAAGCACCATAGATGTCGGAGCGAATCTCGATCATCTTGACATTATCTGCAATGCGCTCGCTCAGTACAACTACGAGGAATAACTCGTTAGAGGATGTCTCGTAGAAGAGTAAGGACGACGCACAAGTGTCAAGGCGCCAACCGATGCCTTTTACACGACAGTTGAAGCGGTACGAAAAGTACGTGTAGTGACGCTCGTCTGGATGACGGGCGCGCCACATATCGACGAACTTTCCGGCATTCTTCGCATCCCCAGGCGGGTTCAAGATGCGTGCAAACGAAGACGTCTCTTCTTCAGTGTACCCGGGCGTCTTGTTCCAGTTCTTCTTAGGGTTTGATAGGTCTCGAGCGCCCATGTAAGCTGATGCGAGCAAAAGGATTCCACATAGCGCTCACCAATCTCCGTGGGCGCCACATTCAGATCACCAGTCCAAATCACCGGCTTTCTGCTGTCGAGGTCGCGGATATAGCCTTCGAAATGGCGGTTCCAGGTGGCCCTTGCGTCCAAGTTCTACAGGATATATGAGATGGCGGACGAGCGACAGTGCAATGCATCTCAGCACGAACCTTCAGCTTCTCCCCGGCATTTGGTACATAGGTACCTATTAGATAATAATCCTCAAACTCGAGAGTGACAATGCGGCCCTTCGTGGAATCGGGGTCTGGGTGGCCGGGAAGAATCCTGGTAACGCTTTTAGGTTCGCGTTTCGAAAGCACAGCGGTGCCAGCTGAGTCACATGTTAAGCCAGAATTATTGGGCCGGCAATGAAGCACCCACAATAGGTCTTCTGTGTAGATATTGACCAGTACCTGTGTGGGAAGCGGGATACCAATACGGGGTCAACCGGTTCGTCATTCACCTACAAGGGTCACTATGAGATCAACCAATCATATGAAAAGCGCACCTTCGTCTCTGTGAGAACGATGATATCCGGATCCTCTGCTTCTATGTAATACTTGAAGCCCTGTATAACGCGTCAGTGCGAGTCATTCCATGACCTGTCGCGTCGGACGCGCCTTCTTGGACGCGGCGGCTAAGCCGCAGATGTTCCAGGTGGATATTCGCACAGTGCCATCCACTCGAGGCGAAAAAGTGATATTCACTGGCAAGACCTTGTTCGTCGGCTGACCGTTCGGCGCCAGACTGCCTTCCACAGCCGGAGCAGGTGCAGCGACTTTGGTCTTCTTCGTAGACTTCTTAGGCTCGCTCTCGTCGTCGGATGTCGACTCGGCTTTGCGCTTGGAAGCAGTGCGTTTGGGAGGCATAAGAGCAAGTCGTCTCACAGGGGTGAGGAACAAGTGTGCCCGCGACGCGGATGTCGTGGTTCGTGTCAACGCGCGCCACATGATGAACGCGGTCTCGATGCGTGCACCTGACCGCGTCGCGTAACGCGTCGAGTCTTGAGTTGGCCGCGTCCTGAACCGAAACCACCATGTCATGGTCAACAGCATTGCGAGCTTATGCTACGAAGAAGGACCCCAGCACCTTGCCTTCAACTGTACTTTTCTCCCACACGAGTTCCACGATCACAATATTCGACGCTTACCCGAAAGCCATCTTTCACTTTCTAATTCTTCCGCGACCCTCTCAGCGGCTGTCTGTTCTGGATCTTGCCAACCTTCGCTCTCTTATCAGAAAGGATAACGAGTTAGCTCTTGTGGTGGTAAAAGAGCTACAGGCTGAAGCTGTAAAGCTCAAGGGTGAGATACACGTGGAGATGCTAGAACGTTACGGGTTCACATGGCCTATACACTGCGGCTTCCACGCTGTACCTTCGATGGAGTAGGTTCTCGGTATCTTCCCCGTACGATCTACCCTAAACGGATGACTCAAAGACATCTCCATCTACACGTCATCTCTGCTGATTTGACGTCCCCGTCTTTAAAGAATAAGAAGCATTACAACTCTTTCAAGCCTGGACATGGATTCTTCTTGCCCATAGAGGACGTTCTCGGATGGTTCGAAGGGTCTCATGAGCATCTAACCAGCGTAAGCCCCCTCAACGCGTCACTACTATCGTCTGATGCACCCATACTTGACCTCAGATGTCTGCTCTCAATAGGAACCAGTACGAGGTCTTATTGAAGGAGGATCTCAGTTGCCACCTTTGCGATCGGAGCTTCAAGAACATGCCGCAACTCAAAAGTCACCTGCAGGAAGAGTGGGATGCATTGCGACAACGCGGGGCCCGCAAACGACGTAAATCGCCAGACGAATCAGAGCAGGACGCGCCTGACGCACAACCTGCGGCAAAGAAGCGCGCCATCAGCCGCGAGTCCAGTATCGAGGCTGAGCTTCAGATACAAAAATGATCTATAGTGCCATGTGCTTGAAAGCTCTATCGATGACTCGAACGCTCGCGTCTGTCGTACCTGTTCATAGCTATCGAGTCGTTCATAGACGCAGTAGACATTTCCCACCCAGCGTCACCCTCAATGAAGCAGCAGTGTCCCCACAGAATCCGCTCCTCGCAACAGAACGTTACAGGCTACCTCGATCCCATCGAGATAAGTACGTTGGAGATAACGCCCAACTTTGATCACTTCTCCGCGAGAGGCCGAGCCATGACGTACCCGTATTAAACGCGGTCGGCGGCGTTGGCACACTCTTGCCTTCGCCCCTCCACCTGCTTGCTGCTCCGATTTTCTTCTTCCCTTTAGATTCCTCATAGAAACATTCTGTGTACGCCGAATATTGTCGCGCGTAGATGCCGATCGCTCATCTTCAAACTCTAGATCTCGCCCATTCTCTCAGTCACACAGCATGTCTTTCTCGTTCACCCCGATGACACCCATCTCGGGTGCTGGCAGTAAGGATGCCGAGCGTCGCGCCTCGGACATTCGTCGTCTGTCTGACCGTCGTCGTTCGTCCATCGATCCTTCGCGTCTCGTGCGCATGGACAAGTGCGTGCTCTTCCCCATTTGAACGGGCGTACACCGCCGGATTGCGCCGACAGGCGCCGTCGCATCATCGCCCTACTCTCTCTACTCGTCATCCCGGTCCTCATTGCAATCTATCGCGCCAGGGTCGGACATCTCGCGGGCTCGGGTGACTTCAACGTCGTCTTCGTTGGAGCGGGCAACATCATGTTCGGTGAGTCCCGCTCGATCATCAAGAAAATCTCAGTCCGCCGTACCTCCTACATCACTGCGGTTATACGACAAGCCTCCACATGACCATCCCTCGTCTTGCGTCTCACTGTCGGGATAGTCCTTCTGCGCGTAGTTGAACGTGCACCTGCCGCACTGTGGCCGCGTTTCTGCCACATCCCGGGAAGCCGGCCCGAAGATGCCGCTTAGACAATCGAGTTGTGGCGCCGACTTGACCTGTGCTAATCATACCCCCAGGCTCTGACGAGGGCCCATGGAATCATTCCTTCCGCTTCGAGCAGTACGTACAATCGCGACATCCAGTTATATGCCTTCTCAAGTTCGTCTAGCAAGCTTGGTCCTCGCTTGAAGGTTGTAGCGCTTATCGACCCTGCCGTCGACCGCGCAAAGGCCGTACTCGAGGGCAAGTGCCAGACTTTCGTGCGCTCTGCGTACGAGAACACGAAGGTCTACAAAAACTTCCAGGATTTTGTCAAGAACATGCCTGAGAAGGATACGCCCAAAGCCATTGTTGTCGGCTCGCCTCCGATGTTCCGCGGAACTACCAAGCCGGGACGTGACATCGAGCTGCAGATTCTTAAGGCCTTCCCTGGCGTCGCGATCTTCATGGAAAAGCCTATCGCGACTGGTCCGTCTGACGAGATCCAGGAAGCGTTCAAGGTGGCGCGTGCTATCGAGGAGGCAAACACGATCTGCAGCGTCGGCTACATGCTTCGCTACCTCAAGGGCGTGCAAATGATCAAGAAGATCATTCAGGACAACAACCTCACGGTTATGGCTACCATCGCCCGCTACGCGACCGCCTACGAGGCTATCGCGAAGCCGGATTGGTGGGATATGAGTCGCAGCCAGGGCCCCGTTGTTGAGCAGGGCACGCACTTCTGCGACTTGTCACGCTACTTTGGTGGTGATGTCGACATTGACTCCGTCAGCGCCCACTCGCTTGAGTGGCACGAGCAGCCTGGACAGCTGTCTGCCCAGCAGATCGATGAGACTGCTATCAAGCCTGAGAACCGTATCCCTCGTGTGACTTCCGCTACCTGGTACGGCGGAACCCTTCTCATCCAACAGGATCGTCGGATCTGAGCATCTTGCACAGGAAATACAAGGACGGGGCTGTTGGCACCTTCACCCATCTCGTTGCCCTTCAGGGCCACGACTACTCTTGCGAGATCGAGGTCTACGCGGACGGTTACCAGTTCAAGCTCGTGGACCCATACGTTCAGCCGATCCTGTACATCCGCCGGCCAGGCGCGGATTCGGTCGAAACGCACCGCTTCCCCGACGACGATCCCTTCTTCTCGGAGGTTTCGAACCTTATCGAGGTTATCGAGGACATCGAGGAGGACCCAGAGCACTATCCCATCCTGAGCTCTTACGAGGGTACGCTATGCCCTGTGCGATGTGGAACTGATCAACTTGCTGACTGGATCTGTTCTCTTCAGACGCTTGCAAGACGTACGAGCTCACATGGGCAATCCGTCTTGCGAGTGAGAAGTCTCGCAAGCCCGCTCCCGCTCCGGAGAAGTAGAGGTATGGTCTGAACGGGATTGGTTGCACGAAGATCGGGCGAGTTGTATCAGTATCAGTAGGGAATGTACAAGGAAACGAGATAGCCGTGCGTGCAATACTAGACTTCTCTGTGTGACTTGAGATATGTACCCGCGATTGATGCTGTCAAGACGCGTCCTGGCGGGCTGTGCGCTGCTGCGAACATGTCGACAACACTATGATAGGCCACAGTGCAACTTGGGTTAAGTTCAAGCCGGCCTGGTCGGACCAGTCCTCATATTCGTGCATCGCCGAAGTATGCATCACCGCGTCTTAGTCTACCAACCCACAGGTCCGTGATGTACCCACAGACTCAGCGCTCGACTCCATATCAACTTCCGAACACAACTGTCCTCATTGTTCCCCCACGATCCACAGCCGGAGATGTAGGTTACAGGATGCGGTGCCGATCGCTGAGAAGTGGAGGACTGATGCAGATGCAGATGGTATCGTCTAGAATATATATTGTACATGTTGCAGTGTTTTCCTGATCAAGAGCGCACAACCCGGTGGCGTGAAAGATGTGATGGCACGGGTATGATGACGGGATGCGCGTATGCAAAGTGAATAAAGAGATCCCCATGCAGGTCACGACGGAGCCGAATGAGAGAGGCGTGGGCCGGTCATGCACTGGTCTGCTGTCCTGCAGGCTGCGTGCGACGTTGTTCGATTTCCTTGCGCTTGCGCTCTGCGGCCTCGAGCCGCTCGGTCATGGCGCGGAGTTCAGCCTTGAGCTTCTCGTTCTCCTCGGCCAGCTTGAGCACATTGCTCGCGCGTTTCTGCACCTTTTCGGTTGCACTAGTGGCGTGTTACCGTGGTAGAACCAAGAGCAAAGCGCGCTGCGGGAGATGGGCGTGATGGGGTGAATACTCACGGACTGTCAGCCGAGGAGCCGAGGATCGAGTCGAGCGAGAGCGACAGGTCGAGCTCTGACGCTGGAATCTCTGGCAGCGCATCGAGGGGGCCCATGGGGCGGACGGCAGAGATGACGGACACGTCGTCGCGACCATCGTCGGGCTGCTCGTCCCCCTGGCTTGATTGTGATGGCGCTCGGGGCAACGGCCGGCCCGTGTTCACGTTCAGCCTGTCGTGGTAGTTCCTGTGGCGATTGAGCACAATATCTATGACATTTCTCTGAGCGCGTACTGCGACTGGGAGTTGCTCATGGTGCGGTGGGAAGTTGGCTCTGTGGTCACGGTTCAGAACAACTTAGACGCGGAGGATATTGGATCCCCTTAGTACAAGGGGCGCGATGGAGTAGTGGTACCATCGTCGCCGGGGAGTCATGTGAGGTAAACTTACTATGGCGAGGACCTTTTGTGTGGGTTCGATCCTAGCTTACAGTCCCCCAACCCCGAGAGATAACACTTTAGACACTCTCGGGTTCTGCCACTATCAATGGGTCTAACCCCGATCTTAACCCCAGTGCTGCACCGGTGACGTCATGGTCCCGGGGGTCCGCCGGTTCGCAACCGCGCGTGGCTCAAGCCCTACCCCGGGCTAGGCTACTGCTCAACCAGAGAGTCTAGACCCGTAGCGGACACCAGCCTCGTGCTTGTCAATCAAACAAACTGCCCCGTGTGGGTTCGCCACCCCGGCCAAGGCCGCGGTGCCTGTAACATCGCATACGATCTTCTCGAAGGATTCAGATGGAAGGTCAGGGGATCCCAGTAGTGCGCGAGGGCTTAGGATAAACGGGTGGTATAGTGGGGTATCGGCCCGAACCAGAATGGACTCAGCACGTGTATTACCGTCTGTTCCTGTGACTACATAAGTCTTCTAAGACTTCTCAAACGGTCACTCTAATAAACGGGATTTCATCACCCCTTAGTACTTAGCAACGCAATAACAAGCGCCTCTCCCGTTCGCCTCCTCCTTCTCCCCGACTTCCATCTCCCGTCGAATGCCACCATCCGCCCTTCATGGCCGCGACGACCTTCATTTCACCGTCTGTATCGTATGAGAGACGCGAGTCCCTGGACCCTCTCACGGCATTCGCGGTGGCGCAGAGTCCCGTTCAACATCAATACTTCAATGGCCAACCTGCATACTTCTCCGCCTTCCCCCAGCTCGCTCACGATTACGCTTCCCACTTCTCACCGTATATGAGCAGTGGCACCGAAGACCCCTCGCTCTCGCTTCTCCAACACACCACAGATCGCTGGAACGAAGAGTGGTCCAAGTTGCCGAATCACGATAACATCGACAGCCCGCCGTTCACTACCAGTCCCGAAATGCACTCACCCGAATCTGAGCGCAGCTCCGGTAGCTCTGCAACTCTGCTCAGTCCAACTGGGTCGCCCCTCGACTTGCGCGCCGAGCGCGATCTTCCTAGGGTGACCCGCACCGGTTCCATCTCCGAACACTCACAGCACTCAGTCGGCGAACACCCTGATCTCTCGCCCAATGTGAGTGATACTTTCCTTCCCAGATGTGTGGCTCTGTGGCCCGCTTTCATCCATGTTGGGGATCTTCGTGATCTCTTCCAGACGCGCTTCTCGTCCACGCGACTACAACCTCCAGCTTCTCATCGCTACCGGGGGTGATCCCATAGATGCCTGTACCTAGACGATCACGTTCACACCACCAATCATGTCATATTCCGTCTTGCATAGCCCTTATCTCCCAGTCACCCTCGTCGTCACTGCCTGCTGGTATCTTGGCCGCTTTCTTTCCCCAGCGTCAGCGCCAATGTCAACGCCACAGGCCGTCAGACCTAGTCATTGGTTCCTTTCCCGATGCATTGTGCTGTGAGACCGTGTGGAATTCGAAGCTTCATAGGGGCTTTATGCGGCGGCCATGTTCGGGGCTTAACTCTCTCGTTGATCGGAGGATACAAGCTGACGATCCTTTGCAGAATTCACCGACCTTAGGAGGTCAGAAGGATAAGGATAAGCCGCAGCCAGATCCTGACGCAGAAGACTTTTTGAGGTGCAAACTTGGGGATGCGAAGTGGAAAACCTTCTATGCTCGCTTATCCGAACGCCGCCTTGCATCTTCCCGCTTGCGCAAGGATTCCGATGAGGAATCGCCCGGGGCTGTTTCGGTTTACCTATTCTTGCTCAAGGTCGAGTGCGTGAAGGAGGTCCTTCGCACTCTAGTCCCGTAAGGGCATTTCCACCTGTGACTAGTCCGTTACTTACACGTCGCACAGCAACCCATACAGTCCTGAGAAATTCGCGGTCCATCCACATAGCTGCCCCAAGGGTCATGTCCGTCTAACTCGTGATACGGTCTTGGCGCTTGCCGGTTGGTCCAATACGCAGGTGAGCCCATATGATCCTATCAAGATGCACCCCTGTAAACGCCACATACAAGTTCTCTTACTGGATGCGACGAGTCGAAGCGATCTCCGTATTCGCTCCATACGACGATACTTTTGCGGAACTCAAACAAACCCTCTACGGTATACTATACGGCGGCCTCTCGCAGTCTTCGCCTCCGGCTTCACCGGGCGTAACGGGCAAGGGAATCGACGCTCTCATTGATACCGTTAAGCGCCAAACTGGCCTTCAGCCCTATGTCAGGGGCAAGCACGCTAGTCTCGACGCGTTCTGTGCCGCGGAGCTCGGGCCTGCGCACACTCAGCCACCCGCGTTCGCCACGTTCCAACCTCATATGTACTCGCATGAGCAGCGAGTCGCTGAACAGCAGAGCCGTCGCAAGCGCAAGCGCACCGAGAGCCTTGGGTCCATGCAGGGCTCCGAGGACGACGTGCTGGACACCTTCTCGCGCCCTGATATGTATACCTGCCTGCCTCCTCCACGGCCCATTCAAGTCCCGAGCATGCAGCCCATGCAGATCCCGAGCCTTACACTATCCCCGCTCGACGTGCCCGGATCCGGAGGACAGTATCCGACCGAGCAACTGCTCCAGGATACGCAACGCATGCACACGATGCTCAACATCTCTGCCAACTCGCATTATCCTCTGCCTATTAACTCTTACTCTACTGTTTACGCTCGCGAGGAGCAGCCAGTCTCCAAGCGAGCGCGCTATGACCTGATCTGACTTGCAGATTATACGTTCCAACTCACGATGGACTGACTTACTCGCCCTTGTCCTTATCCATGCGCGCACTCGCTATTTATCGGACTTGTATTTGTGTGCAGGTTCACCTCCCCCAGTGTACTCTGCTGTCTACCCGTTCTTGTTACTGCCAAAACACCCGGCTCCTCGTTCTCGCTCTCTTGCGTCTGCTGTGTGTACGATTGCCAATCACGTCCCCTCCCTTGTAGTTGTACTATAAACGCCTAACTTGCTCTCCCTCGTCGCCAAGTGTACCAATACTCTCTTGTTACTTTCTCTCACCGTCTACCTTTACTCGACCATACGTTCCGGTAGTTCTTGTACTATGCATGTCAAAGTAAATTAGTGTCAACTTGCTAGTATCTGTCGCGAGTAACAGGAGACCACCCTGCATCCCATGTTGGGCCGCGCGGGCTGCGGTGGCGCCGCGATGTGACTGCGCCCTACAGCGGTTGTATCAGGTGCTCGGAGTGTGTTTTCATCGTAATCCGAGATGTAACGAGAGATGAGTAGCGCCATACACGTAAGACTCGTTGAGTATACAACTGGAAAGTTGTGCATGGCTGGTTAGGGGGTTGACGCGTGTGGACGCGTGATAGGGGTTGAATGTACACGTGGCTACAGCACGCGTCATGGACCGTGTCGCCTTTGCCGCAGGCCGCGCGCAGTGGCTCGCGGGTTACTTAGACTCGACGACCGTGGCTTTCGTATGGTCGATCTCAGTCTTTCTACGCTCTCGGTACGCAACGGAATATACACTTGGATCCGTGACATATGACTGAATGACCTGTTTGTAGTCGGACTCGATGGTAGAGATAAAGCAGGACCCTGGACCTTCACAACGCTCGCCGCCTCCGGGCGAGGACGAGGCGAAATACCGCCTTGTGTATGCCAAATCCAAGGTTTACGTCAACCCAACTGCCTACGCTCGTGACAACATACCTGGCTTTGTCTCTATCGTTAAACGCGTGCGTGATCTTCTCTTGTTTAGCAAGTCGCCTGCCTAATCAAGTATGCGCCACAATAGGAAGCATTCACATCGTCGTACATCCTGTCGTGGATCCCCGAGACCTTGTTGAATGAGAAGGGGCCGGACGAATGGGAGAAATTTACTCGTACCGAGGAGAAACCGATACTGGACGCCGAGGACGACGGTATGGCTGCTTTAGTTTGTCTCTTGCCGAGTGCTGACGCGTGGTGTCGCTCATTAGACGCCGTCCTGATTGACATGCCAACCTCTCGGCCCGAGTCCTATGCCTTCTCTGTGCCAATCACATCTATATACTCGTTGATTGTGCACCCGCCTTCGCTTTCGTCATGGTGTGAGCGCGCGTGTGCTCCGTTTAAGCGTTAGCTTTGCTCATACTCCGCTCTATACAGACGGATCCATAAACATCAATCTCATCAGCGGGTCGACATTACCGACTCTGTACTTTCACGATGACGAGTCGCGCTCCTTCTCTATGCCCCAGCCGTCCACACCATCGACAAGCCGCGCTAATCAGCCGCCTTCTTACCCACCGCCACCGCTGAGCTCGCCCCAGGCATCTGCTGGGAGGCCAACGACATCATGGGGTGGCGAGGATCTTCTCTCGCGTTTACGCACGTATGCGCATCTATTGAGGTCGACGCTTGATCCGACGCTCTACCTTGTCGACCCATCGAAGGCGGACATCGAGACGCACAGCACACAACTATTCTCCGACGACGCTGTCGACGCCATCCTTGCACGTTCTTCATACTCCAACTCGTACTCTCCCGTACCCGCACACCGTCGCCCACGTCCTCTTTCCTCAACACCCGGAGCCTCCCCGAATCCATACTCACAGTATTCATCCATTCTCCATCGCTCGCTGCCACAACATCAAAATGGACAGCCACCGAGTCAAGCGCGGACCGCACTGCTGCAAAGCTTTGCGAATATCACCCGCGCTACGAAACACGCCGCGCAGCATATTCTCTCGCATCCGTTGGCGCGACCTATAGTGCCACACCTACCAGATCCTGTCAAATCGCTTGTCAACGCCTCCGGAGACCTCGACTGGGGTTCGTGGGTTGAAAAGGGTGGTGTTGGAGAGTTCGAGGCGGCTCGGGTCTATCTTGCCCGCTGGGCCCGTATCGTGGCCGAGGAAGGCGAGCGTGCGAGAAGGAGTGAGGCGCGGGCGTTACCTAGCGAGGGTACAAACGCGAATGAGGAGACATCGGAACTCGGCATCTTCGAACTCCTACATTCGACTGCCAATCTCCCGACACCGAAGACGACGCGAGATCCGAAACATGCTATTGATCTGCAGACATTCGAGGCTTGGTTCGATGAGACCGGACGACCAAAGATTACGCATGACAAGCTGCGTGAGGAGATCTTCAAGCATGGCATCAGTGACTATGGTTCAACAAGGAGACGAATATGGCCATACCTGCTTGGCGTGTATGAGTGGGATGTGACAGAGGACGAAAGAAAGACAAAGTGGGCGGAGAAAACGTGGGTCCATCGATGCGACCGAGCTCTTTGCCAGACTCACGTGTCATAGGGAACTCTATCATAATACCGAGGCGGAATGGTTTGGGAAGCCTGAAGTCTTTGATAGACCAGACATTCTGGAGGAACGCCATCGGATTGACGTCGACTGCCGCCGTACCGACCGCAATCAGCCGCTTTTTGCATCGGTGAGCGCCAGCGTGTCCAAGACCTCCGACCCTGAGAAGCGCGAACACCGGCGACTAGCATCCATTGCGCCGAGTACGAACGAGATCGGCGCTCAGTCTCCCAGCAATGAGCACATAGATCGGCTCGGGAGCATCCTTCTCACCTATAACTTCTTCGAAAAGAAGCTAGGTGCGTGCATACACACATTCCTGCGTCCCGAGCTCATCTCGCGACAGGTTATGTTCAGGGCATGTCTGATCTTTGCGCTCCCATATACGTTGTGATGGGATCGGACGAGCCCCTTACGTTCTGGTGCTTTGTCGAGGTCATGAACCGAATGGTGCGTTGTCATACTCCTGGTCTCGCCCTGGAGCGCGCTGAATAGAATGGGCAGAAGCAGAACTTCCTTCGGGATCAAAGTGGCATGCGTTCTCAGCTCTCCACTCTCCAGCAACTAATTGAGATGATGGACCCGGAGCTCTACCGTCACCTTGGTGCGTTGAATTTGGACCAGATACTACCTCTATTGCTCATAGACTCCTACAGAGAAAACTGATGGCCTAAACTTGTTCTTCTGTTTCCGCTGGATCCTCATCGCGTTCAAGCGGGAATTCCCATTCGAGGATGTCTTGCGACTATGGGAAGTTCTATGGACGGACCGCTACAGCGTTCATTTCGTATTGTTCGTCGCGCTTGCAGTACTCGAGTCTCACCGGGACGTCATCCTAAGATATCTCGTCGAGTTTGATGAGATCCTGAAGGTAAGCGGCGCTCTTCGTTCCGGGGTGAATCGTATGCTGACGGTCAACCCAGTATTGCAATGAGCTCAGCAATACCATCGAACTCGACACGACACTGGCGCAGGCTGAAGTCCTTTTCCTCTCCTTCAAACAACTTGTCGAAGATATGGACAATAAACGGAGCGAGATATCCGGCTCCGGAGACGGTCTGAGGTTGCGTCGCGCCACTGATGGCGCCGAGCAGAGGGTCTCCAGCATTCCTGAGCTCAGCTCAGAGCTCAGAGAGCTACTTGTCCGGGAGCGAGTGGCCCTAGAGATTTCATAGTGGCTGTCTGATTGCGTGATGATGATGATAGGACGTTTTACATACCTGTATTGATATCATTTTCGGGCTGCCGTGGATCCTGTACACCTTGTAGCATCATGCATAACTTCTTCAATACACGCTGTTACTGAACCATGGTTTCTGCCCTCAGTCTGGCGCAGCGCGCACAGAGATATGCCTAGAGACTGCGACGCTTAAGGATGTCATACTGTGGATCGAAGTAGACCGGCAACCCCGAGCGCAAAAGATAACGCTTTCAGTATCTCGTTCAAATTCATATTGAATTCATCGTAGAAAGCCAAAAATAAATCCTTCGAACCGGGATCGAACCAGTGACCTTGGGATGCCAGGTTATCCGTTACAGTCCCACGCTCTTCCAACTGAGCTATCGAAGGTTGAATGATCGTTCTACTCAGTTGCCATAGATCCGTTTGTCCCGTTGCAATGTTCAATTATGCAAATTCATTCCATAACCAGACTCTAACACCGCCACGCCTGCGTGGATCCTCCTCTATCCCGTTTCCCGCATGCCAAACCTGGTTGTATCCGAGGTCTCTCAGTTTGTACTCGACACCCTCCTCGTGTAACAAGGCCCCGAACAGCACAAGGTGGGTAGGCCATTCGTGGACCCATATTCCACTGCTCGTCGTTCCAGGAGGCGTCGTCGGTAGAGGTGACGGCGGGAAAGACGAGTTCACGGTAGACGGAAAGTGCTTGTCCATGTACTGCAGGGGTTCGGCAAAGAAGACATCTGTTTGATCCCTGTACAACTTCGCGGTCCCCACGTCAAGACCGAGAGGCGGCTCGCATCCCAGCGCCCAGACCTCGAGTGACGGCTTGTGTAGATGTGACTGGCCCGGTGTTGAGTGACACGGCATAAGGAAGCCGACGCTGTGGAGTCTTGATTCGGGCAGTGCCCGAAGATATTCCATGACACTGATCTGGGCGCTCGAGTGGAAGAGTGATGCATAGAAGACCAAGGGGATGGCTGTAGACAGAACTATAAAGTGAGCAGGGCGAATGGCAATCCCTTGGCGCAATCCGGCTGGTGTACGTGCGTGATATGAGTCGACGACGTATTTTGCCGAGATGACGTGCATCATAGGCAATACGGGATGCAAAAATCGCCATTCCTTGTGGCCAAAGAAAGAGTACGCTGTGGTGACCCAGAGGATAAACGCAAGTGCTTGCTTCGGTCGGAGATCCCCCTCTTTGATGACACTCCAGACACCTGAAACGAAGAAGGGCAGCGCCGGTCCGAGAAGTACGGGAAGGGCCTGGGTAGTATAGTAATGCCACGCGGCATTCCCGTAAAATAGTGAAACTGACGATGCATTGGTCTCCAGGAAAGACAATGGAGTCACAGTGAGCTTCCCGTAGTAAGCGCTGTCCAGGGCTATAAGCAAAGCCAAAGCGCCTAACCTGATGGACGGTCAATCTCGCCAGCAGGCTACAGAAGACAACTCTCGTACCCGATAAGCAATGCATCTCTGATGAGCCCCACGCAGAGCGATGGTTGTTTGCGGATCCTCCAAAGCAACAGTGGGGCTAAGAAGACCCATAATATCGCGTTTGTCACCCGCACCATACAAGCGAGCGCAGCGAAAGCAAGACAACGACGCAACTTCCTGAAACACCATTCTTAATGGGAAGGTATCGGATAGAAAGGCAGGGAGCACGTACCACGGCTTGATGTTGATCGAATCCCAAGGAAAGTGCGCAAGTGCCGTGGTCGTGAGGGTCGTCTCGAGTGAATTTGATAACGAGCGAGATAAGGCAACGCCGTGAAAGCAGGACAACAGTGATACCATGTACTGGAACGTATTCAGCTACAGAAAGAGAGACGTGGAATGCGACCAACCGTTACATCGACGTACCGCTCGCCGACGATCACACGAGCCAGCTCGCGCACGTATACGTCTGTGCCAGCAGCCAGCGCGCCGTGAAGTACCTTGGGAGCCAATACCTGTAGATACGCAGCACCATTCAGAAGAGGGCTCAAGAATATCATCAGTAAAGCTTACCAATAGCTTTGTATCGTCCAGTCTCATGACTTTGAGCAACCAGTAGATCGGGACGTTCAAAGCTGGGTACACTATGCTGCGGATCGGCTGTGTCGCTAGCCATTCCCAGGTCATAAAGCCATATCCGAACACGATATGGTGGGCCGGCTCTAGTGCCTGGAAATATTCGTCCGGTTGGAAGAAAGTGCGCGTGAAGACTGCAAGAGCGATGCGCACGACAAGCGCGATCGTTATCCTTGATTTCATGCAAGAAGGCTGTGATATTGACCAGATACGCTGTCCCACACCCGTAAACACAGATACACAGGCACTGGCTGTGTTTGTGCAGAGGACCTAGATGAGGGTGATGGTAGGGAGACGTAACAAGACTCCGGGGCTGGACAGCGTGGTGTGATGGATGCGCTTGCTCACGACCGTCATCACCCTCTATGCAGATGATGCCCGAGCCGATGCGGGCACACACAGTCTTCGCTTAGCCAAATATGCTCTGTACACGATACGCATAAGCTATGACGTGGCATGAACGTGGCCACCCCCCAAGTTCTGGATGACCCACAAGCACTGCCAGCCTCCAGAAGACGGAAACAGCGAGACATCTGCCCATGGACGCTCAGCGAACTTCTTCTTCCTATGTACTTCCACGATGGATTCCCTACCTCTGTCACGTGGCCGCGAGATAGCAATGTGGAGAATGTGCCAAAGATGTCGCGAGAGCTCCTCTCAACCACCTCGTCATTGCACCATGGTCGGCCAGCTCGTTTGGTTTATCACCGGCGCCTCGAAGGGACTCGGTCTGGCACTTGCTCGTCAGGCTCTCCTCCGTGGTGATCTTGTCGTTGCCACCGCCCGTGACACATCACGAATCGAAACGGAGCTATTCTCGGACACGAGGATCGAGCGCTCTCATGCGTTTACCTTGAACCTTGACATCTCCTGGCCGTTTCACAGACTTGCACAGATAACTGCCGATGCTGTCCAGCACTGGGGACGTATCGATGTTCTGGTAAGGAGATGCGTCCTCTGTCATTTCATACATACTCTCAACATCCTTCAGGTGAACAATGCATCACTATGGGTAGGGGCGGGCGCGAGCGAAGAGGTGGGGTATGTACGGGCGTTCAGAGTGTTCTATGAATGCGCCATTCTCATATGGTGATCCCCAGAGCGGATTTCTTCCAGCGATCCATCACGACGAACTTGATTGGCACCATCAACGTTACCAACGCTGTTTTGCCCTATATGCGAACTGCGCGCATCGGCACGATCGCGATTTTTGGTAGTCGTTCAGTATACATGAATGGTATCTCTGTACGTGTCCTCATTGCTCGATGCCTCCCGTTGTACTAAACAGCTGCATCAGGGCGTGGGTCAGTTTTCTCTCGAGCGTTCCGCCTGAATTGAGGATCTGAATCCGTTGTCAAAGCGCCATACACTTCGACCAAAGCCGCCTTACACGGTGAGTTGCCCGAATCACTTGAAATGAAAGTGGTCAGGCGATGCCTGAGCTCGTCCACAGCGTATGGCGAATCGCTGTCCACGGAGCTCAAGCCGTTTGCCATCAAAGTGGTCGTCGTTCTCCCAGGCAACTTCAACACCAACCCAGGTGGCGGACTCGCCTCGACGACCGGCCCTCCTATCTCGGACTACGATGACTTCCGGAAGAACTTGCACTCCATGATGGAGAAACGAAACGAAATCCCGAACAAGGGTGACCCTGTAAAGGGTATGGATGCGCTCGTGGACGTGGTACGAGGCGAAGGAAAGGCGGCATCGAAAGAGAGTTGGCCATTGTGGCTCTTTCTGGGAGATGATGGCATTCAGAACGTACGGGAGCGGCTGAAGGTGATGGGAGACACAGTAGATAGATGGGAGTCTGTGGGCGCTCATCTTGAGGAACGGGACTCCGCGTGACTGACCATACGAATATACACCATGAGCTTCCCATTCTCTTCGGGGCAGTCGATACGAAGTGTGGGAAAAGATGGCTGAGCAGGCATCGGTAGTGGATACTGGGCCTTGACCGGATCTCTCACGCAGCTGCCCATACCCCACGGTGGTGAAGCGCCTGTTCTTCGCTTGATGCCGCGCCAGCTGAAGGATGGTATGCGAGCTGGCGGCAGTTGAGGACCTGCTGACCCGTCCAGCCTTATTTGAGCGCTGCTCTCAGAGTACATGCGTGCGCCGGAAGAGGAGAAGGTCTATTCATCTTCCCTTACTGGTAGGGGCGGACTTTGTTGATTCTTCACATGGTGCTGGCATATAAAGCCGGCGATCGACGCGCAAGCGGCAACGCCAGAAGCCATACACTCGCACTCCCACAATGCCGGGTCAGCTCGTATGGTTCATCACGGGCGCTTCAAAAGGACTCGGACTCGCTCTTGCTCACCGAGCACTTCTTCGCGGCGATCTCGTCGTAGCTACTGCTCGCGATACGTCGAAGTTTGAGGACGCTCTGTTCTCTGATCCAAAGGTCAAACGCGATCATACCTTCATCTTGGCCGTCGATATATCGTGGTCAGTCGATAAACTCGCTTCGGTTGCCGCTGATGCTGCTGCTCATTGGGGTCGCATCGACGTACTGGTGGGAAGTTGTATCTCTATTCCTCACACGATCTTCATCAGTATCATCCAGGTGAATAACGCGTCAGCATATGTGGGTGTTGGGGCAAGCGAAGAGATCGGGTATGTACAGCACATTTGTCAGATGATGTTTGTCGTGGGCGCACTTACGCGGGCTGTACAGAACAAACCCGTTTCACCAATCGATGATCACCAACTTCATCGGGACCATGAATACCACGAATGCCATCTTGCCGTACATGCGAGCTGCCCGAACTGGTACAGTCATCATCGTCGGTAGTCGTGCATCCTTCATAACTGGCTTTGGTGTACGTCCTCACCCGAATGATGTATCGAGGTTCGACTGATTTTGAAGCATCGCGTTAGGGTTTGGGTCAGTGCATTCGAATGACTTAGAAGCCAGATATGAAAGCTAAAATCCCGTCAGCTCCGTATAGAACAACCAAGGCCGCATTGCATGGTGTGTTGCGGTGGTCATAGATATGGCACAGGAAAGGGCTGACAAACGTACAGCTTATGGCGAATCACTCGCCGATGAGCTCCAGGACTTCAACATCCGAGTGAACGTTCTTCTACCTGGAGCCTTTGATACGAACCCAGGCGGCGGCTTCCCTTCTATTCCTGGCCCTCAGATCCCAGATTACGACGACTTCCGGGAACGCACGCGCCAGAGGCTAGAGAAACGCAGAAATATTCCGAACAAAGGAGACCCAGAGAAGGGTATGGACGCACTCGTAGACGTAGTACGCGGCGAAGGCAAGGCGGCCTCCAAAAGTGGGTGGCCATTATGGCTGCTTCTGGGCGACGACGGCATTTTGACCGTGCGAGAACGGTTGAAACTCATGGCAGACACGATAGACGAGTGGGAATCTGTAGGGACCAAGCTCGGAGAGCTTGACGTTGCAGCACGACCCCCTTGGTGGTAGGTTCTGCCATTGTCATAGCCATTGTCATGTATCGCTGATCCTTATTATAAGGTCGACACTTGTGCGTACTGTGTGGGGATCTTCTGCTACGACAACTTGAAGCGGCTACCTTGTTCACGTATGAACATCTGTCATCCGATTAAGCTGGATTAGCCTATATCCTACAACATGAACATCTCCGCGAGCTTGTAAGCCGCGAGCATAGTCGCAAAGACTTGCGCGATGCGCCACCCAGCGAACCCTACAGCCTTAGCACGTCCGATCCAAGCATTCTGAGCAGCACCAGCGGCATCGAGAGCCGCAACATCCTGTGAAGTAAGTGTGATGTCGCCGGCATTAAGGTAGCCTTCGAGGCGATATTTCTTTGAGCTCGTCCTATTCGGATTATTAGCCTTGATGAATCAACATGTAAGGGTAATGGCACTAACGTCACGGAGATCGCGCCCTTGGCTTTGACCCAGGCAAGCAGGACCTGGTCCGGGGAGGCCCCGAGTCGTGCGGCAATGGCGTTCATCGGCGCGTCGAGAGGTCCGCCAGGTTGTTTTGTGATGGGGATGAGTGCGCTGTACGCCTCGATGATGATGCCATGCTTCGCGCAGAGGTCCATTGTTGGCCTCTGCTCCGCGTACAAGTACGGGTGAAGCCGAATCTGAGGAGTATAGTCAGCGGCGATGTCGATCGAGGAGAGCGTGGAACGCACCTGATTGGCGACTGGCTTGACTTTGGCCGAAGCGAGAAGGATTTCAAGGCTTGGGACGTCGAAGTTACTCACCCCGATACTCTTTGCGAGGCCTTGCGCGTGAATCTTCTCCATCTTAGCCCAGAATGTGGGAATATCGGGCTTCGCAATCCTTGGCCAGTGCACGAGGTACAGGTCCACATAATCAAGCCCAAGCTAGAGCCGTGAGCATGAAGCGTCCCAAAGAAAGGGACAATGACATACGTAGCGAAGGGAGTTCCTGATTGCGACCTCAACATCATCGGTTTCAGTGCTGTAAACTGTGCATAAGGAAAGAGCTCGGGTACAAGCAACGCGCATCGTTCACAACGCACCTCGAGAACTTGGTCGTTACCCAAAGTTCATCACGGGCGAGCCCGCTCTCGCGAATCGCTTTGCCGACCTCTTCCTCATTTTTGTAAAGTTGAGCGGTATCTACAAGATAAATATATTAATGGGCATTCAAACGAAGCGAGCGTACGAGCGTACCAATATGGTTGAAACCTACGGAGATGCCCTGTTCGACTTGGTCGATAGGATCCTGCCCTTTGCCCAGCGTCCATGTACCAAACGCGATGCTCGGTATCAGGCGGCCTGTATCTTGCCCGTTAGTCTCACACTTCTCAATAACGTGGAAACACTGACCGTCGTTGGTCTTGATGGGCTCCCAGGGCATTATGGTCTGCGGGCAGTGGATGCTCGAGCCCGTGCACCCTCTCGGTACCCATGCTTTATACGTGCCATGCGTGCCTTGCGTTATCAACCTGCGAGCCTGTGAAGGTACCGTGTCCCAACGCCGTTCGGGCCAGTTCGGTCGACGCGGGAGATAAGAGCAGGCGCAAGGCACGACGCTGGCGCGGCGCGTGTGACTGTTCGCGTATGATGTGACCAAGCGGAAGCAGAGATGCGCCTGCTCTTATTCTGCGAACCACCATCAGCGACCACCAGAGCCAGCGAGATCGCTGTACTTTCATGCCATGGCGGAACGCGACAACATCACCCTAGCGTGGCGGATCGTACTCACGGGTACTAGAGCAGCACTTTTGACGCGCGCATCACCAGGCCCTCCTACGCTTCTGCCGGACAAACGCGACCTGTCAGATCTGGAGGAGGATTTTCGAGAGCTCGGCATCCCTATCAAATGTTTGCCTCGCGATGAGAACATACATCTGAGCACTGTCTCCTCTGGCACTATAGAGCTTATATGGCCTGACCGCCCGGCGCGATCAGTGAGTTGTCGCTACCACCACTGTGCTATTGGCATCATTGATTATCCCTCAAAGGCGCTGTTCACCGACCTCAAGTCTTTCTTCCATAAGGCAAGGCCAGATAAAGTGACAAAACGGCTGATGTGCGCCTGCCTGCTCTTGATCAAGGACAATACTCACGTACAATCGGATTCAGAGGAGCGGTTATGATGTACGCCTCCGTATCTTTTGACCTGATCATATAGCGCAGACCCTCACATACTCTATCAGGTACTGCTTACCACCCTCTACGACAAACTTGCAGCACATATCAATGGACTTTCATCCTATTGCGATGTTCGCGGATCCCGATTTCAACCCAGACCTTTGGAATATGCGGCGCGAAGTTCTGAAACACCAAAAGAAGTCGTTCACTTCTCCTCCGCCACCAAGCCAAATGTTTCAACCGGGGACTTCGGAATATCTCTCGTCATTTGAGCAGCCAATACGACAGATCAAGCGCGAAAGTCCCTCCGATGCTGATGCGGTATTTGGTGGCGGCGGTCTTTCGAACGATGTTTCTGTGGTTCAACAACGACGTCTTACACCATCTAGACAGCTCTCGGATCCGTTCTTCCGCGCAAGTCGTTCTTATCCTGGTCTACCAGTCTTTGGCACAGGAACGGGCACAGGCCATGACGCTAGAGAGGCGCGCGCGGACTTTCGGGTGCCTTCCATACCAGGCGGTATTACTGGCTTTGCTCGAAGTGCTGGCACCCTGGATTCCTCCGGCGATCTCAACGCCAGACAATACTTGGGCTCTTCAGACCTAAATGGACTTGACACTGTCATTCCAAGGAAGCGCGCGTTCAGTGATGCCGAAGCATCTCAGAACGAGCATCGGCCCTCCCACGCTTTCGAACTTGACCAGGACCGTGACCTTGGCCACATGAGGCGGAACTCGTACTCATCCGATTCTCCACGCGACGCGGATGGTAGACGCACCAGGTCTGATCATGACAATACTCGCACCAACGGCAGGTCTAGTGGACGCGATCACGGCGATCGCTCGCATCCCTACGGACGACCGCGGAATGGTTCTGAGAGCCATCGACGTCGTGGCTCCGGTGATGCTGCGATACCGGACATTGCAGGTTCATCTCGGCAAATTGCTTCGGAAAGCGCTCGTATGGCTAACGGACGGCGTACCCCCACGCGATTAACGGATACCCTGGACCGCATCTTGGCGTCTCCATCTTTTGCGCAGAAGGAGTTGGATTCAACGCTGCCTGATGCCCTGGACGCAACCCAGGATCAGGAGGGAAATGCCTCACCCGAGCCCAAACTCTCGAGTCTTGATATCATGGCCCTCAAAGCCAAGATCCCACGGATTGAGGCCGAGCGTGATGCGGCTCGCCAGCGCGCGCGAAAGCTTGAGGACGACCTTGCTGCCGCACGACACGGCGCTGGGCGCGGTCGAGGACTTGAAGACGAAGTCGCATCTTGGCGTGCGCGCGCGGAGGACGCGGTGTATCGGAGCGATGAACTAGCTGTAAGGCTGAAGCGCTTACTTGCGGGCGAGATACCGGACAGCTTGAACCCAAACGTGGATGGTGCGCCATTACCCCCTACATCGTTTGATGATTATACTCGGAATATGACTGACGGCGTTCATAGAGGCCATCACCCTCCTCGGACATGTCTTGAACCGGATGCGACGGGATATCGCCCAAGCCGAGACCGAGCGTGCTCGGTACGATAGCTTGTCACGGGACCTGGAGAACCTGGTTGCCCATCGTGACACGATTCCGCCACTCATCGAGGCTCTTCAGCAGATCGCAGACGCCACGAAGAACATCAGGCTTCCCCAGTAGTCCTTATCAAGCATCCAGTCTCTCTCGCAAACCATGTACGCTGGACTCTGGCTCACTCGCACTTGTACACGAACCTCACGTTTCGCTGATACGGCACTGTAACACTTGTAACATTATCAATCTCTCACATCGGGAAAGGCAGCAGAATTCCATTTATTCCACTGTATGGTAAAGGAACCGTAGGGTTGCATCTGGAGTAACCGAACCGAGTCAGGACGTGAGCATAGTAATGAATAAATAAACAAGCTGAGCGGCAAAGGGGGATCAAATCAAAGCATTTGGAGCCGGAAGATGAAAGCAGCGTGAAATGTGGGGGTGTGGCGCGGTTGGACAAGGGGGGATCAAATGAAGGTATTCGGCGCGTATAAAGGTCGACAAAGAGTAGGGGGTAGCGTGTGAGGCCGATCACATCTGCACTTTAGGAGGTAGAAGGGGTGGCGAGGCCAGCGCACTGCGGCTCGCGTTGCCGTTGATGAGACCATTGCCCTGTGCACCGCGGCTTTCAGGTCGGTTGACGCCAAATGAGTCCAGCCCGAGAGTGAACGGTGAGCTGGGACGCAGCCTCAAGCCGAACGTGTCGTCCTCGCTGATGACAGGCGGGAGTGCCAGTGGTAACTCGGGGTCAGCGAACCCGGTGGGTGACGCGAGCGCGCGCTGTAGGCGTATGTCTTCCTCACGCGTTTGCTGAATATACTCCCTTGGCGGACGGGGTGCGAGCGGTGGCGGCGGAGGTACAGACAGAGGCATAGATGGTGCCGGCGCAGGTGCAGGTGTACTGGAGCTTCCGCCCTCTTCAGCTGCATATCGCGCACGAAGCATCGCCTTCTCCTCAGCAGCCGTCATCGGGCGTGATTCAGGAGCCGCAGGCGGTAGAGGCTGGGCACGTCCACTGGCATGTCCATTCATGGGTGGCGGCCGAGCCCAATCGTCGACAGGAGGGGGCGAGCCATATCCGTTGACTTGCGGAGGTGAAGAGTATCCGTTGATCGGCGGAGGCGCGTCGTAAGACGCGGGTGGCGCAGTGTAGTCGTGACTGCCTTCGGCCGACATCGGGCTAGCACCATTGCGCGCAGCAAACGCGTCGCGAGCTTCGAATGCACGGCGGTAGCGCTCCTTCTCCGGATCGTTGAGCGGCATCGAGCTCGAAGCGGGTGGCGAGAGATCTGCCGAAGCGGGTGGTGGCGATCCCAGTCCGCGTGCTGCGGCTTCACGCGCCTCGAACGCGCGCCTGTAGCGCTCCTTCTCCGAGACTGATTCATCAAACTCCCCTCCTGGAGCCCAAGCCGGCGGTGCATCGCCATCAGGCGGGGAAACGGGTGCGGGACCCGCTACAGGAGGTGGAGTCGAGTAGGCGCCAGGTCCAGAAGAGCTGCCCGCGACAGCATTCCCGTTCCCGAACGGCGCAGTCGCGCTAGCGTCAGACGACGGCCCAAAGTGCGACTCTTGGTGCCGCTGCACAGCGGAGGTAGCTTGCTCGTAGCGGCGCAGCATGGCCTTCTCCTCTTCGGCTGACATGAAGCGTTGTTGCGACGAAGAGCCACCCGCGGTGGCTGCGCCTGGCTTGGGAGAGGCGCTCTCGTCGCGGCGTGTAGGCGTCCATGCCGCGGGCGAGCTGGACTTGCTGCCTTGTTCGTTCAGTGCAGAAGCGTACAGAGCCGCGCCTGCCGAGACAGAGGCTTGGCCACTTGGTTTGCTGAACGAGCCGTTACTGTCCTTCGACCCACCGCGCCCGTGGCCACGGTTGTAGGACTGCTGGGAAGCAGGCGCCGACGCGAGTCCCTGTACCTGCTCCGCCTTGGCCTTGGCCTGCTCGAACAACCTCGTCTTCTCTTCCTCAGCTGACAACCAAGCCGGGTTGGCAGGCGCAGATGCTGGAGGCTTGCCATTCAGCGACTTTGTCGTCTGCTTGTTCGACTGTGCAGATGTCAGTTGCCTTGATCACGGTGTTGTTCAGCAAATTACGCACCTTTGCGCTATTAGCAGTATCTGGCCTGTGGACGCTGCCCTGAACCTGATCGACCTTCGCCTTCGCTCGCTCATACAACTTCGTCTTCTCATCCTCCGCACTCGGCCAATTGGGCCCTCTCGGCGGCGAGGTCTGAGGCTGACGCGGACGATCCTCCTCTTCCTCAGGGATCTCCCCATCCATAGCATTCGCAATGGAGAAGCCGCGACCATTTCCACCCGCCAGACTCGCAGAGTGTGACTGCGCGCTAAACTCGCTATCGCGCCGCCTTGGGTCGGAAGCGCCGAAGCCGCGAGCAGGGGCAGTGGCGGGAACGCGGGGCTGCGGGCTCGTGTTGAAGCCGAACTCGTCAGCCTGACTATGTCCATTGCTGGAAGCAGACCCATTACCGCGGCTGGGCAAAGTCGAGGGTTGCTGCGGCTTCGTCTGGCTTCCGCTGAGGTTGGGAACAAATCCGATACGCCTGCAATGCCTATTAATACCATTCACCAGTGCCAATACCACAACGCCCAACGTACCGTATGGCTTCTTGAGACACATTCCTGTGGGGTTGAGCGTGAGTATGATCTCGCGCAGAAGCAGCAAAGTTCACGAACCTTGGCCAATTCGAAACGATCACGGGCAATTCCATAATAAGCGGCTTCCCCGTGCCCATGAGCGCCTTGACGATAAGCACATACGTGACATCAATATGTTTCGCCGAGTTGAGCGTCGTGGTTGTGTGCGAGTCGGGAATAGGCACAGATAGCTCCGTTCGATGGTGCATGCCGCCGTACAGCGTCGCGTTGACGGGGATCTTCTGCTCCCCAATGATATTGATCTTGACTTGGGGCTGTCCCTTCTTGTGGTGCCCGCCCTGTACGCCGACGTTGAAGACTGTCGTCTCTTTGAGCGTGAACTCAAAGCCGCGGAGGATGACGGTGTGCAGCGCATCGGATCGGATTGTGGCGG